TCAACCATGAGTCATAATACTCAAAACAAGCTTCTAAGTCTTCATATAGGCCACGAGTCGAGCGCCTGCCCTCTGCCCCGTACCACCGAGAGTAAGCGATCACTCAATATCAACTGTGCTGCCATCGCAGGTTGCTAACACCATCTAGCCAAGCAGTGCTATAACTGCCAGGGCCTCGGTCACGTCCAGGCTGACTGCCCTACCCTGCGCCTGAATGGTGGTGCCAACAGCCGCTGCTACAACTGCAGCCAGCCCGGCCACCTTGCCGTAAGTTTCATCCCCTAAGCCCAGGTCTGCAACCTTTGAGGCGGTTACTAACTCTACTCCAGCGCAACTGCCCCAACCCCACTGCTCCCGGAGCTGGTGCTCCCCCTACCGGTCCCGCCGCTGGCCGCGGTGCCGGTGGTGCTCGTGGCGGTTTCCAGGGTGGATTCCGCGGTGGATTCAGTGGCTACCCCCGCGCCGCAACCTGCTACAAGTGCGGTGGTCCCAACCACTTCGCACGTGACTGCCAGGCTCAGGCCATGAAGTGCTACGCCTGCGGCAAGCTCGGCCACATCTCGCGTGACTGCACCGCGCCCAACGGTGGTCCCCTCAGCTCCGCCGGTAAGGTCTGCTACAAGTGCGCCCAGGCCGGCCACATCTCCCGCGACTGCCCTACCAACGAGGGTGCCGCTGCTCCTCTCGCTGCCGTTGAGGTTACACCCGTTGCTGCTACCCCCGTTGTGGCTGCCCCTGCTGTGGTCGCTGTTGAGACTGTCACTGAGGCTAACGTCCCTACTGCGGCTCCTACTACTGCAGTCGCTTAAGTGTGTTCGGTCCTATCTCTCCACCGTGCATTTGCTATTGAAGCAATGCCTGGAGTTCCTTTTCTTCCTTGATTCTGTACTACGGTCACTTTCCCTACACCTCGATCGGTCCTTTCTCTCCGCCTTTTCTTCCTTTGCATATATTTAAATCACACCCCTTGTTTTGGGAACGAGGTCTGGTTCTGGACCTTAAAAAACAACAGCTTTTGATTTCCTTTTTTCACCCCCTTTTGGACGTTTGGAACTCGTTCTTTTTTTACTTATTTTTTTTTATCACCCTATCATGTATACGACGAACAAACAGAAAAGGTTGTTTTTGTTTTTCGCGAAGCCCTCGACTTGATTTCTCAAGTCTTAACGATTGGCGTCTGTTGTCTATTCTCATGGATTATCTTTCTTGGTTTTCGATTGACTCTTGGTTGTGGTTTTCCCGAATGGGGCCAAGGAGAGAACGAGGAGATGAAGTGTGGCAATGAGAGGATATGTTGAAGCTGAGGGGAATTGGATTCGGAGACCGTTGCAACTGGAAAGAAAGAGAGCTTCCAGATGAGAAGAGTCCTGAGAATATTTCGAGAAAAAAAAAGGAAATGTCTCAATCACCTTGTTCTTGTAGTGTATAGATGTAGTGCGCTCTGTGCTTAGTAGCTGTCTAAACCCGTGACCTTGATCACCCAGGTCGAGTCTTTTACACCTCTTGTTCACTCTACAATCTACCCCATCAGTCAGCTTCAGATAGCCATCCCCAATTGATCCACATCAAGATGCCGGGCTCGGTTGGAAGTGATGAATTCGACGATGACGAGGTACAGTAATCCTCATACCCACGCACGTCCTAGAGCTGCCATCTAACCAATAAATGATCTACAATTGCAGGCCTTCATTCTGGACATCGACGGCATCCAGGCCCACGGCATTGGCGCAGCCGACATTACCAAGCTGAAGGCCAATGGATTCTACACTGTTGCTGTCAGTCCTCATCTTCGCATAGTTCAAGCCAATTCCATCCCCAAACCTAACCACTCATCCAGTCCGTCCACGGCGCCACCCGCAAAACCCTCCTAAAGATCAAAGGATTCAGTGAAGTCAAGGTCGAGAAAGTCAAAGAAGCAATTCAGAAATGCCTCCCCACGGCCTCGGGTTTCATCACAGCAATGGAACTCCATCACCAGCGCAAGAAAGTGGTCCGTATCTCAACCGGCAGCAAACAATTCGATTCAATCCTCAACGGGTGAGTGCAATACCAATGCCCCTGTCAAACTCCATCTAACCCAATCTAACCCCACCAGTGGCTTCCAAAGCATGAGCATCAGCGAAGTCTTCGGCGAATTCCGCTGCGGCAAAACGCAACTCTCGCATACGATGTCCGTAATCGCCCAACTACCCAAGGAAGCAGGCGGGGCCTCCGGTAGAGTCGCCTACATTGACACAGAGGGCACGTTCCGACCTGAGCGTATTGCCCAAATCGCAGAGCGATTCGGAATGGACCCCGACACGGCGCAGGAGAATATTTCCTATGCGCGCGCGCTGAACAGCGAGCACCAACTCGAGCTGCTGAACACGCTTTCTCAGGCGTTTGCGGGTGGCGAGTATCGGTTGCTTGTTATCGATAGTATCATGAACTGTTTTCGGGTTGATTATTGTGGGCGTGGAGAGTTGGCGGATCGGCAGCAGAAGTTGAATCAGTTTTTGATGAAGCTGGCGCATATGGCTGAAGGTGGGTTGTTTTATATGTGTCTTTGCTCTTTTGGCTGCTTTGCTGATTGGTCTGACTTGCAGAGTTCAATGTTTGTGTCTTGATGGTGAGTGCGATATTTTGTTTCTCGAGGTCTTGTGGCTCACGCTTCAGTTCAGACAAACCAAGTCCAGAGTGACCCTGGCGCTAGTGCTCTCTTTGCTGGAGCTGATGGTCGCAAGCCCGTTGGTGGACATGTTCTTGCTCATGCTTCCACTACTCGTGTGCTCCTTCGGAAGGGTCGTGGTGAAGAGCGAGTTGCGAAGATCCAGGATTCTCCTGGTGAGTACTTCGATATAGTCCGGGTGCTACCACTGTTCTAACTTTTTCTAAGACTGCGCTGAGCGTGAAGCAATCTATATCATTACCAATGGTGGGATCAATGATCCTGACAAGGCTTGAGGGTAGGGTCGAGACGATGTATCGATGTTGAGGGAAATGCTCTGCAGTCACGATTTTCATGAGATTTCGTGATATCTCAGGTTTTATTCTGTGGTGATTTTATACCATTAATCAATTTATACCATAGAGAATAGGTTAGAATACCAACTCCAAGTTATGTTCATGTCGATGTAGTTGAAGCCCTAACTAAGAAATTCACCGCCTACACCGCCGCTCTGACATCCCGGCAAAATTCTGTGCCAAGAGCAAATCTGCAGAAAAAGTTCAGCTCAATCAACGCAACAATCCAGCGTCAAACCTCCATTCAAAATGAAGGGCGAATCCGTGCAGGTAGAAGGGTATACCACCCTACCTGTGCAGCTCCCAACAACCCCCCTCTTCCCCTATCCTGCAACACACTATCTCTACATCCGACCACACGAACCCCGAATCCCAGACCCAGATTCCACCCGCTCCCTCTTCATCGTCAACGTCCCAATCGACACCACAGAAGTCCACCTTCGACACCTCTTCGGTGCGCAACTCGCCGCAGGCCGCGTTGAAAAAGTCCAATTCGAAGATGTGCAGACCAAAAAGCGCACAGCGGTAACAACCACAGAAACCAACCTAACTCAAACCAAAAAGAAGCGCAAGCGCGTAACTGCCGATGACTTTGAACGCCACCTAGACGACATCACGCTCCCTTCAACCTGGGATCGCAAACTTCAAAAGAGCGGCGCCCACGCAGTCGTCATCTTCGCCGACAAGCCCAGCATGGAGACCAGCCTGAAAGCCGCCACGAAGGCGGCCAAGCGGGGCACCACCATCATCTGGGGCGACAGCCTGCCGACCAACCGCATCCCTGTCCTCGGGCTAAACCGGTACATCGCGCACGAGCGGATGCAGTACCCTGATCGGGGGACGCTGCTGCGGGCGGTGAATGAGTTCATGACCACGTTCACTCAGGTGTCTGAGGTGCGCAAGCGCGAGGATCACAAGCGTCTTGCTGTGCCGGACGAGGATGGATTCGTTACTGTTTCGCACGGGCCGAAGTTGAATTCTGCGGCGAGGGAGGAGGAGATGAAAGAGCTTGTTGAGAAGCAGAAGAAGAAGGCTGAGGGACTCGAGGACTTTTATCGGTTCCAGTCCAGGGAGAAGAGGAAGGAGAGACAGAACCAGTTGCTTAGGCGCTTTGACGAGGATAAGAAGAAGTTGGCGGAGATTAAGGCCCGGAAGGGGAAGATTCGAGTAAGTTTTCTCTTCTTTGTTCACTTGCTCCTTGGTCCTTGAGGTTTTACTGACTTTTTATACAGCCTGAGTAATCTGTTACATGATAGCATGGCGTTATGGGTGTCTTTTTTCGCTGGCAAGCTAAAAGGTTCGAGAGGTGTCCTATGTACATGTGAGTTTTTACCTTTTCTTTGCCTTCTTTTATGCTCGCTCCTATGATGAACTCGCTGGGGCCATAGTAGCGAAACGCGTTTGCCCGCTGTTATGCCATGACTGCAAACACCAGCATATCTATATCTTCTCGCCTTCTGAACTGGAATTTCGTCTTACCGGGATTTATTGTGCTTCTTGGTGTCGCATCTGCTAATTGTGATTCGAAACAGGTTCGATACATACATACCTGTTACCCCAATATCAATAGTTCATGACCCAATTATATATGTTCGAGTTTTCGTATCATCCATAGCCAACTCGTAGATGTCTCTAATTCCGGATCTCCCGCACAGACCAACGCTTGGCGTTACATCCCACCTCTGGGAAACAGGACGTCTTATGGGATTGATAGCTCTGCCAAAGTATAGAACTGTTTAAAAACATCGGAGAATAATGGCTACAGTCAGCTGTATTATTTGATACTACTTTCGGCAAAGTCACGTTCTCCAAGCCTGTGGCAAAAGCTTCACACGATATATCCCGCATGATATATCCAGCAAAAATAGCTCTATCTCAGTGGCATACAGCACCTCATCGGCCATTCTTCGCTCTTTTTTCATAAAACCCCCATCAAGAGTGAGAATCTTAATCATTGAATCTGGCACATTCTATCTATATCGAAAGAAAGCCACAAGATGTCCCCTGCCTCAGTCAAAAATGAGCAAGACAGCGACTCCGACTCCGACGTCGAGTTCGAGGATGTCCCAATCTCCCTCCCAAACAGACCCAGAAACAGAGAAGACAGAGGAATCCCGATAACCATCCCCGCAACCCCGCAACCACAATGGACTCCAACCCTATCACTCCCGCCACAGCGAAGCCAACCCATCCCCTCGGGCTCCGAGGAAGAAGTCCAGCTCCGAGGCCACATCAGCACCGGCATAGAGAGAGTCACGTACCGCAAAATGAAATCCGACATGGGTATGGACGCACCGGGTACGCCCGCCTCAGAACGCAGGTATAATGGCTTCAAAGAGCTCGCTGCAGATGTGGAGGGTCTTATTGATGCGCTTTGGGCGTCGGCAACACGTGAGTTTTATATCTTATACAACGTAGAAGTGGATTATATTGTTTTATACTATCTTTATTGCCTTCCTTTTTGACACCATCTGCTACATTCTAACCAATTCTGCCCAGCGGCAATCCAAACCGAAGCCCTCATAACCCTAGCAGGCCTAACCCAAACCTCCCTCCCAGCCTTCCCCTTCGATGCCCCACCGACTCTAAACATCCTATACAAGCTCGATTCCGTCTTCGCAGCACTATGTACAGGCACACACCCACTCACCGGCGCCGTTCTACCAGGTGCACAGCTGGGCCACTCTCTCGTGACCGAGACGCAGAAGGTTCGGATCCGGAGTTTGGCGGAGAGGACTAGATATGAAGTGTTCTCTTGTTTGGAGAAGTCGAAAGATGGAGTTAATGCTGGTACTGTTAATACTGGCGGGTATGGATATGGGGATGACGAGGACGAGGCTAGTGGCGACGAGGTCGAGCCGTGGATGTTAGAGGCCACGCGGGTTTATGAGAAGAGTCTTATGTTGCTTGCGGAGCAGGATCCCGAGGTGGACGCGGGGATGGATGAGTTCAACTGTTTGTAATGTATATTCAATCTTGTTGCCTGATCTAGGTGTGCCTATGCGGCTCCAACATTAAATAGATGTTGGTGAAGATGATATTTTTAGAATGGATCTCTTGCCATTACGTCGGTGTACATATGGTGCATACGAGGCAGACGCTCAGGCCACACACAAAATAGTGACCAAGTAGTTCGGAGCACGTCCCACACCAATTTGCATTACATACGGCCTCTATTGTCCTAACATTACTACCTATGGACGCGGATATTTCTAGAAACTTCTAGCTAATGAAAGAAAAAAATCTGCACCGAAAAATAAAAAACAAAGAGCCTGTGGGGTCCAGGCAAAAAAGTCGGTCGATTTTATTCACTATACAAATGCCGATTGGATCGGTAATGAAGTAATGAGGTTTACAGTAAGAGTTCCCGTACCTCGAATTCAGGTATCAGTCACACCCAGTGTTAGCACTCTCTTTGGCCAGAACAGAGCGAACTAAGTGGATGTGAGCCCTGAAAGTGGGGGTCATTGGGGCCAGCTAGTGGCCTGGGTCTGTGTAGCTCGGGGCTGCAATGGCCAGTAGTAAGTCCGAGAGGCTATAGTTTAGATGTACATCGTGAATATACGATTTCGTTGGCTGTGCTTTGACCTGGCCTTTTTTGCCACGTGAAAGCGAAGAAAGTGGTAACTGTGTCATGACAGAGGGGATATACCAATAGTTGTATGTGCATATGCTTTGGATGATATTTCCGATGGTGGGAACGAGCTGCTTTGTTTCCATGGTTCATACTGTATATTCAGGTATAATATGAGATTGTGTTACTGAACTGAGCTATAACTAGATATATATTGTGGGATGATGTTGTAGCTGCCTATATAGGTCGTTTGCTTAGGGCTATACTATTCCGTACAACAAGACCAGTTTGCCGTGTCTTACCATGCAAGGGTTGGATTAGCTTATTTTCATAGAGCTGAGCAGGTGAACGGAGGGGTTAGATCTGAAACCTAACATCCCACCTTAATGAATATCATCCCTTGCACGCAACCCCTTCCACAGTATAAAACATACAATAGAGTAACATGGTCGAAACCATGTCAGTAGAGCATGGTTATGGGTAATTCAATCTTAGAAACGCGTCGCGTACCGCGTAGAGTGAAATAAGCCAAGCAGATGAAATCTCTGCTGGTAAAGCAGTAATTCCAATACGAGCGGCCCCCCAATCCTGGCCAATAAGAGCAGAACTTTGCATGGAAAGTCTCCCATGGTTCTGATGGAGCCTTTTTTTTTCTTTCTTTCTCTTTGATGTCTTTTTTCCTGGTCCTGTTCTTTCATGACCGGACGTGCGCGGCTGAGGTATTTTGGGAATACGAAGGGGAGGAAACCAGATTGGGAAGTCCTTGCGTGCAGCTTAGGGCAGTACAGGACATGGATTAGAGAACCTTGCTTCGAGAAGATTGGATTGGGGGCTCTCTGTGACCTCTGGTAGACCTTCAGCTCCAGGGCTGCAGACAGGGTATCTGGGTGACCTTGCTGTATTGTGGAAATGGAATTACCGTACGGGGCTGCTGGTTCCATGGTTCTGTGGCGTTTGTTCTCTTCCAAGGTTTGTCTTGCTTATTATGATATTACATACAGTAGATCGGGTGTGGACATGCTACTAGACACCATCATGTCTATATCCATGAACACCTTAGTATAGCCCTAGTTTTGCATATAATACAAGAGATCAGATCAAACCACTGCCTATGCTAAGATGTACGGAGTACCCAACAGGTTACTACCTGATCTGCTTGTACTCTTACTCAGCATATGACGATGACGAGGGCTCGGGAGAGGCCCACACAGACCTGAGGAGTTGACAAGTCACATTGCGAGGGCGGCGACAGGTCCTTGCAGATTTCATGCATTGGGGCTTCCGGCCCCTTGTTCTTCTGGCTTTCACCGAATTTTGTTCACATTTCTTTTTTTTTTTTCCCTGTGGCTGATCATGCGGACAGGTGGAAGAGGTCGATCATCGGCAACGAACTTTGGATGCAGACCTCGGGTCCCAGGGTATGATGTATCATCTTCAATTCTCCCGGGCTTCCCGGGATTCTGGTACGATGAAGAATAGTAAGCCCCCCGCATGACTGATATCATGCATTTTTGACAGGAATCTGGGGACAGGCTGGTATATATAAGTATTCTGTACGGCGTACGGAGTAGGGTTTGTACCTGCCTCAGGTCAAGAGAGGAAAGAGCTCTGATCGACAAAGGCAAGGCATTCTGCACTACCGGCTACAGTGTACAACTAGTAGATATCATACTGTTGATACTGATCTATACACGCAGTTGGATACTAGACTCGACCTACTCTGTACTATTTAGTATGTTGTTGGCGACATACTTCAACTCTGGAACGGAACATACCAATACCCTGTAATACACTTACCATACCGAGACTCACGTAATGCGTTTCCCACTTCCCCTCTCTCTTCATCTCGCGAGATTTCCAATTCTTCATTTTCTTCTTTTCCCCCTCCTACCTTCCCCTCCCTTTTCTTATTGTTCGAAGATCTCGGTTTCAATTTTCTGTTTAGTTATCGGGAGTTCTGCTTTTCCTCCCTTGTTGCCGATTACTCTTTTTTTGCCTCGCGCATTTCCAGTGTTTTCCCAGGTTTTCCTCAACATCTAGGTAAGTTGCTTGGTGTTATTCTATCGCATGTCGCATCTTGGCCCCAAGCCTCTTTCCTCGTTTGAATGTACCCCAAATTCTGTCTGCCCCATATCTATCAGCAGTCCGGCGCAGCGCAGCGCAAATTAGCCCTAGATCGCAAGCTTCTTTGCAGGGTTCACGATTTTAGTATGGCGACGCCTTCGCCTTGACCAGCGCTTCGGGACATTTGAGCCGATTATCCACCGGTCGCACGCATCTCAACCTCAAAAACGTCGCCAATATGAGGAATCGGTCCGATCTGGATGTCTGACTTGCCCGAAAACTGTGCTGGATTGAGAGGGTGGACGGTCGCATTCGGACATGAAACCGGGACGACGGAAACGGCCGACGCATGATGATCGCCTAGCACCCGAGTGGAAGCAAGTCCATTTTCGTCTCGCGCATCCGATTTTCGCCGTTGGATTGTTCGTCTTCGGCGACTCCTCAAAGCTAGCATCGTGAGATGCGATGCTTCCCGAAGCACTAGTCTTGGCGATTTCCGGCACCACTTTTTTTGAGGCTCAGAATCATATATACGCCCGAGGAACCAGCCGCAAAAATGCTGACTACGCACTTTTTTTTCCCTTCCGCATCGTTTACTCACTTGCATTGCTTGGTTGCCTTTCTCTGCTATTCACCTCTCACTTCCTTTTCTTTACTCGCGCATATGCAGATCTGCTTCAATTTCATTGAAAATTGATATAATCTGACTTTATATCTTCCCTAGCTTTTCACGCCCGTCTCTTTGCTTGGCTTCGTTACGACTTGATCTCACGCCGGTCTTTCTTTAACGACTCCACGAAGTTCTAGTCGCTCAGACATCTTATATTCTTACGTCGACTTTCCGGACTTTGATCTTGCAACCATGTCTTACAACGGCTACGAAAACTTCCCTCAGCAGGATCCCGCCGCTGCTGGCGCCCCGGCTCCCGTTGACACCAACATGACCGGCCAGGCCGATCCCTCCGCCGCTCAGTTCCAGGGCCCCCCTCCTGGTGAGCCCAACTCCGCTCCCGTCCCCCAGCAGGGTGCCGATGGCAAGACCACCCTCTGGATGGGTGAGCTCGAGCCCTGGATCGACGAGAACTTCATCCGCAACCTTTGGTTCCAGATGGGTGAGCAGGTCAACGTCAAGATGATCCGTGACAAGTTCTCTGGGTAAGACTGCAATTAGAACTTTCATCCCAAAATTGTTTCTAATGTGGGTAGTAGGAGCAATGCCGGATACTGTTTCGTCGACTTCGCTTCCCCTGCCGCCGCTGCTAAGGCTCTTTCCCTGAACGGAACCCCCATGCCTAACACCAACCGCGTCTTCAAGCTCAACTGGGCGACCGGTGGCGGCCTTGCTGATCGCAGGTAAGCGATGATCTCTTTGGTTGGTTGCCTCCCGGCTCTAAAAAACTGACCCGTCCCAGCCGTGATGACCGTGGCCCCGAGTACTCGATCTTCGTTGGCGACCTCGGCCCCGAGGTGAACGAATACGTCCTCGTCTCCCTCTTCCAGAGCCGCTTCCCCTCTTGCAAGTCTGCCAAGATCATGACCGACCCTATCAGCGGCATGTCCCGCGGTTACGGCTTCGTTCGCTTCTCCGATGAGAACGACCAGCAGCGTGCTCTTACCGAGATGCAGGGTGTCTACTGTGGCAACCGCCCCATGCGTATCTCCACCGCTACCCCCAAGAACAAGGGTCCTGGTGTCGGTGGTAACGGCGGTGCCGCCATGGGTATGCCCGGTCCCGCTGGCATGTACCCTCCCATGGGTGGCCCTCCCATGCCCTTCTACGGTGCTCCCCAGCCTATGAATCAGTTTACAGACCCCAACAACACCACCGTCTTCGTCGGTGGTCTGTCCGGCTACGTTACCGAGGATGAGCTCCGTTCTTTCTTCCAGGGCTTCGGAGAAATCACCTACGTCAAGATCCCCCCCGGAAAGGGTTGTGGTTTCGTCCAATTCGTGCAGCGCCACGCCGCTGAGATGGCTATCAACCAGATGCAGGGCTACCCCATCGGCAACTCCCGCGTGCGTCTGAGCTGGGGCCGCTCCCAGAACAACTCCGGCCCCGCCGGCAGCCCCTACCGCCCTGCTCCCCCGCCGCCTCCCATGTACCCCTCCATGGGCATGCCCCCAACCCACCAGTATGGCGGGTTTGCCCCCATGAAGGTGAGCGATCACCCTGGCAGCCCGATCCCGGATCAAATGTGAAGCAGGCGGTCGGCTGACACACTCTTCCAGTAAGCGTTTCCCTTTGATTGAAAGCACCAGCAGGAGTTATTTGTGTCATTCCAACGATGATTCTATTGTGTCATAACAAATTCGTTCCTTGGTTTCTGGGCCAAGGCTATAGCTCTTGATGAGCATTTGTCTCCTGTGCTACGCATTTCCTTTTTACGTGAGCGCTATTACCTTAGCAAGATCTGAGCTTTATCCCCTTTCTGATCTGTCTTGTTCTTATGTATCTTTCCTTTTTTCACCCTCTCTTCGACTCTCCCCCTTTGCGCCCCGTCGTATTTTATTTTTCTTTATCTTATTTTCGATGTGTCTCTGCCCTTATGCTACTTATGCTATCTGGGTTTCCCGCCACTGGGTCTTTGTCTGCGTGTAATGGAAGTCCGAATTGTCCTGCGCTTCTTTTTCCCTTATACTCCTTGGGCAGGCATTCTGCGAAAAGTTCCATTTCCCCCACCGTTACCACTTTTACCACCTTATTTCATTTGTTCCTTTTTTTTCTTTTTTTTTTTTCTTTTCTTCAAGCAGCTAAATTGAATTATGTTCGCTTTGAGAATCTTCGCGTCGTGCTTCTTTTTACCCTTGTTTCTTGTTAAGACTGATTGCCGGCTTGTACAACACGCTTTTTTTCGTGCGCCTCAGCGTTTGTCGATTCTAAATTCCTTTGATCGTATGCAATAATGTCCTGTACGCTTGTCTGGTATTTTGCATTGCACTACTGCCTTCAAGCTCTCCATTTCCTGGTATTGTATTGTCGGCCCTTGGCTTCTGGATCTACCTATAAACATTGCTCCTGTGGCTGGTCCCATAGGTGGAGGTTTCAATGGACTCGAGCATATCTGGTTGCTCTGTTAGCTGGTCCCTGGTGGTTGTCTTGCTATATTGCTGTCTGCTGTCTGCTATCTTGAGAGTCTACTGGGTTAGGGCTGGGATTTGGACTGGACTGACTCTGAGACTACTCTTCTGGATCATTGTAAATTTCTTAATTCCTGAATGGAATGTATATAGGTATGGCTCTTCTATCTTTTTTTAATGCTTGATATTCGCCGGATGACCATTGGCAAGTGGACCTCGGAACTGTACAATACTCACATATATGAAGTCTACATACATCCATACATGTACATAGAAACATTGGGTGTACACCTCCAGACGTCTTATCAATATGTCTATCGATAAGCATACTGCCTACCATTATCGATGCTATAGGAGTGCTACTCAAGGCAACAACGACCGTGTTGATTGTATACCGCCTTGCACGACTTCCCATAATTTGTATACACCACCCAAGCAACTTCGAGATGATCAGTCCATCCATTCTCTTTTTACCACTCTCCACAGCATCATGCGCTACAGAAACTGGGATGTCCTTCTTTTCCCTGGGGCTTCGAAGGCCCCCATCCAAGAGTTCAAGACACAATGTTTTGTGACCAAGGACAAAGACTCGCCCTATCTACAGAATGCTGTCTTCCTTGGCCCTCATGCACACCATCCCGAGCCAGGTGTTTTTAACCAGCTGCCAGTCCTCACAACATTCATCCCAAGTCTACCCAAAGACAGTCCGTTCCAAGTCTCAGTTCACAGTTGGGAGAAGCCACGTCCCAGTGTCCAGATTGAGTCCAATATGGAACCAGAGGACGTTTTGCTGTTCGAGGCACGGGTCTTCGTTGATGGGGTCTTTGTTGCGTGAGTAACTTACGATCTATGTACTCTGATGCTTGGATTAAGCTGATGTCTTGCAGGGGTAGTATCTATCCACAGAGAACTAGTTGGCCACAGGTTATGGGTATGTTGCGCGCGCTTGCTTCGGCACAACGCAGTTCTAATATCCCCATTGCCTTGCTTGGTTTTATTATTGAATAGCTACTGACATTCATTTGCCAGATCTGGGCTCTAGTATGCGATTCCTTCTTTCCCTTTGATTTCAAATTCTCACAGTCCGAACAGATCTTGATCGAGATGGAAACCAAGATGTCCTTCGATTTCCTCCCTTCCATCCTGAGATACTACAACAGAAGCATTGGGATGCCGGGGATTCTCAAGGTCGAATCAAGGTTATCATCGCAGAAGGTTTCTCTCGCCCCAACCGCTCACCCCCGTTCGAACGATACAAGCATGTCATTGCTTTCTCTTTCCAGCATGCACCACTAGATGTGCTGGAATTCTCTGACATTGCTTGGCCCAATCCCAACATGTGGCTTGCTATGCCGAACGCATCCCGGTATGGATCGGCGGCCAGATATAGTACCCCCAGGGCAGTTGGCGATGGCGCACATGGGCATTCGCCAAGCAAACCTAGCAGATCCGATCATCGAAGTACGATTACGGCCAACACGAGCAGCCAATCTAGCAGCAATGCAGCTACTTACAGCGGTAGTACCGCATCAACTTACAATGCCTGGACCCCTCACCGTGGGTTTCCCATTCCTTCCACACAATGGAACGGCTATCCACAAGAACCTCGATGGGAGCCACAGGAAACATACATCGTGGAACCTGTCATAGACGCCTTCGTTGATGATACAGCTTGGCGACAGCGTGGTGCTCGATCCTCTCGCGAGGACATCCCAATGCCAGACTATACTTCCACGGGATCGAACAGCAGCCGGGCCATCTCCAGCATGACTGGGATGAGCTACGAACACAGCAAGCAGCCCAGCATCAATTCATGTCTTGACGATGAGCAATACAATGAGCTGATTGAAGCTCTGACACCAACGAAGGCTCCTCCAATGGGTACGCGCGCACCATCTAATACTCCATCCGCTGTCGCCGCCGCGACATCTGCCTCAAAGCCTTCTGCTGCAGCCGAAGCTCGATCTGCAAGCTACAAGACCCGAAGCCGCCGTGCATCCGCACTCAGGGAGATTTCACAGTCAAGCACCCGTGATGTTTCGGGATCGAGCGAGCCCAAGAAGAACTTGACTCCATCCAAGATCGGGGCGTGTCCAAGCGAGAAGGTCCGGAGCAAAAAGGAGACCCAGAAAGAGGCCAGCCAGGAGACCCCTAAAGCGCAGTCTAAGGGTAAGTGTAAGGGGATTGCGAACGAAAACAGCAACTCCAGGGATGTCGAGAATCTACAGGACGAGAATGAGTCGGTTTTGTAGGATCGCACTGGCCATGATCATGATGCTTTTCAGCTTATACTTACCTAATCATTCATTTGTTTTAGTTCAGTGACATGAAGCCGGCATGTATCTTTTATGCGAGCTTCAACCAATGCACTTTTTACTACGAAGTCGACAAATGTACTGTTTTATAAAAACTTCAATCGATAATTTTACCCTATTTCAAGCTGACAAGTATACTTTATTCGAATTTGGACTAACACTAGTTACTATCACGAAGAGTCTTTATCCGGATCTCGAGCAATAATTCTTCCACTATATGAAGTACTGTTTTATGCATGCAATTCCTGTACTACTGCTACTACTTATTCACACATGATATAACAATAGCAGTAGTATGGTATTGGATACCTGGCATTACATGGTGTCATAAGGCGGTTTCAAACTTCGTGCCTTCTCAACTGCCTTCTCAACTGCTTGTTTGGTATGAAGAGTCACTCTACCAGGCGACTGTAAAGTGACTTCGCTCTCTTTCTTCCCCTCCCTCTCTCTCTTCCCTATCATCGCCTCTTTTCCCATCTTCGTTCTTCGCTGCCACACGTCTCTTCTTCACCGCATCATATCTTCTCTCTTTATTGTTCATGAACACCACGGACCACAATATCCAGCCAGGATAAGGCTGTTCCTGGGGTGTCCCAGGCCACCAGGCACCCTTCATTCATTACTTTCTTCAGGCTCATCACCATGATGACTGTCGCGGTGTGTCCTTTAGCATAAATACATCACTCAATACATTCAAAGTTGGATTGGGAGGTTCTACTTGATTGCAAATGTAAGAAGAACTCTTTCAAAACACGTAGTTGGCTATATAGCATTTTGCACTATTCTTGCTACAACACCAATAATGGAGGGAAATATCTCGAATACATACAAAAAGAATATCCGGGGAGACATCTCGGGAGACTCCAAAAAGGTCTTCCAAGGACGCGTTATAATTGACCACTTTGGCACGTTCCATAGCATAAAGACCATTAAAGGCGCTTGAACTATCAAGTTCGAAGTATTTCCCTTTGCTTAATCAAATAATATCAACAATTCTCAAAAAAAAAAAAGCTATCGATGGACAAGTCTAGTGAGAGTTCAAACAAATGTTATGCTCGTATTGAACTACCTTCAACACCAGAGCCTCTATAATGATAATTTCACTACAAAAGGAACTCAAATAAGGAAAATATGATTGATTAAGCTTCATTCTATCTAAAGCCAGGGGGCTGTCCCTAGCGAAATGGTTCAAAAAAGCTTTCAGAGACAGGACAAGCAAGTGGAGGTCCTACTTGCATAGTGTAAGTATCCGTCTCATGACAAGCGAGATTCAAAGTACAATGAATCAAGCTTTTAAAAATGCCCTCAGAGTTCTCTTCATCGAGCAAGTAACCAGAGTGCTGTCTCTGATGGAAAAGTTCCAAAGATTTGGGTTTTGATGGCGTCTGTGGCCACCCAAGGATTCAGAGAATCCATGCATGTAGTAGGCCCTCAGAATTGTGTCTTCCTTGGAACCCTGCCCTGTATCCTCCACGCCTCCTTTCCTATACCCTCCGCCTCCCATCTCGTAGAACTTTGTCATAACCCCGGTGGGTGACTGTTCTATATCCTCCCCCTGTCTGCCATCGGAGTCCTCCTCCTCTGGGACGAGGCCACGCCGGGTCTCAGATAGCCCATCCTTCACTCCCCCAAAGACGTGATGCACTTTCGCGCAGTCAGAGGTCAAGATACCCTCAGAGTCCTCTTCACTGGGCAAGGTCACATGTCCGCTGGAAGGCTGTGTCGAATGCTGCTTCCAGTGGGAGGCCAGGGGAATGGTTGACGGAGGGACCTGTGAAAGGGGCAATTTCTGCTATATATCGTCTCATGAGTACGCGGGGACTTACCAATGGCCTTTTGTGAGACACAGAAGACTCACGGCCCCGTTGAGGCATGCAAGTGTTAGTGTTGGAGAGTGTAATTGGGGAGAGACCGGGACAGAAAAGACTCCAGCCTGAATTCTATGAACTTCAGGTGTGATAGAGAGAACAGCAAAAAACGCATGTCTCGAAAATGAAATATATAGAAGATGAAAACAGACAAAGTATGTTCTTCACAGGAGAGGAAAGAGGAAAGAGGAAAGAGGAAAGAGGATGGAGGATGGGATGGGATGGGTGATGAATGGAGGGGGGAAGAGAAGAGGAAGAGTAGAGAGGGAGGTTTGACAAGGGAAGATGAGAGGGAGGAGAAAAAAGAAGGAGGAAGGATTTTATATCAGAAGCCTGGCCCGTCCGACTCCCAATTAGGGAAAGTAGCATTATAGCCTCGCCGACTCCCAATACAGTACAACGATGACATGGTGACTGCGTATTAGACAATACTTGGAGACTGCCACCTTGAATCGACAGCTCATATAGGAATTAAAATCTGCATTGTGACCAGGCCACTAAATTGACTTGACTTATACTATCACTATCATGCCAGCAGGCTGTCTACATGTACACAAACTCCAAGACTGGTGGACGGAGGAAACTATCCATGTATGAGTTCGAATCAATATTTTGAGACCAGGAAAATAACATGAAATAACCATAACGACATCGAAACTCCTGGAATTTGCTAACAGGGAATATCCAAATCCAATATCAATCCGGTCTCATCCCATCAACACACTAACACCGACAGCCACAAGTAGAGTCGCGAAATTCCTAGTTCTTTTGGTTCCTTTTTAGATCAGTGCCATTTTTCCTCTGGTCACTCCTATGTCCGGTTTCAGGGATAATATGGGCTGGTCGGGTGGTACCCGGGTCTGATCTCAAGAGTATAGGCAAAGTGTAAAGAGAAGAGAAGAAAAAGAGAAAAGAAAAGAGAACCACAGGCTATATAGCCAGTGTGATAGAAGTAGAGGTAGAAAAGGCCCACTACCAGTAATACTGGTGACAAAAGAGAAAGGGAAGGAAAAAAAGGGGGAAACGGCCGGCATTTGTTGGAAGATTGTTCGAGATTGATCAAACGAGAGAAGATGAGTGACAGAAAAAAAGGAAATCGTTGGAAATGAAAGTATGAAAGTGCACTGGATCAACCGTAGGGAACTGGACTTCATACTGAGAGGTATCAACGTTGCCCGTACAGACAAAGCCAAGCAAGGAATTAAGTAACCACATCCACAAGTAAAATAATAGTAATAATAGAAAGAAAGGAAGAGAAGCCAAGAAAACTCGTAGGTCACAGTGCACTAATCTCGAATACAGAAGAGCCCCGGCCAGACCAAGCAGTCCCTGCTATCAGTTGAAGGATGCTGGTTTCCTAGGACGAGCAAGGGAGGGGATAGGAGAGGATGCGATGAACAAGGTACACCAACGCCAATCTCACGACAGCACATGCGCAGAAAACACATATCCAGATAATTGAGAGACAAGAAGAAAACATAACAGGTCGAGTATCCGCGAAAACGCACTAGAGCAATGATCAAATGTACAAACAAGGGTATATCGGAGGTGAAGCACCTGAAGGACCGTTAAGACTTTTACACGTTCACAGGCCGTCACCAGCACCTGTTTCAACACCATCGGCCGAATAGGACATGCTGGGATCGAACCCAAATCCAGTAGTGTCGGCGGCATCCGTGTTGAGGAATGTGTCAAAGTCAAAGTGCTCCAGGATGTTTGGGCTTTCCAGTGGGCCGAAGTCGAGGTTGTATGGCTTGCATGGAGTCAGTAAATGCATACTTGTAGGAGACGAGGTGGAAGAACATACATCAGGAATACTGAGGTCAGCGAAGGATTGCTGTTGGTCAGGGGGTGGCTGCACCATGGTCTGAGGAGCAGGTGCCGAGGTCGGCTGTGATGGTTGAGCTTGCCCGTTCGCTCCATTCGCTCCATTCTTGGGATTGAAAGAATTAGGGTGCTGCGGCGTGACGGGGGTCGATGGAGTCGGTAGCTCTGCAGCTTCGGTGGATGGAGTTGCACCTGCGGCTGCACTGGCAGCAGCAGCAGCAGCTTGCTTCTTGTTAGGTCGCTTGGATCAAGTTAGCGAATGCAAAGACCATAGCACCAATTGAGAGTATACAAACCTTGCGGGCGTCCTTGGTTTCCTTCTTGCCTTTCGGTGCAGCTTTGGTGGCCTGCTGAGGTGTTGGTGGCGCGTTCCCAGCCGTCTGCGGTGACGCTGGCTGGCCACGACCAACGTTAGGACCCGTGACAGGTGGCGCCGAGGGCGGAGGCATCGCGCTTCGTTCCTGTGGGGTCCCAGCCTGGGGCTGGTTCGCAGGTGAATGCTGCGGAGGCATCTGCGGTTGTCCTGGCTGCCATTGTCCACTAGGCATACGCTGGCCGGCATTGGCCGGAATCGGCTGACCCATTTGAGCTCCAGTGAAAGCAGGGTTAGAGCTAGGAGGTCGCATATTCGATCCAGGGAAGAACTGAGCCCCCATCTCTAGTATCGGACCACCGTTGAGGTTCATGGATCCAGGTGATCCACGTTGAGACATGTCACCGGCATTTGGCGACCCGGGAAGTCCAGTCGGAGGTATCTTGGGCGTACCTCGTTTCATTTGGTCATTAGGATTGGGGGATGTGCCCGCCCTGCTGCCCGGGGAAGCGCCTGGCGGTAATATTCCTTGGCCGGGCATCGGGGGCTGGCCGTCAGACCGGGCAATGCTATCTTGCTCTTGACGAGCCATCATCAAGCGGCGCTTATTCTGCTGTTCAAGCAGCATAAGCTGCATTTGATAATCTTGAAGAGCATGGTTACCATGCTGAGTGCCAGGTGTCTGTAAACTACCGGGTCGGACCTGGGCGAGTTGACCGTTCGCACCGTAGTAATCAGGACCACCAGCCATAGGATACATTCCTTGGCCATCCGGCATCGGCATCAGATCCGTCTGATTCGCCATTACACCGGGATTCATCATGCCACCATTCGGGATACCCTGGGAATTCGATGCTGAGCGAGAGTGATGAAGGGCCAAGTTTTGAGCATATACCTGCATAGATTTCTGTTGCGCAGCTTGTCCCTGGAACTGCTGAAATTGGGCTGGAGTCATTCCCCTCTGCATTCCATTCTGCATTCCATTCTGCATCATTATAGCCTGCGGGTTGGGCTGTCCAGGCATTCCTTGTCCCTGTCCACGGCCATTCGGTGCCAGCTGCTGTCCGTTGACAGCGCCTTCAAGGCGTGGGCGTTTCGACGGCGAAGGAGCGTTGTCGGCAGACGCTGGTGACTGTGGTCGATGTCCACCCATCTCCATATCCGGATCCCGTTGCATTTGCTGCATCATCTGCAAGTGCTGGGTCTTTTGATACTGCGCCAGTTGTTGTTGTTGCGAGCTAGAAATAATCTCATCAGCACGTCCACCCCCAACTCAACAGTTCGCATAGGCAAGGAGATATTCAGATAGAGCATACAGTCCAGTGGTGTTGTTCTGCAGCACTGTTTTCTGCAGGTTAGGAGGCACCATGCCATTCTGTCTCCGGAGCTGGTTCATCTGGCCGGGCATCATGGGTTGCTGCCTCATAAATTGATTGTGCTGTTGCTCTCGCAGACGCATAAAGTTCTAAATTTCAGGATTAGTCCATGATCAACATCCCCGAAGGTGATCGACTACGCACCTGGTTGTGCTGAAGATATTGCCTAATATCACTGCTGTTTCCCTTCTTGCGTTGAGCCCAGAAGAACTCCCAAAAAAGGCTGAACCAATCGAGGAGGAATGAGGAGGCACTTTCGTTGGGAAGATTTGGACGAGGGAGATCATCTGGGATTTTGATCTTCTCACCGTCCTTCCCATCGGTCATCATGGCATCGGGGTCCATACCATTGACATCACCATCACGCCGATTTCCGGGACTCGTCTTGGGGTTGTTGTCGGTGTTGAGTTTGATGGATTCATCTTGCAGGAGAGCGCGGGCGCAGTCATGGTACCCACGTTTCAAAAAGTAATCATAGATATACGTGTTGAGGTTGTTGACCAAGACTTCGGGGTTGTTCATAGCGCCGTCGTTTCGAGAAGCCGTGGATCCGTTGTTGATCATAGGAACTCCACCCACAGGGCCCCCAGCCCCGGGGTTCATCCCGACGTTCATTTGGTTCATGGTGGCGAACGGTGGGACTGCAGCCACCCTTGCCTGCGGTATCGTGAGATTTTCAAATCGGAGATATGTAATTTCCGACGCGCGACCTCCGTTTCAGGCTATCAAGCCTAACGCGGGGTGATAGAAGCGACGCGTGGAAATGGAGGCGGAAGCAAAGCGCTGACCGCTTTCGAATGAATATCCAAGCCTCGCAGGCTGAGCAACGCGTGTGCGTAACGGCGCAAAAGAAACGGGTATATTATCGCAGAATATGAGGAATTTCAAGATCACCGGTGGCGTCTTTTCCCGAAGAAACCACGCGACAGGGTAGAAACGAGAGGATGGAGGCTCGGAGGCGCAGATGTAGTATGTTCGGTGTGTCTCTGACTGGAGAAATTGATGAGCGCTTGCCAGAGCATTAAACACTTCAAACGACCAAGTGCAAGAGTAAGTGCGCAGTCTATACGGGGTGGACGATGACGGAGGTACAAGGAGGCGGAAAAAGCGCACAAGTGAGGTGGTTGGTATGGGGGGCGGCGCCAGACACCCGATCGGGCAGAATCGCGGATAGGAGAGTACCAAGGCCGTGTACAAAGAAAGAGAAAACCCAAGGACAAGAAACGAAAAAAGGGAACGGATTAAGAATAGAAAAGGGGAGTCTAAGATATGTGGATCTCACAGTGGGAAGATGAGGACGGGTTCAGTGAGAGAGAGCCGGGGGGACGTACATTGACAGGCGCTGCCCTCTGCGGGAGAATCGCTTGTTCGGAGCGGATCAACCTGATCGGAGGTCGGGGCTGGGGATGGCGCTGTCAAGCGTATTTCTGGGAATGCACCGATCTGATAACCATTGAATTTGCGGTCTTCGACAAAGGAGAAACGGGAGTCAAGGAATTAGCGAAATAGAAATGGGGATAGATATGGAAATATGGCGATTTGAAGAGATCGAGAAGAATAAAAAAAAGGGACGAAGGAAGGGAAAGTCAGAAGGGTGATATGATACCTGATGGGCCCTGCGATGGATCCCAGCGGGAGTCTAAAAAGTAGGGTAAGCCACTATTTCGCGACCACCACAAAGGTTAGATATATCGAAGATCGAGCGATCGTAGAGAACTGAACAAATCGATTGAAGAATCAATTGCTGTGGAAAAGTCGTGCCTAGGTAGAGGTTGAAGAAAAGATGGAAAGGAGGGAAATTCGATCTGTAAAGAGTTGAGGGGCGGCGGAGATAGTGGTACGGAACCGGTATGGCCTCGCGTTTGTGACATACAGTACGTGACAAATACACTGACTCGGATGTTCCGTTGACCGCTATTTAGGTGCCCACGGGAATTTGTATGTACTGAGCCGAACTGCAGGTTTACGCTGCAATACGTGTTTGGTAAAAACCATACAGATCGAGCTCCTGAGCGGCAGATTCGCCAAGGATCTACACGTATAAAAAAGGGAAAAGGGAGATCATGCGATTTCGATGAACTGATCGCAACATGATCTCAAACCTTGCCCCAAGCCCGGTTCTGCTCAGTTCGAAGTTAACTGTCAGCCCCCTATGCCAGTGATAAATCGTGTGGTTCAGCGCAGGATACATCACAAAGCCTAATTTGTTGAAAGACAGGTGTACAAATAGAGTGATTATCAGAAGCAATAATGACGAGTAAGGGCAAAATGACCAATCCCCCTAAAAAAGACATAACCAGTGAGGAACCCCAGAACGCCCATTCTTCAAGTAGTGTAAATGCACAAGATCTCACAAGGTCATTACTCTTCCTCCGGTGGCATCTCATCCTCGATGTATCGTACAAGGGAGACCCGCATCTCCGTGGTATCATCTCCGCGTAGCACGTCACTGACAAAGTGTGCCTCGATCTGCATTTGAACCTAAAAGCCGGGTCAGTGATCGGACCCGTAACAAGGGAACCTAATCCAATTGACCACTTACCATCTCCAGGGACCCTCGGAGGACGCCACACAGAATGTTAGAGAACCATAGCTCGTCCTGAGCCCGCCCATCATCGGGAAGCTCCACAAAGTCCGCCAAAGGGTTGTCTTCAAAAATAAGGGAGAACTGGGTGTTGTCACTAGTCCAGTTTGTGACTGTAGGTGTGACGTTCAGAAAGATCTTGAAGCCAACCTGATCGGATTGTCAGCCATCAGAGATACATTGTCTCCATGTACTAAAGTAACTCCTACCTTCGCGATCATATCAGCTGTCTCCCGGAAGTTGACGCAACGGCCGACACCTGACTTGGCCAGGAAGTCTTCAATGAGTCGCATTCCAATATTGTATCCCATCTTGTCCAACTGCTTGTTGACATCGTGATAGTTGCTATCATAGTCTTGGCATAATTGCGCGACAATTGTTCCGTAGGTTAATGTGACCAGCTCCGCGTTGACTTTATCGACTCTTGTTCTGCGCATATGAAGAAAGCCGATTAGTTCGGATTCGAGGACAGGGATATGGCGAGGTCAATTGATCATCGCTCTTATATCCCAGTAAGCGGGCACTAGGGCTTACTGACTTCCATATTCTGTTCGAAGGCCATTGATTAGTAGAAGGTCCACTGGATAAGGCATTGGGAGTCCACCTACTCTTCTCCTATCCTTGAGTTTTTTGTAGACGACATCTTCAGGATTATGCTCTGATAGCCCGGCTTGTTGGTAAAACAGAAAAAGAATGCGGTTCAGATAGCCACAGGTAAATGTGACAGTGTTGATCAGGGTGATTGTGGGGAGTCCGTGATTGTTGGAGTTGCTGATTGTACACGGTCGGGGTACGGCGGACGAAACTGGCCATGCTAAACTTTGACTTGATTGGTTTCTTTCATCCACCGCCCTCTACTCCGCCTTATAATTGATAGGGATCTTACCTATGAGTGGGGTAAATTACCATGTCATTTTCTGCCCGACAGAAATAACCCAAGATGATCAAGTCTCAATGGTCGCTCTCGTCCGCCGGACACATCCAGCTCACCGCCGAGCCTAGGTGGGATTATCGTTATTCCCGCAGCTTCTCTGAACTTTTGCTCTCCACTGCTTTCGAGGTCGCGATTGGTCACCAATTAATTCTCCTACCTTTCCAAACTCACCGAGGTGCTTGCTGTGACAATGTCTGGTGAAAAGCGCCCTGCTCCAGAGGGCTTCGGGACCTCGCACCAGCTCGTGGTCAAGCGAAACAAGGCCGCCGAAAACGCAGGAACCGAGCTTGTGAAGGGCTCTTCCCAAAATGGAGCTCTCATTCAATCTGTATGCGCCAAGTCTGCCTTCGAAGCTCAACGGGCTTTCACGGAGAATAGCCAGCTAATTTTAATATACAGGTTCCTCGCACAAGTGGTTTGGATGCTCCTATCATGGAACTCACAGGTAAGACTCTGTCGCCAATTTGTCGCTATAACACGCGCTAATAAAAGGAACCTACTAGGTCACTCTGGTGAAGTCTTTGCAGTCCGATTCGATCCTACCGCGCAACATATCGCATCTGGATCCATGGATCGTTCTATCTGTATGTCCTCGTCTTGATCCGGGAATGCGGCCGCCGAATACGTTACTGATGGAGATTCCTTGAATAGTACTGTGGAATACATATGGACAATGCGAAAACTACGGCCAATTGACAGGTCACCGAGGAGCTGTGCTGGATCTTCAGTGGTCGCGCGATTCGCGGGCACTATTCTCAGCATCCGCAGACATGACCCTTGGAAGCTGGGATGTGGAGACCGGAGAACGAGTACGCCGTCACGTGGGGCATGAGGAGATCATCAACTGCCTCGATATCAGCAAAAGAGGACAGGAACTTTTGGTCAGTGGTAGTGATGATGGGTCCATCGGCATCTGGGATCCTCGGCAGAAGGATGCTCTGGACTACCTCCAGACCGAACTCCCCATTACCGCTGTAGCATTGTCCGAAGCGGGTAATGAGATCTACAGTGGAGGTATTGACAATACAATTCACGCCTGGGATATTCGGAAGAAGGCCATAGTCTACTCGATGGCCGGACATACAGATACCATCACATCACTACAAATCTCGCCAGACTCACAGACTTTGCTGTCAAACTCTCATGACTCCACTGTTCGCACATGGGACATTCGTCCCTTCGCCCCTACCAACCGGCAAGTGAAGACCTACGATGGTGCTCCTGTCGGGCTAGAGAAGAACCTCATCCGTGCCAGCTGGGATCCCAAGGGTGAGAAGATTGCTGCAGGCAGTGGTGATCGAAGTGTGGTCGTCTGGGAGACCAAAACTGGTAAATTGCTGTATAAGCTTCCCGGTCACAAGGGCACTGTCAATGACGTGCGCTTCTCTCCCAATGATGAGCCAATCAGTGAGTATATACCCTGTTTGCAAGCAAATCCACAATTTCTAACAAGGTCACAGTCGTTTCTTGCTCCTCCGACCGGAACCTGATGCTTGGAGAGCTTGGCAAATAAACATATATGATAGGTATTAATGTTTTAATGAAGATCAGCGGGCGTCGAATTCATTTTTTCAAACATGCCATGTGCATCCGTTCCCGATCTAGACGCGGAGAACGGTCTTATTATCAGAGCTTCCAGAGGTCATGACTTGTCCGGCTATTCATCTGGATCTATGAATTGTACAACAAGAACCAAAGTCCAAAAATGCTGCTCTTGAATATCTCTGGTTATCTACAAGAACATTCTTATGTGGCCTTTGTATTAGGCTGACCTTGGAATATTTTCATTCATTGTAGACCCGTGGACGACTACATGTATGCCTTTTTCCAATCTCTTTGGGCAAACGACGTAGGTAAACCTATCACGATCTCCTCCCAATGCACCAGATTCTCGACGAGTCTGCAGAAACTCCTTCCCCTTGGCACCTCATCCCAAAGGCTACAGGGAAAATGGTTCGCACGCTGTGGTACCTGCCATCTAGTTTTGTTTCCTCTGTCTCCAGTAAGGCAAGTGATGAGTGTGGTATTGTCATTTTGGCGACTGGTTTAATCCGTGTGTCTTAGTTATACGAGCTTTATTTCTAACATCTGCAACGTAGTCCAGCCTACGCTGTCATCCTAGGACCAGCGGACCGTGGCTTGGATATTTCTCTATCATTGAAGCATTCTGACGACTTCCATATCTCTGGGCACAGAGAGAACTCCATTTCAGCGCATCTTCTGCTTTACGTATATCTATATGGCATGAGCAACTCGGTTGGTGAGAAAATGATGGTCTCAAGCTGGCCTCTCATGTTGACGTCGCTTAATCCCAAATATACCTGTTGCATGTCTTCTTAGGGTCTACCTCTGAAACTACAATATCACTGCATATTCTATAGCTAAGTATAGCTGGTATCCATATCTATATGGTTTATAGTAGGATAGCACTTGAAGTTCACTCCGTAGAGTAAGACTCAAAATGTAAATAGACAAAAAGGTATCTAAATTCAAGATCGATCAGTAGACTAATTTTATAAACATTCCAACCTTCTACAAGTTGTATAGACAGTAACTATAGCATGCAAGAAGATGATGCAATAAGCGGGAAAAAAACATTCCCCAGAGGCTTATCTGGCCGAATCCCCCAACTTCCCACTCCACTCGAACAAGCCGAGGGTGATCACCCTATTAAACCAGTCTCTTTTCAGAGAGGCCTGAAATAGAAGGCCATCTGGCGCCCTATCCATGATCCCTACGGCGCTCAGGTCTGCTCGAAGCGCACGCGACGGAGGCGATGTTCAACCTCCGCTCCGCCTACATGGTGGTCTGGGCCATCCTGTTATGGCTCACCGTCGCTCATGGCATGCGAGACAGCCTAGTCAAAGAACTAAGGTATAATATATGCTACCCCTGGTCATCTCCGAAAGCCATCTAAATCCACTAATACGCCCCTGTCCTTCCGCAGACAAGAAACTGAGCGTATGTTCTTCCATGGCTTCGAGAACTACCTCCAATACGCGTTTCCCGAAGACGAATTACGCGCCCTGACATGCGGCCCTCTTGTTCGCGACGAGAAGAATCCGGAGAATAATGACGTGCTTGGGAATTATTCTCTGACCTTGATTGACAGCTTATCGACGCTGGCCATCCTATCCTCGAGCCCGGACAGTGGGGAGCAAGCCTTGGCACATTTCCAGGATGGTGTCGAGAGCTTTGTTAGACTTTATGGTGATGGCTCGGATGGCCCTGCTGGTCAGGGTGAAAGGTCGAGGGGATTTGATCTGGATAGCAAGGTACAATTGTTTGAAACTGTGATTCGGGGACTGGGTATGTTTTCTTTTCCCTCCCAGCTTATTGATTTGTTGCATATGCTCGATTTCCGGCTTTTGTGTCCTACTGCTAACTTATTCCAGGCGGATTGCTCAGTGCCCATCTTTTCGCCGTCGGCGAGCTACCCATCACCGGATACGAGCCATCAGAACGGGAAGTGGCATTCGCTAGCGCATGGGATAAAAGCATGTTTATGAAAAGTGACCACGGAATTCAATGGAGCAATGGCTTTGTCTATGATGGCCAACTGCTTCGGCTTGCTGTGGATCTGGCCCAGCGATTACTCCCCGCATTCTATACGGAGACTGGTCTTCCCTACCCTCGGGTCAACCTGCGCCACGGGATTCCATTCTACGAGAATGCGCCTTTAAATCTCAAGGTCCGAGATTCCGAGGGCAAACGCAAATCAAAAACGGCGGCATCTGAGCCGGCTGAGACTTGTAGCGCCGGTGCAGGCAGTCTAGTCCTTGAACTGACCGTTTTGAGCCGACTCACCGGTGATGGGCGATATGAGGACTTAGGCAAGAGGGCATTTTGGGCAGTCTGGAACCGCCGGAGTGACATCGGACTGCTTGGATTTGGCATTGATGTCGAGTCGGGGAAATGGGTGGGACCATGGGCCGGAGTAAGCACGATTCTTTTGACAGGTACAAGCTTAGACTAATTGGAAGTAGATCGGCGCCGGCATTGACAGCTTCTACGAGTATGCCGTCAAGACGTATGTTCTCCTGTCCGAGGGCGAGCGTGTGCCTTTCGACTCCGACAGCCCTTGGGCAGCATTAGACTCGTACTATGCTCCTCTGACAGACTATCAGCATACCGCCGATGCCTTCCGACAAGTTTGGGAAGAATCGCATACCGCGATCAATCGCCACCTATTCCGAGGCGAAGGTTATCAACATCCCCATCTTATTGTAGGGGATGTGGTCACTGGTGCCACGCGGGCTTTCTGGATCGATAGCTTGAGCGCTTTCTATCCAGGGGTTCTTGCCTTGGATGGAAAGCTAGATGAAGCTATCCAGATTCATCTTCTGACTACCGCAATCTGGACACGCTACTCGGGCATTCCTGAACGATGGAACGTGGCTACTGGTGACATCGATAACGGTATGCCGTGGTATGGAGGTCGGCCCGAGTTCATCGAGTCCAACTACTACATTTATCGTGCAACCCAAGATCCGTGGTATCTGCATGTTGGAGAGATGGTTCTCAGTGACCTCAAGCGGCGTTGCTGGACCAAGTGTGGTTGGGCTGGCATTCGGAATGTTCTGACTGGTGAGCTCATTGACCGGATGGAGAGTTTCTTCATTGGGGAGACAGCCAAATACCTATATCTGCTGTTTGACCGGGACCATCCATTGAACAAGATCGATGCCCCCTGGGTTTTTAACACCGAAGGCCACCCTCTTATCATCCCAAGAAAACCGGCATCCGCGGCTCGCCAGCAGCGAACCCCATCTCAAGGCCAGGACATGGCCGGCGGAGTATGTCAAATTATACCCTCTCCATTCTTCGGCGTGTCTTCCACTGCATCCCGAACAGACATCTTTCATGCTGCCAACTTGGCACGCCTGGATCTAATGCCTGATCGAGGAGTGGCCGCAGGTCCTATTTTGGAAGACTCGCCTGGACATCAAAGTGTCTTTGTGTCTGATCTTTCCTCGCCAACCAATTACACATTCTACCCGTGGACCCTGCCACCTCAGCTGGTCCCATTCAACGGCACCAGCGCGCCTATGGCCGTTCGGCCCACGCTCGACATTTCATTCCCGTCACTTCCAGGCGGCGTAAACATGGGACCTGGAGCGTTGGAACGTGTCCGAGATGGGGTACTTGTAAAAACAATTGGAGGCCTCCGACTAAGTCTGGTTCAGGACGTACGGTTGGAACCCCCGACGGCCACGACTGGGGATGAGGAAGATGGGTACCGGGTGCAGGTGATCAACAATGTGCCATTAGGCAAAGATGAGAAGGTATATCTCTCTCGCCAAATCACCTTTGATGTCGTCGATCCCTATGATCCGAACTTCACCCGTGTTCGCGACAATGCCATGCTTGACCTCGTCATTGACGTTCTCCCAGAGCCCTCTCGCCGACGTAATGATTCGGCTCATCCACGAGATGAAAATTCTCAACCAGAAAATCCACACCCGCCAGAACCCCGTCTCGGAGGCCACAGCCTCGCCTCTTCTGTCGACGATGCCGCAATTGTTGACTCCCCGGACTCAACAGTAAGAGCCATGCTGTCGTCTCTGATGCACTCGGTGTCATCTTTGCTTCATACCGAAAGGACCGAACCTGCTCCACTCAGGTTGAGTCTCCCCGCTGCTATCTCTACAGGCATCGGGTCCAGCCCGCTTCCCGATATTGAAGATGCAGTTACCATGTCCTTGCTCGGCGGCCCATCTACAGACCGCCTGTCGTGGTCAAGTATATACTTCGCGGGCGAGCTCTGCGACGAGCGAATTCTCCGTGATGTCGCCCATAACCACGAAGTGCTCGTTATCAAACGTGGCGGCTGCACCTTCTCAGAAAAGCTCCGCAATATCCCCGCATACCGACCAACGCGATCCGCGTTGAAGCTAATTGTCGTCGTCTCATACGACGACATTCCACCACGCAGCTTCCGCGAGCAGAAGAAAGAGCCAACGAATCAATCCGGGTCTCGCTCTGCCCTCGCCGCTGTCCGTGCCGAATCGACTCTCGTCCGTCCACACCTCGACGAAGCGCAAATGACAGCCAGTGGCATTCCACGAAATTACCTCATCAGCATGGTCATGGTCGGCGGCGGAGATGAAACATACGAGCTCCTGCGCCATGCAAGCGGCATCGGAGTCAAGAGGCGATATAGCATGCGCTCTCGCGGCGTCCCGATCACGAATTTACACATTGTTTGAATATTCATCAGATATACTATACCCTATTGGAAGACTGTCGGATCATTTGTGGCGTGTTTGTTTTATGTTTCGCAGATATGCATAATTTTAGACTTGAATATAGTCAAACCCAGTTTCACAGAGAATTGAACTGGATGCATTTGGTGATAATCTACATTCAAAGTCTCGACTTACTCTCCATCTCAACCTGAAGCTTCCTCCAAGAGTCAACCGCCCTCTTAGCCGCCGTCTCAGGACTAATCTGCCCATCCGTCATGGTCCGATGGAAAGTCTCCATAGAAATCCACCCCTCAAACCCAACATCAACAATCCACGCCCTAGCAATATCCACAACGGGCAAATACCCCCCAAACTCAACCTCCAAAGGGAAAGGCCTGGCATGCTTCGACCAGGTAAACTCCTTCGCCTCACCGGGCAGCGCCCACGGATGCGCCAACGAATAAGGCGGATCAAACCGCTCGGCATCAGAAAGCTGCACATAGAAAATCTTCTCCCGCGGACAATCGCGCACAAACCTGCGCAGCGAATCCCGCAGCTTAGTATCCGCATCCATCTGCAGTCCGTTCGGAGAGGAATTATCGCCCCACACACGAGTCCCTTCGTGGAAGGTATCCAGACACAGTCCGAAGTTCGGACGGTCGACCCGCTGCACGGTCGACAGGGCGTCTTCCCAGGTGGAGCAGTTTGTTCCCCATGACAGCGGCTCGTAGGCGATTGATATTACTGGCTTGCTGGCGCTGGCTAGGTCGGCTAGCTGCTGGAGGTCGGATATGATTGTTTTCTCATCGCGGCTGCAGTCTGATGTGAAGACTGATGGCACTTGCAGGTAGGTTGCGTGTAGCAGACGGGCAATTTCGAGCCAGTGTGAGGCGAGAGCGAGCCTTTCTTTTAGCGGGGTTGTTGCGCCTTCGTAGTTTTCGAAGGGGGCTAGGGAGAGGACTTCGACGTTTGTTTCCTGGCACAGGGCGTAGATCTTTTGAGCTGCGTCGTGGATGGAAATGTTTTGGGCTTTGCTGTAGGCGAGGAGGTCGTTGTACACTATTTCAAGTCCTGCGATGCCGGCTTGGGATGCGGCGCGGATTTTCTGGTCGAGGAGGTGGCCTGGGTATTGGCTCAGGGAGATACTGGCGATTGCTAGTTTATTGGACACCATTTTGAAGTTTTTTTCAGGAATTGATATTAAAACGTTGACTTGCTTCTATGACCGAACTGATATATCGAATTAGGGCGGAACTCGGTTTCCGGTATGTGGAGGATTCGCAAATCGCCAACCCCGCAATTGGCCATTGAGTTATTCTAGTCAGGCATTGGGTGGATGTATTTATCGGTCATTAATGACCGAAAGTGTGAAATAGTTGATCATCGCCTTGCAAGAGTTGTCGGTTGGAACTAGAAATCCGGGTACTTAAGCCGATACTGGGATAACTACGATATGTTGGAATATATCTTCAAGCTCGCAAGCAGCAAATATACAATACAAATTTGATATAGCCATTGATTCATATCTAGCAAATACGTCAATAACAAATTCAACTGCGATCATCTCCCATAACCCAAACCCCTCACAATATGAGGCTCTGTCTCTATCAAAGTTTCACCCCCACGCAGAGTAGTCCAATCCCGCCTCTATGAAGAATTGTCTAAGCCACTTATTAATCCTTTCGTGTGGACAGATACCACTCTTCACGCCAGACAATCCCTTTGAGAAATCGAAAGTGTAGGTATTTCTCACATGCAAAGACCTGGACTCGGAACTTGAAAGCCCTCTGGTGGATTCCTTATATAGTCTCGTTTCGATTGCGACTTTTGCATAAGGATGACTGGTGACTTCACACCGGTGCCAGACACTGAACGCGTAAGAAGGATAAAGGAACCCTAGGCGGCATAGTCTTTCGTGATCGTTGCAAGAGATCGTAGCCGACAAGGGTTCCCGGTCTTTGAATGCGATTCTGAGACAGGGACATATATCGGCTAACCCCGCATAGGGCACGCAGATCACGCCACCATTGAGTAAGCCACACCTGCAGCAATTAGTTACTCTCTTTGGGGTGTTTGGGGGGTTTGAATGCGGAGCTTCGGTGTAGATTCATACACATCACGCAGCATTTCCAGCGTTTGTCTTCGAGTTGTCGTAGAAGCTGGATTCGAGGGTTTTTTCGGAGCTCGATGTTGCGGTATATCAATCGACGCCCTTCTCTCAGGACCAGAAGTTTCGCATGGTCTGGGTCTTTGGCCTGAAGGAATAAGACAAAGAAGGTATAGAGATCTTTATAAGTCAGTGCAAGGTAGATTTGCTCTAGCGCGGAGAGATGGGGAGAAATACAGACATATGAAGGAGGGAGATAGAGCTATCACCATTTGATATGGAACGTGGAGCTTGCGTTTATGAGATAGGTAACACTAAATATTGTACATAGGGCTTAGGCAGTGAATTCTCGAAGCAAGACTAATATATTTCATAGGGAAACTAGCATATCAAGGTTATACATAGGAAAGTCGTTTTCCCTTCTGCCATCTACATAGAAAAGGATATCTAGAAAAAAGACTAAAAAGGCTACCATAAGGCCAACTAGATCTCTCGTTTGTACCCTATCGAGTAAAAAGCAACCTACGGCAAGCCTATAACATCGGGATTTGGCCTTTAACATAGTTACCAAGTGAGTAAAAGGAAAGACGTGATGGAGATGGGTTCCACTTCATGTCTCCAAATTCTTGTAGAACTGAACGGTAATATCAACCCCCCGCAATCGGGGCTAAGTATGTGGTCATTTACTGTGAACTCTCTTCTCTCCTCCCTTCAACATATAATTGCACATAACAATAACCAGCAGCTCATCACCATCACCACCAGAAACAATGCTCCCCAACCCAACCACCCTTCAACCAGCAGAAAGACACACCCAAGCCCCAATACCTACCCCACCAACTACAAAACCACCCCAATACCCAAAATACCTCTACTTCGCCTACGGCTCCAACCTCTCCCCAGCCCAAATGAAAACCCGCTGCCGCATAAATCCTACCCACTCCGCTACCCCACTAGCAATCGCAGCCCTCCCACACTGGCGCTGGCTAATCTGCGAAGCGGGCTACGCAAACATCCTGCCACCACCCGGTCTGCGCGTTGCAAACCAAGACTCCGAGACCGCACATAAGATTCCCGTTTCCGGGTCCGAGGATACCGTCTACGGCGTTCTTTACCAGATGGATGTTGGTGATGAGCGGATTCTGGATGGCTATGAGGGGGTTGATACACGTGCTGCTGATGCGGAGGCTGGGGATGGTGTGTCCGTTTCTATTAGGCCCAGGGTGCAGGGCGATGGGTCTTATAATAAGTGGTTTGTTGGAGCGGATGTTGTGAAATGGCTGGATGGGGCGGAGGGGATCAAGGCGGGGCTTGGGGATGGAAAGGGGAAGGGGAAGGTGCCGGTTTTGGTTTATGTTGATGAGAACTGTGTTAGGCTTTCTGAGCCCAAGTTTGAGTATATCGCGAGAATGAATCGGGCTATTCGGGAGTCTGTGGATTTGGGGGTTCCTGTGGGATGGGTGGAGGAGGTTATGAGGAAGTTCATTCCTGTGGAGTGAAATGGTATAGATTTAGATTTAGATTTGAGATTGATCGATAGATTGATAAGATGGATGTATTTGATCATATCAATCATTGGCCAGGTCCAATTCCTATAGAGCTACTCTATTAAAATAAGATGTAATTAGCCAGTGACTGCAATCTATACACAATCAAGTCGCATTGATAAAGCTATTTGTCTATATTTGGGTATTATCCGGCCGGGAGCTGCGCCAGCCGTGGCGGGTGCCGTCGACCAGCGAAACGAACCTCCAGACTCCAAGTTCGAGTAAATTGTTTGATTGGGCGGCCCGGGAGGAGCGGATGGTAAAACGCTCACCGCAAGATCGGGTGTGGTCGGGCTTTTGAAAAGATTGGGTCATTATAATCGGCAGTCGAGATCGTCGCAGAAAGAATGATTTTTTGGGGAGCGGTGTGTAGAATTAAGCCTGGCCAGAGAGGAGAGTGTGAACCGGCGCGGGGAGCTTGTCGCGTCCGTGAAGGAACTCCAGCTCGAGGAGGAAGATGAAACCGAGGACCTCGCCGCCCATCTTCTGGATCAGCTCACCGGCGGCCTTAGCAGAGCCACCTAAGAATAGCTATTAGTATGAAGTATCCACCGATGGATTCTTGTCACATACCAGTAGCGATAATGTCATCAATGACGAGGACCTTCTGGCCGGGCTTGATAGAATCGGCCTGCATCTGGAAGAAATCCTGGCCATACTCCTTTTCGTATCCCTGAGTCTCACAAGGACCGGGGAGCTTGCCCTGCTTGCGCACGGGGACGAAGCTGGCACCCAGGCGCAGTGCCAGGCTAGGACCCATCAGGAAGCCACGGGCCTCGAGACCGACAATGACATCGGGCTTCTGGTTACCGTAGTTGGCGGCGACGTGAAGTTCCAGGGAGCGAATCAGGGCCTCATGCAGGGAGGGGTCGGCGAAGATGGGCAGGATATCCTCGAACAAGATTCCCGGAGAGGGGAAATCCGGGAACTGGCGCAGGGCGGCGCGCAGTCTTACCGTAAGACTGGCGAGTTCGGCGGCGCTGGTGGCATCGGAGGCGGGGAGTCCGACTTTGGAGGCATCTGGGAGCGTGGAGGACATTATGAGAGAGAAGAGAAGAAAGAAGAGGGGAAAGAGGAGAGGGTTGGAGGTAAAAGGGTTAAAAAAGAAAAAGCCCAAAAAACCTTTGGAGGGGAAAAAAAGAGGAAATGGTAAAATTACAGTTGATAAGCCGATAATGGGGGGGTTTCGTGCCCCTCACAGGGCCTAGATCGTTACTTGTTTTTTATTTTGATCTTTTTTATATAGAAACTAGATGTTATATATATGTCTATTTGGTTTATAACACTAGAATATACCTTATATGATCTCTATAGTAAATGTTGGCATATCCTTCTATCAAACTACGGGTTCTATACTTCCAGGTACACAAAAATCAGCGGTCAGATCCCGCCACTAAGGTAACTTACTGTCACGCAATGGCATATTATTCTTCTTCTAGAAGGTAAGACTACTGTACTACTAGTATACTTACTTTACTCGTACAAGGGGTTGGATATGGGCCCGGCTTGGATCTGCGAGACCCTAATTGATTATCCCGTAAACCTAGTGCTCAGTCCTCTCGTCGCCAGGGCACGAATTGTGTTGGACTAATACCACTCGATCGTCATCCCTGACACCGTGTTCCGGTTCCCCAGTAGCCTAGACCGTTGGACTGCGACCTAGACTTTATGGTTACTTTGAAGGTCCCGAGGTCCAGGGGAGGACAGAAGGCAGGGCTGAACTAGGGCTAAGACCGCCAGACTACCAAGGGATCATCATAAATGACTCATGGCTCCTTGACCAGACTGGAGCTTTAGAATCGCATTGGATCAGACCATCTCACCGGATATGCGCCGTATGGCCAGCCTTGACACATCGTACGGCCATTTCACCTAGCCCTAGCCAATAGGATCTCTCGCGCCACGACGTGATCTGAAACTCATCACAATGGCTTTACTGGAAAGAGACATGCGTGCTGCATAGCGGGATGTCTGTTGTGCAGATGGTGGGGGGATTTGTCCGTTGTCTGCTCCGCCCCTCGCTTTGACTAGGGGAAAGGAACAAAAGTACGAGGTAAAATAAAACAGAGGAAGTGCAGGTTACTGTATACTATAGGTCAAAAAGGAAAAAGGGCAAAAAAGAAATCTCAGGTTTGGTTTTAGGAATAGCCGAACGCGGGGGTCGAACCCGCAGCCTTAAGATTAAGAGTCTTACGCTCTACCGATTGAGCTAGCCCGGCCGGGCTGTTGAAGGTGACGGCGAAATAATGCTACATAAGACTAAACAGTAGGAGTTCGAAATTAATATAGTCAAATTGTGTTTATTTAGCTGGAATTATTGGGAAATATAATTGCAAAAGATATATCAATCTCCAATTGAGCGTCGATCTTTCGAATCTACACCAAGTACAGAATAATATCCCTTAGATACCTCCTAGGTGAGCAGTTGACTGTCCACAGTTATACTTTACTTGACACTATAAATTCCATCATCCAAAGTCACTCATAGCCTTTATGTTGTCACCTATATGTACCTGCATGTACCTGCGTATACCCTATGCAGTAATGCTACATATACGTCCCATGTTGTACATCAAAGTATACTCGGCGGCCCAAGCCTAAAACGGGATAGCCCCTCACATGACCAGCACGGACCACCTCGCTTCAAGTTTTTCCGTTGTCTCCCCATCGCTATAAATCCGTCGGTTTCCTTCCTTTCCATCTCATGCTTTTAAAGATTGGGAGCCTCAACAGGCCACTTCGATTTCAGATGAATTTTTTCTGATACCTTGTAATAAATTCACTCATGTCACCCGCCGTGATTACCGAGATGCAGCCGGATCTGCATCATGACCAGCTCGAGGCCGTGGGCAAAGCCTTCGATGCACTCCTACTAACCGTGTATCGGCTGACTCACAGACAAAATGAGCTGTTACAGCACATGGATAATGTCTTCAAAGAGGTAAATTCACTTCTCTCCTCCCTTATGCTTCTGCATCCTGGTCTCGCATGACGAAGAAAAGCTCTAGATCAGGAGTCACTTTTGTGGCGATGACGGATTAACATGTATTATCTGATTGAGACCATGACTGCCTTGCTGTTATGCATTTGACAAGATGAACATTGCTAACTTTGTATCTTGCAGTACACAGATGTGATAGAAATTCTGCCTCCTCAAGATAGACATCGTGCATTTGACGTTCAAAACAAGTTGCTCGCTCAGCAAGAAGAATACCATCAGGGTCTCGTACACAGCAAGCCTCAAGTTATGGAACAACCGTTGAATTCCATGGATGTAATCAAGACCCTCGTTGCACATCAAAATGTAGACGAAAATACTTTCTCCGCTATCAAGAATGGAGTCAAAGGGTGCAAATCTCTACTCCGTTCCCAAGATAGCCTCTCCCAAATATCCTCCAACTCGTGCATCCTCGCGCAAGCACCGGCTCCAGCAATCGCGCTGGAGAAGGACTTCACAACGAATGGCACCCAGGGAAATCTCCACTGCCCTTTCTCGAAACCGAATAAGATGCAGAGCACAAATGGCAGTGAGGCCCCCAGCGGGAAAAACTCTGCGCCGAAGATCCAGATCGAAGCTTGCGGCCACGAGCATCTGGACCCCATCAGGGCGGAACTCGAAGAACGACGCTCTAGCCACACACCATCAGCCCCGTCATCAAAGGGAGGATGCCCCGTCTCCCGATGCCCCATCCGATTCCTCGATCAGCACTCCCCGGAAGAAATCGCCGAATATGTTGAACGACACAAACATGAGATCCCTCGCAGCCACGCTATTTGTGTCAAGCGCTATCAGCGAAGCCCGCAGGATATGAGACAACTGGACGCCAAATACGGCGGCCTGACCAGCATGATCGCTGGCCTAGGTGTGAAGCACCAAGCCTTCCTGCCGGAATGTAATACCAATGGTGAAGCCCGTTCCTCGCATTCTGCGTCGAGTGAACGTGTTGAGAAATGGGCCGAGAACGTGGACCTCAGTACGCCCATTGTGCAGAACGAGGAAAACGAAGAGAAGAACGAGGAGAATAAGAACGAGGATGATAACCGCCAGAGTCACTTTGACCGCCCCCTGCGTGAAGTCCGCGTGGGTGAATCCCCGAGCAGGCCTTGGGGTATTTCAGTGCCTGTCACACATTTACCTCCTATCTCAGCGCCGGTCTCTGGTTCATCTATCCCAACGTCCCCCGACCCTCAAGCCGACATACCTGATAAACCCACCGATGCCGAAGTCCTTGCTAAGCCTGCCGGTGGCTGTCCATTCGGCCACGGTAAACCAAAGCCTGAAGCAGCAAAGCCCGAAATCGAACCACCTCGGACTGGGGAAAGTCCTAAGGACAATGATATTACTTCACCAAAGAAATCTGGTTGTCCATTCGGCCACAATAAACCAAAAGCCGAAGTTCTAAAGCCTGATACCGAGGCCCCCTGGAACGGTGACTGGCCCAAGACCTGGCCCAAGGACCAGGCTGTCGCAGATCGAGTACCTGCACCCCAGGCCCATGTTTCCCCAACTGCTCCTGCTCCTGCGAGCGAGGACTCGACTACGAAACCTGGCATTCCCTCAACATTCTCACCCCCCTCCCACGTCACCTTCAATGGCCCTGTCTTCTTCGGGTACTCCGCCGAAGAGACTGCCAAACTATTGCAGCAGTTCGGCAACCTGGGCAAATCATGACCGCGAAGAAACTTCTTTGTATAGTATGACCATGGAAGGCGCAAGCTTTTAACGCATCACGACGAAACGACTTAATTTTTTTAGCAAGCATTGTCGTTGTATTACCCAATTGAACTTGATTTGATATAAATTTCAATCCATTTTCCGTAACAGCTTTAATAACAAAATTCACAATGTAAAATAAATGAATGACTTCATCGGAGAGCGTCGACGCTCCCCGAGGGAAACTCGCAGAGCGGGGCACCTTCGTATCATCGCGACCTTCATAACTTCCTCTCTCCCCGATGCTGCGAACTACTTCTCGTCTTCTATCTCTATCTCGAATCCTCCGTCCTTCAATTCCAGTCAGACCTCAATTCTCTTCTCCCATAATGTCTGCCAACATGTCCATCATCTCCTCTAAGGATGCCTGCCCTCGTGAGTCAAGCCCCGCCAACTATGGCTCCTCACCTGCCTCCTAGACAGAGAAAACAGACTCAATTCCAGAAAAAAAGAATCAAAGAAAACAAAGAGCAATAGCTAACTCACACATCCTTAGCTGCCGGCCCTTACGTACGTCGTCCTTCCCTCTATCTGCCTCCGCAGCTCAATCTACCTTGAGAGCTAGCTACCCCTCCACACCGGACCAATCTACTCCAAAACACCATTTCCACACCTACACATATTGTAAAGACTATAAGTGAACCATCTAACAAACCCAACTACAGTCCCAGGCCATCCGCGCCAATGGTCAGATCTTCGTCTCCGGCCAGATCCCCGCCGACTCCTCCGCCAACTTGGTCGAGGGCAACATCGGTGCCCAGACACAGGTTTGCTGCGATAACATCAAGGCTATCCTGACCGCCGCTGGCTCTAGCGTGGACAAGATCGTCAAGGTCAATGTATGTGTTTCCCTCCAGGCTTTGTTACTGTGGTGTTTCTGGACTCGGCTTTGCTAGGGAGAAGTATACACAAGATATGAGAAGGAGGACGCTTTGCTGATCTTTATTCTTTTCTCAGGTCTTCCTGACTGACATGGCCAACTTCGCTGAGATGAATGCTACTTATGAGAAGTTCTTCGTCCACAAGCCTGCTCGTAGCTGTGTTGCTGTTCACCAGCTGCCCAAGGGTGTGCCTGTTGAGATTGAGTGCATTGCTCTGGAGTAGATTTGAGAATCTATTTAGTTTTGGTCTTACTTCTACTCGAGCCATGAAAACAAATATAAAGACAGTTTAGTATAAGAATAAAAATGAGAATGAATTCGATCGAATTATGTTGCGAAAATCCTCGGGGATATCTTCATCTTGATTATTTCCATTTCCGATCCCGTTTCTCTCGAGGAACATACATGCGCGAGTACAAGCAGATGCCAAATTGGGAATCATAAGAGTCAAGGGTTCATGCGTCATGACACAGAATGCAAGAGACGAAGGAAATGGAGAATAGGGAAGCAAAAACACACAACATTACTGGCTTGATGGATGAAAAAAAAAATAAGAAACATAAACGTCAAAAGGTAGGAGGGGAGAGCTTGATAGACAAGTGCACATTCACCGGCCACGGGACATGATACCGCTCATGCGGCTTCCGGCACCGGCCATCAGGCTCTGTTTCACGATAGCATCGGCGGCGGCGGCGGCAGCAAGTCTTTCCTTCTGACGGCTACGGTCGCGGAGATAGCCGGCAGCTTCGGGGCGCATGCGAAGAATGCGCAGGATCATGTCGTCGTTCGGATCAGCCTGCGCCTCCCGTCGCTTCTCTTCCTTGGCCTTCTTCATCGTGCCTAGGTTGCGGGAAAGCATGATGCTCTTGGCGCGACGGGCAGCAGGAAGACCAAAGCTGCCGTAGCCGGCACCTGTGGCGCCGAGATGAGGAGGTGCAGAAGTGCGGTTGCGGGCCGCTTGTTGGCGGTTGACGGTCGCCGAGGCCATGCGTTCGGAGGTGCGGATAAGGTGCTCCGTTGGTTCGAAGTAGAAGAAATTCACTGACTGAATTTCGTGGTATTTGGGCGATTTCAGGATATCGATTGGGACGCCGTTTGCTTCGCCGGTTTCGTCGTCAACCGCATGGAAGAAGTTCAATAGTAGCACGAGCCAGCGTGATACGATGTCGACTTCTTGGATTGTTAATGGCTTCTGATGGGAGGGTTTATCCGACAGGGGCGGTACAAGTAGACTCTCGATAGTAGCGAGCACTTCCTTCCATAGGCGAGCCATCACCATCTTCATGGCTTCTGGTGTGAGGGTTTTGTTCATGATGGCGAAGTTGTCGTTGAAATAATTGAACAGAGGAGTCAGTGCATTTTCGACATCTGCCGGAGTGGGTCCGGCAGGAGCTGGCTGTGCTCGATTGCGATTTAAGAAGCTCGAGACACTAGATATACTGATTCCGCGAGAGAGCAAAGACTTCAGTGTTCTCCGGGAAAGACAGTGACTGATGTATGACGAAAGCTTCTCTGTGATCTTTCGAGTCATATCCCTTTCCGTTCGTTTGAGTGTACGGAAAGCCTTCCCGAAGTAGAACTGGATGTCGTCTCGCTCGCCTTCCATGCTAACTCGGAGCAGAAGCCGACCCTGGGTATCCAGGTCGAGCCAATACTCCCTTGGCAAGAAGTCACTAAAGTGCACAGGATCTAGCTTGATCGACGTGCGGCCAACGTAGTCGTGATCGCCCACTGCGTCCCAGTCCCAGATGGTGGCGATAATGTTCAGAGGGCCCTGTGTGGTGAGATCTACTGCATCCTCCCATCGGGGATTAAGATTGTTGTAGATGATTCGGGTTTTAGCAATTCGTTTCTGATACTCGTCCGTCAATACGACATATGGATCGCTGCCACCACCAAGGTCGCATGCTTTCAAGTCCTCTGCCTCCACTACCTTGATTGTAAAGACATAGGTAGTAGACTTGCGGACCTTCTTAAGCTGCGGTGGAGTATTCCTTGCAATGACTTCGGCGCACGCGTCGACGTTGATGTCCTTTTCGAGTTTGTCGAGCTGAGCAAGTGCATACTCAATATTGTTCAGTTTCACAAGGGACTATGGATAATCTTAGCCGCGATATTTTACCCAGTTGAAATGAATAAGAACATACCTCAGAGGAGAATTGGAAGGGCTCAATTTTATCCTTATTCGTCCAGGTGTCTTTTGCGAACTGCATCAGTTTTTCCTGGGTGGTTTGATTCAATGCTGCCTCCTGCTCGGGAGTAAGACGATCCATTTCCTGCGTGAACATCTTCTCCAAGGAGTCACAGTATGTCGCCACACCTTTCCCAATTGAATTAGAGAGATGCGTCATGAACTTCGCATATTGAAGATCATCGTCCCACTCTAGTTGCACCATACTTTCAATAACTTGGTTGAAAGATCGGAAAATGTCAATGACTGACACACTGTGACGATCGTCTTCAGGCGCAAGCTCTGTTGTTCCACCTGAACGAATGGCAAATACATCTTGTTTTGTAGCTTCGCTGACCCAATCCATGATCTTTTGATCAGTCAGACGAAGCCATCTCCAGACGAAGTCCTGAAGGAGACTTTCCACATGGAATGGGAATGGAGCACTGAGCTAAGTTAGTAATTTCACAGAAATAGCAGGGGAGTCCAGGGGCTTACTCCTCATGGGTGTTATGGAATAACCGTCTGATAGTAGCGAACTGTTTGTATAGATCGAAGCCGTCGTCAATTGCGATCTCCTCACCCCTCGCTTTTGCCTGCTCGATAATCCTAATAACCATTTCATGTGCATCCTCGGCGAACATAGGGAGGACGTTTTGGCACAAGGTGGTAAAGGGGTTCACACTAATTGTAAGTTAGGAACTGATCAGCCAAACAGACGGGAAAGAGCGGGAAAGAGGAACCCACCCCATAATCTCCGGATTTTTGCGGTAGCGTTTTTGAATCTTTAGCGCAAGTTTTGAGATTGCATCTCCAAGTTGAATGACATGGTCAGGATCCCAGGCCTCTTGTTCCACAGGGATTATTTCGCTAAGAAGGCTTTGATACTTTGTTGTTGCCTTTTCAGCAAGTCCCTCTTGCACGTAAGTGCTGAAACGATTGATGTCTTCAGGGTCCTCAATGTAGTTGGGATCCATCTGGATGTGGGTGTCAAGAATGTACATAACCGGGCCGAGTGGGCGTGGCTTTGCCTCAAAGCAGTCCATCATAGCCTCATATAGCTCTCGGAGCAAAGCCTCATGAAGTTTAGACAGCAGCATTTGCATCGTTTGAAGATCCTGGATAGTCCATCGTTGTCGATCAAAAACCGTGGAAGCCACAAAGCTACTGCGTCTGCGGTTCTCGCCCGAAGGCATTTCTTTCACAAAAGTAAATGCCGAGTCAAGGGTAGTGAGATCGATTTCATTATCGACAAATTTAGCCTGAACCACCTCAAGGAACAACACGACCCGGGAAAAGGCTGGAATCCGCCAGCGGAGACATATCTCATTAAGCAGTTCCGTAGACTGCTTCGATAGCAGTTTCATTGAAGGGACGTCAGATGTAGCCTGCGTAGCCTCAAGCTCCCGGTCCCGCAGATCATGGGTCAAAGTCTGAGACAAGATGTATTTGTACAAAGACCTAGGGTCAGACGGGATGAATGTGTATGTATCGGATTCGTCCGACTCTTCAAGAGAAAGCCCAGTCAAATCAATAGGTTGATCAATGACATAAGATGTTCTGTCAGTCCGACCAGACGTTGTTCTTGACAGGTCGAGGTTTTCGTGGGGACTCGAATTGAACTGAGGAATGGATCCGGGAGTGCTTTTGGCTAACTCGGGGTTGGATTGCATGATTGCAAGCATCATCTGTGAGAGATCAGGGCCTTCGCTCTTTTTCCAGCTATCATAACCCTCGTCCGACTCAAAATCATCCCTTGACAATGTTTTGTGTGTCTGAAGGTTTAGGTGGGCTTGATAGGTCTTAAGGTCCTGCAGGGCGGCCTTTTCAGTCCAGGCGGACTTGTACTTATCGATTTCGGATTGTACCTGGGATGTGGTCATCCCAAAGATTTTGGCCACATGTTGCACCAGGGGCATATCCTTCACATCATAACTCAATGCGCCAACACTCTCCGTGGTAGATGTAGGTCCGTTCGTTTGCATGAGGTCCTGATCTTGCAGGAGAAGCTTGTTTTCTAGCACCGTCAATCGGTTGGCCAATTCTGGGCGGTCCTTGGACCACTCGTGATCTTTCAGGGTGAGCGCAAGGAGTCGAACAAAAAGCGCAACGTGCCGATCAACCATGAGCTTCCAGCTGTCATCGTCTTGCTCTTTGCCCTTGCCCAGCTCTTTGACTGCGTTGGAGTAGAAAATCAGGAGCAGATCTTCAGCTCGTCGGTCCTTCTCCATGCGTTTTCGAAAGGAGGCCTCCTTCAGGACGTTGAGAAAGACAGCGAATGTCCGCACCACCAGGTGATCTTGATATTCCTTCCTTTTCTCCTTCCCCATCAACACTCCAGTCAACCGCTTCTCCAGCTCGGCCACGAAGCCATGGGGAACCCTGGTGCTTTTCGAGTCTCTGACCAAGGAGAAATCGCTCATTAAATCATGAATAGAGGTGGCTGATCGTTTTGGCCGCGCCGGCGCGACGGGGGCATTCTGGATGCGACGAGAGCGAGGGTGGAGGAGATAGGCAAGGTAGGCGACCCGAATGGCATGGCTGTATGCCACGTTGGCATTTACGGGGCGGCGCCTGGATACAGAGGAGTTGCGCGAATGGCGACCCTCATTTTGAAGGCTGTTAATCCGTCGGTTGACTCCTCGGGATTGGGTAGATGCTGTCGACATGGAGTTGTCAATTAAATCCGTGAAACGTTAGGAGGTGACAGATAGCGGGGGACCATGGAGAAAGTTGGGAAGCACTTAGCACCCAGAAGAAGCTTTTAAAAGATTCTTTTCTTTCAGTCCAAAGTGAAAGGCCGCCACAAAGCTGAGGGGTGAATTGTTTATTGAAGGGGGCGAGTGAGGGGGGGAGGTGAAACAAAAAGCTGCCGAACGACTGACGTACATAGGCATATAGGCAGTCCCGTCCCAAAACAATGCTATGTCTCCTCTGACTATTCTATGAGGTTATTATGGTAATTTTCTTATTTTTCTTTTATATGCAAGTGCTTATTGCATATTGCTAGTTCAAGGAAACTTGATCCTTGTTCTCCCTGGATGGGGCCACACTTATAACGCTGCAAGGGTTTCCTTGTTATTTGGGAATATCAATATTGACATCAAGTCAAAAGTTACATCTGAACAGATATCAAGGACAAGGATATGCAAAAGACATTTAATTTAAAAAGACAACCCCAAAGGACATCATAGTGTTATCTGAATATAAAGTCCACAATGTCAAATGAATTTCAATGCGATATATCGACCCATACGACAAACACAAAAGTGGGTTTTAAACCAAATTCATTCCGAGCATGCGAGCATGCGGCCGGCCTTTTCGGGGTTTGATGAAACATAGGACTGGTGAATCGACCACCAGTCCTCAAAGACGCCGAAGATAGAAAATCGTACTGGTATTTACACAAATAAAAAGAGAAACCAGGTCTCAATCACCACTTATCGCCGGACTTGTGGGCCTAAATCAACTGGTTAGCTCTTTGCCCATGTAAAAGGTTCTTGGGATATCATGTCCGGTACATACAGGCACAGCATTGGGACCTCCCAACTCCTTTTCCAGACCATCGACGTAGGCCTTAGGAACACTCGGCTTGTCAGGGTAGGTAAGGCTGACAACACCAACCATGCTAAAGAAAACAGCGACGAAGCATCCGAGGTGGAAGAAACCCTTGCCGGCCGAGACGTGGTTGTATTGCTCGGGACTGAAGACACCGAGGATTTCGTTATCCTCGTGCACGGGTTCGCCGAAGTTGCGCTTCTCTTGCGCATCCCACCAGCCACCGTAGGGGTCTCTGTGTGCCCGCTTCAAAGGGGGAGGGTTGGGGTAGTTGTTATTCTGTTTTGGGGGTTAGGTTCCCGGATGCCAAGTAGGGAAACGGCATCTCTGCCATATGGATGCTATACCTGTAGAGCCATGTCATCCTCAATAGCACGGAGAGCTGGGACCTGGGAGAAAGATGCGCGGGGAGCAATAGCTCGCACGGCAACTTGGGGCAGGCGCCGGGCCAAGATCCGTTGAGACAACATCTAAGAGAGGAATTGGAGGTTAGAAAGGCTGGTACGTAATTGAAGAAGATAATATGGATCTAAAGAAAGAGACTCACAGTTATGCTGAAAGACAAGCAGCAAATCAGTTGTCAGAAGGCAAGAGAGCCAATTGGGTAGAGGGGGTTGAATATCGATGATGAACGGATGGAGGTTTGCGGAATGTTGTGGCCTGAGGCAGACAGTCACAAGACTTCAGGCATCCACGCGCCGGCGCGACCATGTAATTGCTCGCCCGAAGGAAAAAAACCACTCTCCACGTATTCTCATCATCTCCGTTGTTTTTCCGTCCCCATCCACGCCACAGCGCCGATAAGCATGTTAAACTTCGTGTAGTATCTCTACTCGATAGTCCCTATTTGCTGATGCCAAAATCTTTTACGTCGACTGCGTCATTGTTGGGATAGCTGGGGTCACCTGCCGCCAACGGCCCCTGTCGTCTGCGGGTACAAGTCATGCAAAACGGCACCTCCAACGGCCCATCACCCCAAGATGAACGCGTAACGCCTGTGTCCGATTCCACACCCCTCAATGGGTCTGTAAATGAAAACCTGTCAGATTCCGCCCCCCGCGAATCGATTCCTTCCGACCCGAAAGACGTCGAAGCTGTTCATCAACCCGAAGAACCCCCATCGAAGAAACGAAGACTCACGGATTCCTCCTCATCGCAACGTTCCACTCCCAGACCACCATCGCCTCCTTGGAAAAAGGCTGGCTTTGAGGGCCCCACATCTTTCCTCTCTGAAGGCAAACGTAGGTCTTCGCGAACGAACGCTGTCCCGGTCGAATTCCAACCTGGGTCGGAGAAGAGACACACGCGGGGGATTCAGAACAAGAATGTTGGCAGGTCCGCTCGCGATGGAAGCAAGCCGGCTGCATCCTCGCCGCTATCGGTAACACAGTCACGAGCCGACGTCAATGGAAAATCGGGTGGAAAGGCCACTGCAAATGGATCGCCTAGGACGGCGTCGCGCGCGACGGCCAACAAGCCGTCGCGTATCTCACAAACTCCAGCGCCAAAACCAAGTCATTCACACACCAAATCTCGCATCTCCGTTACCATTCCTCGCCCGTCTGGCGCCAACGCGAACGGCACCAGCTCTCGCTCGCTTCGCGATCGCCCATCTCTTTCGAATGTATCCAAGGAGGTCAATGTGGATTCAGGTGAAGTCAATATGAATGACAAGGAACCGGAACAAGGACCAGTGAAAATTCCAAAATTGCGCATTAAATTGAGCAAGCCCGTTCTTCCTATTCGACACCCTGGCCACATACCGCAGAAGAAACACACTTCTTTCAGAGAATGGGTATACCAAAACGATACCTCAAATATATTGTCAGAGGACGAGGCTGCGGTAGAGGCACGCAAGAGACATGAAGTTATGACTGCTGCTGAGCCCGGTGGACCGTTGAGCTCGCAAGTCTGCTCGGCATACATCACAGAACAGCAAGAGGAACCTCCCCCACAGTACTCGCACCAGGATCACTTGGTTTCCCACGCACTATATTTCCAGAAGCTCCTCGACAAAGAACACAAACGCCACCGGCAAACAGCCAAACTGTTTGCGCAGTGGTGTGCTGACGCTTATCGGAAACGTCACAAGGACCCCGAAGATATTCTACGCGAGCAACAGGAGGAGATGCGTGGAAAGCGCAAGCAGCTATCAAAGGATCTTCAGAAGATGTTCGACTTGACCCGTGCCGATATTGATCGGGTCCGCCTAGCACGCTGGGAAGAAGAGCGGAAAATGGAAGACCAGCAGGCTCTTGATCGCGCTATCAAAAAGTCTACTATGCTCTTCGAGAAGCGTCGATCGGAGATTTTGGGTGAATTGCCTAGCGATGCTCTTGTGACGAGTGACGATGAGGATGGTGTATCAGGCTTCTCATCTGGCCCCGACGAAGAAGACGAGAGTAACATGTCAGATTCTGAATCCGGAACCGACGACGAGGCTAATGTGGATGATGATGCCAAATTGACTGCGGAAGAGCTCCGGCTGAAGTACGCTAACTTACCGGCTGACGACTATACCGACCGGATGTCTGTAGCCTCAGGCAGTACAGCAATGACCAATCCTAACGACTCCTTGGATCCTGAATCTCTTTTAGACGGCCTCGATTCACACCTCACCCCGGAAGATAATCAGTTAGACGATGTTGATTCAGTGTTGATGGATGATAGTGATGCCTCCACAGATATGGATGATGATATGGGTGATAGCGATGAAGAGGAAGAAGACATAAGTGAGGAGGAGTCGGATGAGGATGATGAGAGCCGATCTGGCTTGCTGGGTTTCTTCTCGAAGAATGAAACCCCTATACCAAAAGAGGGCGATGAAGCTTCAGCTGTGGACCACGAACAAGATATCGATATCAAATCGGCATCGGAGGGTGAAGATGACATTGACTTCGAAGAAGATGAAGTATCCTTGGTTCCAATTGGACCAACTACCAGCGAGGGCACGTCGATAGAAGGCACGCCCTTACATATCGCCAATGCTTCCGAAGCCTCTCCTGCTATTGGAGGAGAAACACCTTCCGTTGATACTCCGATGGCAGAGGGGCTCACTGAAGCCGAAGCTGACGATGCAGCCACTGCTGGTGTCGTACATGAGTTGGAGTCTGTCAAACCAGAGACCAAAGAGGCACCTTCTGCTGAAATCGCAGATGACATTGATCACCCCCAACATATGGAAGTAGATCATGTCCATGACGGCCGAGCAAGCAGGGATATGTCCAGTGAGCCATCGCCGGGAACCTTCGCAACAAAGCCATCAGAGCCCGAATCGGTGTCATCGCTCGAGCCGACAATCGAAAAGGCATTGCAAATAAGTCATTCGCCTGCTCTAGGCTTGCAGACACCCATCCCTCAGATCCTGCGTGGTACACTACGTGAATATCAGCACTACGGATTGGATTGGCTTGCGGGTCTCTACAACAACCACATCAATGGTATCCTAGCAGACGAGATGGGTCTAGGCAAAACGATACAAACTATTGCCCTTCTTGCCCACCTTGCCACAGACCATGGTATCTGGGGGCCGCATTTGGTAGTCGTTCCCACCAGTGTCATGCTCAACTGGGAAATGGAGTTCAAGAAATGGTGCCCGGGGTTCAAGATCATGACTTACTACGGCAACCAAGAAGAACGCAAACAGAAACGCCGAGGTTGGACGGATGACAACTCCTGGAACGTGCTGATTACGTCGTATCAACTCGTTCTGCAGGATCAAATGTCTCTCAAGCGAAAGGACTGGCACTACATGATTCTTGACGAAGCACACAACATCAAGAACTTCCGCTCACAGCGGTGGCAAGCGCTTCTTACGTTCAAATCCCGTGCTAGACTTCTTCTAACGGGTACGCCACTCCAGAACAATCTCACGGAACTTTGGTCTCTTCTGTTCTTCTTGATGCCTTCAGATGGTACCAATGGTGGCGTGGACGGGTTTGCCGATTTAAAGGATTTCTCTGAATGGTTCCGCCGCCCGGTTGAACAAATTCTGGAGCATGGCAGGGAGACTATGGACGATGAGGCCAAGGGCGTGATCACTAAACTTCACACCGTTCTGCGCCCGTACCTTCTTCGTCGACTGAAGGCCGATGTCGAGAAGCAAATGCCTGGCAAGTACGAACATGTGGTCTACTGTAGGCTATCAAAGCGTCAGCGATTCCTTTACGACGGCTTCATGTCGATGGCCCAGACCAAAGAGACGCTCGCGTCTGGAAACTTCCTCTCCATCATCCACTGTTTGATGCAACTCCGTAAAGTATGCAACCACCCCGATCTATTTGAAACCCGACCCGTCTCCACCTCCTTTGCGATGCCACGGTCTGTGCCTATGGACTTTAAGATCAAGGAATCCCTCGTTCGACGACGACTGCTTTTTGAACACCCACTCACCAAGATTGACTTGGATTTCCTCAATCTCGCACCCGTATCACGAGAAGATATCTCACGACGGCTAGCCGACGACAGTATCAGGCTGATGGCTATTGGCCCGTTCAAGACTCTCCGAGAACGCCAGTACAACCGAACCAACTGGGAGATGGGTTTTGATGGGTCCAACATGCAGACCATCTTAGAGTCCTTGGAGAATGCCTGTCGGAAGAGGCGAATGGCTGAATTAGAGAGGTGTCTCTACTTCGAATCCAAGCGGCATGGTCGTCGGCCCGTATACGGCAGTAGCCTCATTGAATTCCTCCGGGCTGGAACCAAGGAACACGCGCTATCTAATGCACCACTGCGGAAGCGCTCAATGGCCGACTGGCTGTCAAGCCGGTCCTCTGTTCTCGCGTCGATGATTCTCACTGTTGAAGAACGCGCTCGTGAGATGCATGGCTATGTCCAGAGATTTGCCTGCGTCACCCCCGCTGCTGTGGCCGCGGGCATGAATGAGGCTGCCTTGACTCCAGTCGAGACCAGGCTTTTGACGAATAATCGCCCAAACCCCCCATACGATCCTTTCCATGAAGCACGGATGCGCCTCTCTATTGCGTTCCCCGATAAAAGATTGCTTCAATATGACTGCGGCAAATTGCAGCGCCTTGACAAGCTCCTACGTGACCTCAAAGCGGGCGGCCATCGAGCCTTGATTTTTACTCAGATGACCAAGATGCTTGATATCCTGGAACAATTCCTCAATATCCATGGCCATCGGTATCTCCGACTCGACGGAACTACGAAAGTCGAGTCCCGACAGATGCTTACGGAACGATTTAATAGTGATCCTCGCATCCTCGCTTTCATCCTGTCGAGTCGATCTGGTGGTCTCGGTATCAATCTCACGGGCGCCGACACGGTCATCTTCTACGATCTAGACTGGAACCCAGCCATGGACAAGCAATGCCAGGATCGCTGCCACCGCATCGGTCAAACACGCGATGTCCACATCTACCGCTTCGTATCCGAGTATACTATTGAATCCAACATCCTCCGTAAAGCCAACCAGAAGCGCATGCTTGACGACGTCATCATCCAAGAAGGCGAGTTCACCACAGACTACTTCACCAAGCAAGACGCGGTCGAACCCGACGCGCGCGACGGCCAAGATGAAGCAAGTGCCGCCATGGACCGAGTCCTTGGCAACCGTGTCGTCGGGGGAACCCGCGTGTTCGAAGCAGCCGAGGACAAGGAGGATTTAGACGCAGCCAAGAATGCCCAGAAAGAACAGGAGCACGCCGACGATGGTGACTTTGAGGAGCACAGCGCCTCGCACGGGACACCGGCTCAGGCTGGAACGCCTTTAGCCGTGGAAGATGGGGCTGGCGTGCCGGTTCCGGAGCACGTGTCTGATGACCAGCTGGCTGCAGAATTGCAGCCTGGCCACATCGACGACTATCTCTTGCGCTTCATGGAGTGGAACATGAAGGATGAACCCCTGGTTCTGCCGGCGGATAAAAGCAAGAAAAAGTCCAAGAAGGGCAAGGAGCACCATCTCAAGAGGCGTCGTTAGAGTTATTGCGAGATCAATGCTCATTTGCCTCCTTTTTGGCTCCACTCCGCATGTTTCACGTTTCAATATTTCCCTCACGTTAACCTGTTTGTCTCTCCGGCTATCAGCTTGTTGTAATAGTCTCTGTGTGTATAATCCAGGCGTTGGCGATGTTATAATGTTTTATCATTGTCTTTTTTTCTCCTGATCAGCTGGCTTTATTCATAACTTTTAACTCTCCTTTTCTTTTGCTCTACTATTTTTTTTTCTCCCATTCTCTGTGTTAATCCTACTATATTAACAAAAGACTCAATAGAATCAGTTGGCAGAAATAATCGTCACAAATTACTTTCAAATCAATAGTCTATTTCCCGGAGATTAGACAAGTGGAGCAGAAATCCTTCCTGGGTCTGCATAGGCAGATCATTTTGTTCTGACCATATAAACCTTGGATATTTCGGAGGCGATTAGGGTTTAGCTCGGTGTTTATATTAATATCAATAGTGTGAGAGCCGGGGAATTGTCTATTGTATTATAGATTGTGGTGGAGTAGAGAAACGGGATGCAACAATAGTGCATATGGTTCTCCTATGTTGTACCTCGGAGATGTTAGAGTGTAGATCGAAGATGTAGATGTGAATATAGATTGTAGTACAATGATAATATACTCCATATATGCATCCACAGATCTATCAAGTTGAAGAGAACAAGGTCATCTATGGAACAGAAATAGGGTTTCCCCTATTCTCCCGTCTGATATCTTCCTCCAACGAGGGTGCATGGCCCGGTCGATCCCCCTCAAAGCCAAGTCACACCTATCTCGGCAGGTTTTCTCCGAACAAGGATAATATTGAACAAGGGCGACCGCGTGGTTGAAGGCAGCCATGGAAAGCAGGAAGTGGAGCCTCATTCGGCAGTTAAGGGATACATCTCGGATACGATTACTTTTTGCACATCTCGACGGAAGTGAAACAGTGACACAAGGTTGACAATGTTGCCGAGTATTCCCCGGTTGTGGACGTTGATTTGACGTGATTTCACGTGTTGGAGTCCTTGGACTTGTTGGAGTCGGGCTCCACTGATCTTCTCTCCAAAAGTCTCCCGAACTCGGAATGGAATTGGCAACTGTAGGGCTTTCGAGCTCCGTACTCTATTAAGCTTTGGAGAGTGCCTCGTTGGAGGTGCAGCAGATCCATGGTGATCCGGGGATCTGTGATTTAGTACATCCTAAACCTGATATATCCCTGTCATCCGGATTAGGTGATTGGTACTTTGAAATGCCGTGGATCGAGATATATGGCATTTCGTGATTGGACGGGGAAGAGGAATGGAAAAAAATAAAACAAAGAGAATCAGATGAAAATATGCCGGGCTTTTACAGGGCCCATAACCCAGCGAGGTATTTCAAGCAGTATTTTCTTTGTACAACATAGGGAGGAGGCGGCTGTAGACACGTCAAAGAAGTGATCGCCATTTTTAGCTTGCGGATGAGCAAATGCCGATGTATCCCTGTGTTGGATCTGGTCTTATTGCCCAGTTTGGGAAGGTAGTATGGAATATATCATAAAACAAAGAAATGATTTCTCGTATCCAGGAGACTTCTAGTCGGCATTTCTCCATGGATTCTCATTCCCGAGGGATAAGAAGCTCCCATGGGTTAAGGATCCTGAACCAACAGCCGAAGCCGGACATCTGCAGTTCGAGAGAGATGGACGTGACATATGCAGGTCGAAGAAACGCAAGTGATGATTGGCACAGACTCGTGGGACTTTTCATGCAGCTCGGGCCCGTGCATTTTCTGATCCTCGTCACGTCAAAATGTCTCTCATATTCTCTCAATCTCACGACTAGATGTAATAGAGCCATGGGAGATCCCGTCTAAGGGGGGAGAAACTCAGGATGGCACCAACATGGAGCCCAATATTCCACTATGTATTGAGGACCCGGGAAGATCGTCGCCGATCAATTTGCCAGATCGATAGGCGCTTCCACGAACTGGTACTCCACGGGCGTCAAATCATTGGTGTGAGGCAAGAGGGGCTTTACACTAGTTCTGACACCATGTGCCTTAGCGGATTCACCTCCGGCCGTAAAAAAAGAAAGCGCTGCTGCCTTGGGATCTGGGGGAGGAGATACGTTCGAATAGTGTTGGATCTGAATGATGTGATGATCCCGCCCTCCTCGAATTGAATTTGCAGCACATAGGTTCTAATTGACAAGGGATTCGAAGTTCTCAACGGTGCTGCCTCTGGATAAGACATCTGGTGTAGAAATGTAATCGTCAGTCTATCCATGGAGGATCCCGAGGTGGCGGTGATCGGCGACCATGAGGTCCAAGACGCCATCCGCGGGTGAGAGGAGGGCTTATCTGGGTTGGAGTATATGACCGTATTAGGATAAAACTGGGGCCGGCTAGGGCCCCAATGCACAGTAAATCACTCCTGGGGAACTATAGGCCGTGTTGTCTTTGCATAACCGTTGCGTTGGGATTTCCCCCCTCGATTATCGTCGGGCATGATCGGGCCAAGGGAACTAGGATAGCATATGTATCTGTGTATCTTCTCGATAGATCGAATGTTGGAATAAAGAAAAAACCACACCATAGTCAGCTCTGTACGGAGTACACCGTAGAGACTGAGGTGATTCATCGAATTCCGATATCCGCTTTGTTCAAACGCGCCAAGCACTCAACTGGGGATAGTCAGACATAACAGATGAGCTGTTCCGCTTGGATGATATGATCCACTCGAAGTAATGACATCGCCCTGATCGTCGAGACCCGTAACCAATGATGTTTGCGCTGCGAATCTCGTTGATGATCGCCGCGTGCTGGACGCCACGGACGCTAAGACCCAATGGATTTCCCCCAAGAGATTGTGTGTTTTAGGGTTCCATAATGACAGAACCAAGACAATGGAGATGTGGAGGTGAGAGGTGGTGAGAGGGAAGCGGGTGAAGTTGGGAGATGACCTTATATTTTAATGTTTTATTTTATTTCCCCCTAAGCTATTCCCCCATTTCTACATATAATACTTGTCTCGCCCGTTTCCTGTCTCTTTTCTGTTGATCATCTCGATCTTCGTACTATTCCCCCCTTTTCCACTTCCCAATTGGACTGTGCGTCAATAATGAAGACCTCTATCTCGTCCGAGGTATGGGAGAAGAAGAAGGCGTTGATCTCCAAGTTGTATATGGAAGATGAATGGCCCTTGAAGCAGGTCATCAAACAGATCCGCACCGACGACTTCAATCCCAGGTGAGTGCACCATGTCCGATACCGGACTCTATCATGAACTAGTTAACTAACATCTCTAGTGAAACCCAACTACGAAGCAGACTGAAGAAATGGCGAGTGACCAAGCCATCCCGCCAGACTCGAAAGAAGAGTCTGGCTTCGGCAGAAGACTTAGACTCAGACAAGGATGCCAAGCGCAAGGCATCCACCATCCAAAGACCACTGCCATCATTATCAACGAGAGAAACACAAGCCCGCCATGAATGGCCCATGATACAACCCATCTACGCACAACATCCCACCCTCCAACACCCCGTCCCAGACCGGGACCGGAAATGGAGCTCTCCTATGATCCAACAACTCACCCCAAGCCCCTCCGGCGAGCACATCCAAGACCGCACGACAGCCGTCTCCTATGCCGAGCATAGTCCAACAACAACACCCTTCGACCAAACCCACACCTCCCCAGTCGGGGAGGGCCTTATGCTGAGCACAACCCCCGCCGTGGCCCCATCCTACCCAGCCTACCCACTCTCACCCGAATCGGGCCTTCCAAGCCCAGGCACGGCCACGACTCCCAGCAGCATTGGCTGGTCGCCCCGTGCTGTCCCAGTTGACTACGGCCTCAACCCACCTCAGTGGTACTCTCTGCCCTTTGAAACCATCCCTCCCCCGGCCGTCTCTCAGTCTCCGGCTGCTCCCATGGCTCCTTCCATCAATGGATACCTCCCTCATGTCCAGCTCTACCATCCTCAGTATTACCACGGCGAGGCAGAGTACCCCCATGTCTATGATTCCAAGAACTGGAAGCGCACTATGTCGTTGCAATATGATATGGCTGGCCATCTGGCTGCCCGGGCCGAGCACGGAGATAGGAAGCAGATGCTCCCACAGATGCAGTCTCATGGCCAGTGGCATCCTATGTCACCGCCGCCTATTCAGTCCGGTGGGCCTCATTCCTTGATGTGTGCTCCGGTCATGCCTTATATGGGCCATGACCATTATGTGCAGAAGCCTCCAGGCATTGGATACTAGGTGTTAGCTTGCACTGGCACCCTTCTTTCTGTTAAATATATATGATGTTTTGATACTTTTTTTTGTGTGAACTATGGTGGTGGTTGTTTGTTTTGTCATACCCGATATGTTTGGTTTTGGGGAGTTGAAAAGGAAACTGTATATCTTGATACCTATTGATTAATTGAGCTTGATGCATCTTACTGTGTATATTCTATACTATACATATCTATCAAATCTACAAATAAAGCAGATGTTCTATAGATGCCAAGACCTGTGAGTTACCCGGGAGGAACCTCGGCATCTTGCGGGGAAGCCCCCCCATATCCCAGCCATAGCTCTTTTTATTTGTGACCTCCCCTTTCATCTCTTTGCTCAAGAAGTTTAGAAACTGCCAACTAAATCCCAATCTACATTCTCACTACTGCCAAAATGCGTGCCGTCCAAGTCAGCGAATATGTCAAAGTACCTATAACCAACCTCAACCTCAACTCCAACCCAAACTAACAACATACTACAGGGCCCCCTAGACCTAAAAGTAACGACAGTCCCAACCCCGACCCCAACACCCGACAAATACCTAATCGAAATCCACTCGGCCGGCACAAACTTCTTCGACATCCTCCAGATCCAAGGCAAATACCAAAACCAGCCGCCGCTCCCCTGGATCGGCGGCGCCGAATTCGCTGGAACAGTCCTCGCCGTTCCCACCTCCCCAAACAACCGCTTTAGAATCGGCGACCGCGTCTTCGGCGCCACACAAGGAGCCTACGCAACACACGTCCTGGCCGCAGAGCAAACACTCCTCCCCGTGCCGGAGGGGTGGAGCTTCGAAGATGCAGCGGGGCTGTTCGTCACGGCGCCAACCTCGTATGGCGGTCTTGTTCAGCGCGCTGGCGTGAAGGCCGGGGACTGGGTCCTTGTTCATGCTGCTGCGGGCGGGGTTGGACTTGCTGCTGTGCAGATTGCCAAGGCTATGGGGGCGACTGTGATTGCTACTGCGGGGACGGAGAGGAAGAGGGAGATTGCTAAGGTTTTTGGGGCGGATTATGTGGTTGATTACACTAATAAGGCGTGGCCGGAGGTTGTGAAGGGGATTTGCAAGGAGAAGAGGAAGGGAAATGGGGCTGCTGGAGTGGATATTGTTTATGATCCTGTTGGGATGATTGAGGCGAGTTTGAAGTGTGTGGCGTGGAATGCGCGGTTGTTGGTCATTGGGTTTGCGGCGGGCAAGATTGAAAAGGTCGCGCTTAATCGGGTGCTGTTGAAGAATGTGAGTATTGTTGGCTTGCATTGGGGGCAGTATGCCAAGTTTGAGACGGAGACTGTTGGTGAAGTTTGGCGGGGAATCTTTGACCTTGTTAAGCAGGGGAAGTTCAAGGGAACGGCGTTCAAGGATGAGAGCTTTGTTGGATTGGAGAGTGTGCCCAGAGCTTTGCAGGCATTGGGTGGAAGGGAGACTTGGGGCAAGGTTGTTGTGAATATTGTTGGTGATGCGAAGAGCAAGCTGTAGTCTGGAGCATCCAGGACTACAGTAGATAGATGTGGGAAAGCAATATATTGATTCAATATAGATATAAACTGATGAATGTAGATGCGCAAGGAGTCATGCTCTCGTAGACAAAGTAAAATCCCCAAAGGGAAAGACTCGAGCAAGTATAACATGAACTATGAAGGCCCTTTGCTTGCTCTGGCAACTTTCGTATTTCAGAAGTGAGCATGAACACCCGAAGGTACCCAGCTCGCAATCCAGCTCCAGTCGGTCACGGCTACAAGACGTAGCGCTGTGGTAACTGTTCTCCAGAAGGAGAGCCCTTGAGCATGTCCATATGGACTGGGACAGCTGGATTGAGGAGTTGCGGATGACAGCACGTGTCTGGGGTTTGATATATATCTGTGGTTGGGTTAGTGTAGAGTTTTGTATTGATAGGCACCATAAATCAGAATAACATTAAATTCAGAGTAATGGTTTGAATGTCGAAAGATTGTCGAGAGAATGTCTAGGGGAAGTTGACGAAAAAAAGAGGAGAAAAGGGAAAATAAATGGCGATGACTCAGCATGTCTATACCGCCCATTTTCTGCCTCTTAGAGGATATCTGCATGGAAAATACTCCGTACTATGGGCACAGTCGCTATTGTTCCAATTCCAAATGAAATGGATCGTTCTTCACTACTAAACCTCAATAGACCTTAAATTCTTTTTTGGTCAGCTACAGAAATTTCCACTCTTGTGGAAATTTCAAAGTGCAGGAACTCTACTATTAGACTATAGTACAAGAACACTTCCTGGAGACCAATGAGAAGTCATTATGTGCAGAACCCTTGCTAAAGTTTTTTGACCAATTGACGGTCTTTTGGAACCCTTTAGGCTACTGACAAGTAAGCTATGATTAGACCATTTCAGCTGTAGCCAAGATGTATATAATAGCCACAACTTTCCACACCGTCTTTCACCTTCTTTCATATCACACCTTAGCTCCCACGATTTTATGAGCCTGTATCATTGAAAATCCAACTTTGAACAATATCAAAGTCAACGATGGTTTGTGTAGTCAAGATCCTGGATGATCCTGTCAGGGACTCAATCACACAAGTGGACACGAACACATGGCTTATCGGTCCCTTCAAACTCTATCGATCAAAGGGATATTCCGATACATCTACCTGGTACGACCAAGAAGACGATCTCAGTTACACTGTCACCAACGCACCTATCGGATCTCATTGGTGTATGATGCTGGGGATGGCTCTGCCGTCTGGTCTGTAGGAAACAGCGCGTTTTGCAAGGTCAAACTATCTGAACCGGGTATAACACCAGAGGCGGCAATAGCGTTCGTCGATAGGCTCGTCTGTGAGAAGAAGCCTGGTTTCGAGGTCCCTAAGCTCCTATACCAAACAGAATACAAAGACCGGTATTGTCTGTTTTTAAGCAGAGTTCAAGGTCGAACTCTTGGAGATGCTTGGCCTTCCCTAGACGAAAAATGGAGACATCACTACGCAAACGCCGTAGTGGATGTGTGCAAGTTTCTCGCGAGTCAGGAATGTGAGGAATTTCGTGGTGTGGACGGGAAGAACGCCCTTGAGCCTTTTCTCGTCAAATCCGGCGCGGAAGAGGAATACTCTCCTGATAATCTCCGGCAATTTGTATATAAATGGGTATGGCCTGCTCAAAATTTGTGTTCTACCATGCCGACCTCGGTCCTGGCAACATCATAGTGGAGGATATCCCAGAAACTGGCACTATCGATGTTATTGATTGGGAGCTTGCTAGCTATTTTCCAAAGGGAATGGATTCGAACCAAGTTTCGACTAAGCAGTGGAATCTTTCTTGAAAATTCAGCTACGGACAAGCCAACTGAGTGGAGATCAAGGGTTAGCGTGTTGCTTGGAGAGAACGGGTTCGAAGACTATGCATCGCAATAGTTGTCCCGGTTTAATTGCTAGCGGGACTGCCATTCTACTATAGACAAGAATAGGTCTGCATCAAATATCAAACCGGGCTTTCTCGCGCATGCTCCTGAAGTCGTAGCTCTCATAGCCACTTGACAAGTCTCACGGAATACATGGGGGGTGTAGATAGTCAGCCGAAGGCTTGTAGGTTTGAGTTATATGTTTCCATAGACTAAAGCAATAAGCTGTCTCTACGTCATGGATGGATAATATTAAAGCATTCGAAGACTAGCCCCTGAAGACACGTCCGCGTCCCTGCATCATAAGACAATGTTAAAGACGGTGTCCTTGAGAAGGCGAACCGCCTATACAAACTTGACCAGGAAATTACGGTCAGTGTTTCTTAATGTGTAGCAGTCAATCAATAAGCACCCCACAAAGCTACTGAGATACCATCTAAAGAATAAAACTCATGGGCCGAGGAGCAAAAACTCTAGGGTATCTTTTGGAGTATCTTTTGGAGTATAAAGAAGCTACCTCGACACCGACGGAACCAGGTAATCAAATCACCGAGCGATGAGACAAGTCCTGCTTACTCAACTCGTAGCAAATAACTACAGGGGTGCAGTACAATTGTCCTACCCAACAAAGAGTGACCAATTGGGTCCTTCTTCCAAAATCCAGAGAACAAGAACAACGTTACTTATATATAAAACGAAAGGATCAGAACTACGTCAAATCCACATATACATACAAGTCAGTCACCACATGATCATTTTGCAGGTACCACCATGGCCCATGAAAACATATGGTTTCCCGATCCTTTCCAGAACTGCAAGATCTTGAGTCTGAACGAGCCTACACCTTCCAACTGGGAAGTCTCCCAAAAGATCAACGGGCATGTCGAGCAATGGAAAGACGCTACCTGCCGCCTCTCCTCTCTGGCCTCCGCCAAGTTCGTCTGTCGTGATACCAGTGAATCTCCCAATGGGCCCACAGCCATCCTCCGTATCGTGAAGCAGATTCCCTCTACCAAAGCTCAGGTAGCCGAACAATATACTCCAACCGAGCTAAAAGCATCCCAAGCCATCTTGCTCAGGAAGCCACTCAATTTACTCTACCCGAGCTAATGGCATACCAATCTCCCAAGGAAAGAAATTCGCCCAACACCCCTAAGCTCCTAGCATGGCAGCAAGGGACTCAGGATGCCTCTGGTACCATCCCAGGTGGCTTTATCACATGGATTATCTTTGTGGACATTGAGGGAATCGCCCTTGGCGATGCGAATGGGGCTGGCATATATTGGGAGCAGCCGCCGGAAACACGTGCAAAAATCCGCGAGGTCTTCATGAAGGAATACACGTAAGTCAGCCCTATAAAAGTTTCCGTCTAGGAAAAAATTTGGTTATTCCTGTTTTTGGATCCCTCGACTTGGCCCCTATGCTTGCGCATGCTTGCGCATGCCTCGTTGAACTCCTGATTCAAAGCTGTTTATTGAGGAATGATACTAATACATAATGATTAGTGAAGCCTCTGAAATTGGAATCCTACCAGTCCATGATGGCCTGGAAATTTGATATGGAACGAGGAGAGGGGAACGATGTAAGTCTTCCATTACACAATGCGAGGATATGATGCGGACCAGGTTGTTAACATGTTGTATTCAGTCATTTCGTGGGATTTGAAGACCCAGAATTCTTCCAGCGCAAGGGTCGGGTGACAGCCAAAATATTCCCTCGCTATAATCTATCTAAGACTCCCCCTGGTGACCGGTGGTGGGAATATGAGGTGAACAAAGATCCAGATACCTCGAAATGGACCTTCTAGTCAAACTCTTTGTTTGGACATCGGTTGTCTTCATATTAGCCTCTTCGTTTTCGTTCTTCGGTGCTGATGCTCAGAGACTTGAGGTATCATGTGATATGAGACTATTAGGGAAGGCGCATTTGAGGGCAAGTGCCTGTTCTAGGAAGGGAGTGGGGGTATAAAAGAACTTCTCCCACCTTTCCTCCTCTTCTCTTCTTCCCCTCCCCATCTCTCTGACCACCATCTCTCCGTAGCCCCATGAGACAGCGTAGGCAGAGGGTGCCGTAGCACATGCTGCTTAACCTACCACAGGGATCATAACATTACCATGTTTGTTATGAGGTCTATGTAGGTCTGCATCAAATAACAAACCGAGCTTTCTCGTGGAAGTTCCTGAAGTCGTGGCTCTCATTGCCATTTGACAAGTCCCACGGAATACATGTAGATAGCCATAACCGAGTACTCTTAGGTATTCAATAGTCATCTAGGCAGTAAATCCATTACACTCAAAGACAATCAGCTTTACGGTAGTCATATTTTAATTCACACACATTTGATTCAATTAATCTATGGGAAACTCTCTGCAAGATAGCCTAAAGATCGTAACCATCAAGGGCATAGGTGTAAATGCAGAGGAAGAAATCCCAAACACAAAACATGGAACTGAGAGGAGAGAAAGTAGCATAACATCATGGTACTCGTTCATATCATAGGTAGATGTCAAATGAGTTGGCGTTAGTATCATCAATCCCGTAAAGCCCATCACACTTAATGGTGCCGCTCACACATCTCAACGACAGTAGTCCAACCCTCACAACAAGACCGGCTCATATTATGTCCACACCAGCAGCAGGTCACCTTGCGGGGTAGAAGAGGCGCAGGCCGTAGATCGGGCATGCCTTGGGCAGCATGTGCAGCTGGTAATTGACCGAATGGCAGAGATCGTGAGCCTGTCAACTTGCGGGTACCGGTGTCGGGCTGTGTTTTGGAGCGCGTTCGGTCCACTTTGGAATCTGAGACCAGACGCTCGGGGCAGGCGAGACGCGCGTAGACTTCGGAGGGTAGGTCGTGCCAGTACTTGCAGCGGCAGCAGATTACGAAGATCTTGGTGAGGGTTTGTGGGCTGTGGGCTGTTTTCGCTTTTTGGGATCTTCTCTTGAGGATGCTCATGGGAGCTGGTCGGGCTTGGGGGCTGCCGCTTTGGGTACCCGGGGGGCTGCTGGGCTGCATGCCGGGATGAGTGCCATATTGAGGGCCGTACTGTATGCCGCGATAAGTATCAGGGTGAGACGCGGGCTGCTGGATGGGCTGCAAGACAGGTTGGTTGCCAGGTTGGATACCTGGCGATGTGTTGGGTTGAATGAGTGGACTAACGGGAGCCTCATGCACGACTGGCGCTTCGACAGCGGAAATTGCAGGACTAGTATCCACGCGATTCGCTGAATCGCGTTTGAATTCAGAGGGTTCAGGTGCATCTTCGTCGGCAGTGTCATAATTTGAATGACCGTCATGGGAGGAGTTATGTGAAGGACAGCGGCTATGTCCTGGCATGAGCCCTCTAGGTTCTCCAGCAAGAATATTATCCTCTGGGGGTCCGGTGGAAGCGTGAGAATACCGACGGGGAGATTTCGCAGGAACGGTGTTACTATCCGACAGATCCTTGGATGTTCGGCTGTTTCTCTCACCGGGCGAAACACTTCCTGCATGTACTGGAGTTCTGACGGGTACCTGGCAGGGAGACGCCGGGATGTCTTTGACCGTATCGGTTGACGCAGTTGGCATTCCCCGAATCTCGAGACTCCGTCTTTCACTCTTGACTGGAATCGGTGGCATTTCGACCGACTGCGAAGTTTCGTGGAAGTTTTCTTTGAAACGGCTTGAGGTTCGTTTGGGGGTATTCGACAAAGCGGTAGGCAATCGACTTCTTCCTCGATCCTCGGGATGAGATTGCCCAGGAGAGTGTAATGGTTGGGATGGGTTCTCATGGTTAGGTTTGTGTAATGTCAGGGATCTTGGAATCTTGAAATAACTCTGGGCCGATTCATCTGTATTTGCAGGATTCAACGCGAGGGGAGACGACTTGTATGCTCGCGGGAAGGGATCCACTCGGTTCATCCTGGCAAGGTTTCCCGTGGAGTTTGTTTGTGCTAGGCTGAGTGGTTGGTAAGACTTGGCACCAGATAGAGTTGACGGATTGTCTGGAGTTTCTGGGGGTGTCATTTCCTGTAACTGACGAGCCGTGGTAACTTGAGTAGGCGAATCCGAATGACCGGGTGAATATAAGTTAGGCTGGCTCAAGCATTGCGACATTGGCATGCTAGTAGCCCTGACAGAACGGTCTTGACGAGTCACACGATCACCGGGATATTCTGCCCCGGGCATACTCTTCCTGTCATGCTTCAGCGCTGCAGAAAACAGCTCCTTATCCAGATCGCCGGAGGACACTAGTGTCTCGCCGTTTCTAGCACAGTTTCCAACCACGGACCGAGTAACAGTGGGAATCTGCTCCGACACTGATCGATTGGATTCATGTCCATCCTTCGTCCTCCAGGCTTCGGCTGTCTTCCAGGCTTCAGCCATCTTCCAGTTCTCACGAAGGTCATCAGACTTCGCCGTGGCGTGCAACCGGTTGTGCTGGGTTGGGTTGGACATTTTGTTCGAAGCGGATAGGTTCAGTGCGGTGCCATGCTTGGACTGTAGCTCTCGGGTGATAGCCGTTCCAAACCTTTCCGGTAGAGTCAACGGAAGAGATGGTGGGTTCGTATCTGTCCTAAGCTGGTTAAACTCGGCAGACGGATCTTGATCACTCGAACGTGAATTCCGGCGTGATCGCCGGAATATCGAGGACAGGCTACTTGACGATTTCGGACGCTCTGCATTCGCACTGGAGCTTCTGCTTGAGCTGCTCACTGGTTGTTTCTTGGTCAAACGGCGAGAGTTTCTGTCATGGATTCCGATATCGCCCTGGGATTGGGATTCCTCGAGTGCTAGCAACCGCTTCTCGAGTTCTTTTCTCTCGGCTTCTAGGCGCTTTGTGACACGCTTTTCTTTTTCTTTCTTCTTGGGTCTTTCCAAGGTTGGTTTGGAGATATTGTCTCCATCTCCGTCGGGATAGATTGGCAAGGGCGTCATTTGTTGGGTTGGGGTATCATTTTCCACAGGTGCCCCGTTTGCGACTGATAGACTTGAGCCAGGTGTACCAGTGGAGGGTAAACGAGAGTTGGAGGAGTAAGAGACCGAGCTCGGCCCTGTCTCATCGTACAAGGAGTGCCTCGCATGGGAATTACTATCGGTGGCCTCATGTGCGAGAGCTTCGCGGGCGAGAAAGGGAACTGGGGGAACAAATCCACTATTCTGATTGTGTCGTTTCTTCGAGGGGTCAAATGAGATTCCTAGGCTCCTCCATATTGCTGTTGTTAACTTACATCCATAGATTTGCCAAAGACGCGGTGGATGTGGTTAGAGATGGATGATCGACGGGCCCTGCGGGGTGGATCGGTGGGGAAGGTCTCCATTGCAGTTGGTAAATTGGTTCAGTTGACTTTGATCTGAAAAGAAGCGAGAGACATTGAACTGGAAAACAGTCCAGAAATCGAGGGATCGTGGATCGTGGATCGTGAAACGTGAAACGTGAAATGTGAGAGATGTAAGGCGTGAGTCGTGAATCGCAAGTCAAGCAGATAAACAAAAACGAGAGACAAAGGCCAAGGCCAAAGAACAAAATAAAACAAAAAAACGAAAGCGAAGGAGAAAAAGAAAGAAAAGAAAAAAAGCAGCGATGATCAGTCAAGAAGCAAAGGATTCCAAATCCGCTAGCATTGGCTGCATGTGAAACCTTCCACCGAGCTATTCTTAGTATTTTTTTTTGGTCATCTGATCTGTAGATTTATAGATTGTGATGTATACGATTTCTATACAATCCTATATGTAAATCTATAAACCTGAAGAGAACCACCCAAATCTGCACTCGGCCCAGTGGAATTCCAAACTCATCGAATTGTGAAACTCAAAGCGTCCGAGGCCCAAAGAAGTTGGAGAGTCACACTCGCCCCCCACTTCGCATCAACATCGAAATCTCACCTCTACATCTCCCCGAGAACAACTAAAGATACTCTGCCTAATCAGCCTTAAACTGCTATCGGTTACTCGGTGCTACAACTACAGAGAATACAAAACTAAGAAGCTACACAATGTCCAACCAACCCCACAACGACCTCCCGCCAAGCTATGATGCATCACAACAATCCTGGGGGATCTCCGGCACTAAGCCACAGACAGGCCCTTCAGCCTCAGCAAACCCACCTCCATATCACAACTGGCAGGAAGCAGTCCCAGACACAGCCACATTTCCACCACCCCCAATCACCGGCTACCTAATCTCAGGCACAGGGAACGCCTCCGAAGACGACGCCCAGCGCGCCCACGATTTCTGCAACTCTGTGCCCCTCTGGCTCCCAGCTCAGCCCTCGTCGGCCGTCTACCACGACGTGCAGGTCCACGATCTTCGGCCCGTGCAGCCAGCCGAGCTGCGTGGCCATGTCTCGGCTGTTGCGCGCGGCCGCTGGCGAGGACACAGTGTCGACGGGAACGGGGATTGTGTCGTTCTTACCCAGCTGCCCATGTATTTCCCTGCTACGGACTCGCCGTTTGTGCGCGAGCAGAAGAAGACCATCTACTTTGAGGTTAAGTTGCTGGCGCTGAGGGCGGGGCCGACGCCGCAGGATTGTAGTGGATTTTCGATTGGGTTTGCTGCGCAGCCTTATCCGTCGTGGAGATCGCCTGGCTGGGAGAGAGGTGGACTGGGGGTGTTTTCGGATGATGGGTGTCGGTTTGTGAATGATTCCTTTGGGGGTCGGGACTTTACGATGCCGTTCAAGGTGGGTGAGACGGTTGGGTTGGGGATGGAGTTTGAGCTACCGGAGAATATCTGCAGTGGGGATAAGCATAGTAAGAGCTGCAAAGTGCATATCTTCTTCACGCGGAATGGACGCCGATCTGAGAGTTGGGATCTGCATGAGGAGGTCGATGCCGATTCCGGGGATGTTGAGGGCTTGGAAGGGGATTATGACCTATATGGGGCGATTGGGCTGTTCGGTGGCGTCGATTTCGAGTCTTGTTTCGACCCTGCAGGTTGGCTATGGAAGCCGGAATGAACGTGTGGTATCTGTGAAGGGTCCACGCGGGCCAGGCCGTAGGGCTGAAGTGGTTTTGCTTTTTACTTTTGCTGTATGGAATATGGAATATGGCTTTGGGGGTTCCAAATGCTTAGCTAGTATAGCTTGACGCACCAAATCAATATGAGCATGAAGAAGACAAAGAAGTATGTTGTACATATAAAAGCCAAGTAAAAAAAGAAACACGCTAACCAATATCTATAGGCTATGTAGTTTGCACAGCCTATTTCAACGGCCAACGCCGAGGCTGCATAGCGTAAACGAGATCCCGCACGTTCGTTCTAGAAAGGTATTTTTAATTTTCATTTATTCTTACCTTCGGCTACAACAATCCTAGTAAATGCAGCGCATTAGTGGCCGGGGGGATGCACGAGGTGCAGTTCCGCTATAACGACGGTCCTTGCGACGTCCGATGAGTAGTAGGTGCATCTCTGCCGCTTTTCCGTATGGTCCCCGGTCTACCCCAGCTGCATGAACGGCATGAACGGCAGGAAATCGTTTTATTTGACGTCAGGGTGCGTTGAGCGCATTGCGATCTTTGTCCTTTTGCATGTTGATGTATAGTGATGTATATTTTGGCGTTGAGACACGAGGATTAGTTTGAGTTCTTTGAGCATATCATGGTTGATAGCTATGTATATAGATATATACGTGTATATGTACGTTACAAATGAAAAGATATATATGGGCAGGGCATGGTGAGGCTGATACTCGAAATAAATATATATAGTAGACGCGACGGTACTCCGTACTTACTCCGGACCTCATACAAAGAAAAGAGCCTGGAGAAATGCGCACTGACAGCACGGAGATAAGCCTGCGCTCGGTGCTCTTCTAAATTGTCCTGTTCGCGAACGATGCGTCTGTTCATCTAATTGCTCGTATCTGCACGTCAATGACGGGGTTCATAGCGATTAATACGAAAGAGCCGCAGCCAATCCCCGTCCGAGCGTTACGATTTGAAAAGCCATTCAAGCCCAGTGCCATAGGACAATATTTATCAGATTTATTTTGCGCACCTATATCCGGATGTAGCATTAGGCTCTAGAAACCCGTTAATATTATTAAAATACTCTTGTACCTGTATCTGAAATACATAAAAAAGCCAGTGGAGCACCAACCTCGGTGATAATCCCGAGACTACCAGCCACCAAGCCCCTATTACTGCAACTAACCCACCAGGGAGCGGCTAGAATGGCACGGATGTTTCCACTTTTGGATCAGACCAGTTATACCCCGGCTAAGATCATCCTATTTGCACGGGGGGGGGAACTACACGAGCTGGAGCGGATCAGCTTCTACAGCTATGCCACTGCCGGATATGTGTATATTCGTTGTATCTTTCCGGTTGTTATTCGGAGTATGAATCCGGTCCTCTCCTTTTTTCTTACTGAGGGGTAAATATGGAGTAGCAGAATCACAATGGGTTTGTGTCCAGGTATCTTTGTCCGATCCACTGAAAAAGTTACGAATCCTCCCCCCCCCCACAGCCGATCTAAATTTCTGAGTAATATGCTAAGGTACGATAGAAAAAGAGAGGAACTAGAACTGAAAGGGAAAACAGAACATCATCCGGCTTGAAATGGAAGTGGCCGAAAGGGAAATTTGGTCTGATCGACTGCATGTCATCGCCCCTTTTCCCCGTGACAGTCGAGGATCCCGTTTGGCCCCCCCCCCACCTGGACATTTATTTGATATCCCGGACTGACTTCGGGTCTATGCGTCAAACCCACAACACCCCCCTCTCCCTGTCTTTCACAAATCATAACGTTGAAAATGAAATAGAAATTCGGCCATTCCCGGCTGTCGGTGGAGTTGGAGCGGGTTCAATACATTACTGGGAGTCCGTGCAGCCGAGATACGCGTTTGTTTCACTCAAGACGTGATCTGGGCACGGCCGGGAGACGGTGGTTATTCTGTACGTCCATTTCGGCTCGGCCGGGAGAGTAAATGGAGAAATAACGGGGACAAGGTACGGGATATGCATATGCAGAGAACCCTAGATGGAACTGCTGCAGATAAGAACAACGAAAAGAAAGACAAAGAAAGAAAAGGAAAAGAAAAACGTCTGAATTGCCACTTGTATAACCGAGAGAGAGGTGGTCTTAGCCATTTGCCAAAAGTACCAGATTGCGATTTTGGACGATCAGACCAAAAGGATATCCATATTCGGCCGTATGCAGATACATTAATTCCATCATCTCCGGCCGTGCCCCCATTTCGCTAAGGCTGGAACACTTTTTAGACGCCAAAGCGACAACTGGCGCGAAGCCAGCGGTTGTCTCTATCTGTGAAAGGAAGGAGTCCCGGGATGTACGGAGTACCCATTATGATCCCGGTTAGGGTTGGATATATGTTGATACGTTAGTATACGGAGTACTCGGAGTATACTTAGGGATATCAGGGATATTACTGAATTGCATAGATATTAGATTCCTATGCTAATAAGCCTATACCAATATGAGCACGGTCCAGCTGATTTCGCTTTCACTTTCACTTTCATTCACATTCCTGTCTACCCATGACCACGAGATTTACCTTCACGCCACCGAGGCAGCTGGTTGCCCGGCATTAAACGCGCAATCAGGCAATCGACCTTCGCTTTCGTGTTCCCATGTTTTCCCATGTTCCCCCCCCCGTTTCTCCGCCTATCTTTACAAGCTCTTAGTAATGCCTGTATATAAAATCCCTCCACACACCGGGTATTGCCCCACCGCGAGGGAGGAACAGCCTGTTACACGGGCACTTTAGGCGATCGCCACCAGGATTACCCGTAATTTTGTTTTTTGTTTTTTTTTTTAGAAGTAGGACTAAGTTACTTGCTATAATAAGCATTTGGCTTCAAGTTACATCCAGGCATCCTGTTCCGACCAATATGCATCTTACGTTTAATCTATTAATCTTGAAAAGAAAAGAAATGAGGAAAAAATAGGAAAGTATTCCACGGTACTAGTACTTTTGAATTTCGACTCCGTTCTGCTGCGGGCCACGCTAATTAGCAGGCATGTATTGTCAGAAAGCGGTAATTGTTCCACAAATCACCTTTCCAGCAAAGCTATAGGAAATTATTTGTCCAACGTAATTATGGGAATATATAAATATAAAAATAGAGATATCTAGGTCTGTGTCCAGCTATGAGTTCCGGTCGACTGGGCACCAATGAAGGGTCTTTCGAGTTCCGAGGCGAAGAGCATCGTGCATGGCCGGATATGTTCTCCATTGGAATTGCTCTTTGTGTTGCCTTTTTGCCGGTAAAAAGAAAAAAAAAATAGATTGTTTGTATGGTACTTAGCAAGAAAGTCGTTTTCTTAGGGTTGCATTGCTTGAAAGAACAACACTACGCCGTACCAGGTATCTCATATGCATCCAACCCAAACCGTTGCCTATTATCCACGATCTTATTTGGATCTGATTTTTAACTAATCAAGTTAGCATCAAAAGTAAAACAGAAAAGGTAAAAAAGTAAAAAAACAAGAAAGGTACATGCATATGTTCCCCACAGGGGTGAGCATGCTCATGCTCAGCATACTCCAAGGCGAACTTTCATTTGGATTTTGAATCTTGATATATTCGGCCACATGAGATCAAAGCGAAGTATGTATATACACTATACATATACATAGGCATGTGCAATACGTAAAATAATCCTCTGCATAGGCCTCCAATGCCTCCACCCATGGACGGCCTCTAGATCCAGGGTCTCTGACGCACGAGGCAAAAACTACCTGCAGCACACTCAAAACGACAACCAAGACTGGGGCATAGCTTTTTAGCTCAGCTATTTTTTTTAGTGTATGTTGTATTTACTTTTCTTGGATTTTATAATTCTTTTTTATAATTCGGGAGATTAATATTATTTCTATATTATCTTCTGCATTTTGTTTAGTTCATCGCATGTGCTGCCTTTCTTCCTACTTTAATCTCTCTCTCCCTTCAATCGTACTCATCTCTTTTTTCCCTTTTCCCTCTTCTCTTTTCCTTTGACATTGAAGGAAGCATTGTCTCCTTGACATTCGTTAAGACTTGCTTTCACTAAGCCTGCCGAGGCAATTGACCACCGGACTGGGTCAATAGGTATAGCGCATTGAATGCTTATACCTCCGCATCTTCAAAACGAAGAGAATCCCCCCTGAAAATAGTCAGAGATACGTGGGGATCAAGTTTCACATCATGGCATTCCCGTTTCTGCGAGCATTCGTCACACTCTTGTAAGTATAGATTGGGAGCTCAATCAGACCACTAGCTAACGAGCAACCAGTCTTTATCGCTACACCCGACTCGTGTTCAACCTGTTTTCCTTTTGGACATTCAAGCCAATCCCACCACCGGAGAATCCCAAATTGACATCCCAAGATGTAACGGTGATCATTCCGTCGTTGGAGGGTTGTGGCGATGAGCTGGTGGAGACCATCCGGACAATTCTCGACAATCAGCCGTTCGAATTGCTCCTGGTGACAATCGAGGCCAATCGCATCAAGGCCCAGCAGATGCTGAATGCTATGCCAGCGTCAAAATCCCGAATTCGTTTGTTTACAGTGGAGCACCCCAATAAGCGCCGTCAAATGACGGAAGCTATTCCCGAGGTCCGAACTGCCATTACCCTTCTCGCAGATGACGATGTGAGCTGGCCACGGACTCTCCTCCCCTGGATTCTGGCGCCCTTTGAAAAGGACGAGAAATACGGTGGGGTGGTGACCTGCCAGCGATTGCGCCGGGCCACGGCGCCGAGCCTCTCACAGCGACTCTGGGGCTTCTTGGGCGCTTTGTACCTGGAACGACGCAACTTCGACTGCGGCGCGACGACTAATGTGGACGGTGGCCTTCCCTGCATGTCGGGACGAACGGTTGCGTATCGGACGCGAATTCTGCAGAATGAGGCCTTCACCTATGCGTTCACCAATGAGGAGTGGTGGTGGGGGAAGTACCAACTCAATGCCGACGATGATAACTTTATCACTCGCTGGATGGTCTCGCACGGATGGGAAACTTATATGCAGTACCACCCAGAGGCGGAGGTGCTGACAACTCTCGAGGACAACCCTCGTTTCTTGAAGCAATGCGCCCGCTGGTCCAGAAGTAATTGGCGGAGCAATTTGACTTCGATGTTTCACGAGAAGCACATTTGGCAGTGAGTGCAACTTTTCCTTTCTTTCCTCTTGAATTGTCTTACCTTGACTCTCTTTTTTTTCCCCCCTCCCTTTGTTTGTTTTTCTCTTTGATCGGGTCAAAAAGAGTCTTTTTGGTCCGAGTCTTGGTGTGACATTGGAAACAAAGAAACCACCTGGGCAGAATATGCAGAACAGAGCTAACATTTCTATAGTCGTCAGCCCTGGAGCGCCTATGCCGTTCATTTGACCACGTTATCGCCACCTGCCTTTTTGGGCGACATTCTACTTGTCTGGTTGTGCCACAAGGCCACTGGATCGTGGGGAGAGTCCTTGCACGATCAATCCATGACTATGCTCTACCTCTGGATCTTCACTAGCAAGTGGATTAAGCTGCTGGGCCATTACCTTCGCTATCCAGTTGATGTGCTGTTGCTACCAGTATCCATCATTTTCGGTTATTTCCACGGCGCAATCAAGATGTACGCCGTAATGACATTGAATGTGGTATGTTTAATTCTTTCATCTTTTGATTCTTTTCATATTTGGCATTTCCATTTCCTTTTCCCTTTTTCCTTATCTGGTGCATATACGGCAAGTGTATCCAAGCGTAGCCCCTCTCCTATGACAACTCAGCATCACAGCGCTTTGATCGTCTCCTTGCAGCTCTGTTTACCCACTATTCTCCTATTTCCCCGAATTATTTGAAATTGCACAGCTCTTTGCCGTTCTGATTTGATCTGCCTTTTTAAAATTGACTATCCGAGAGCTGGTCTAACTTTGCCTTTTTTTTCACAGACAACATGGGGTAGCCGTGATGGCGCCGATGATTATGATGCCGAGCGTATGAAGAAGCGGACGGATGCCGATCGAATGAAGCAACCGTACTATCCGCAATATCTCATTAAATGAGTTCTTCGATTTTCTATTTTTTTTTACCGAAGATCCATTTCCTGTTCGCTTTCGGGGATTGGTCTACCATGTCCGATTGTACAACAGGGGAGAACTTCTAGCCCATTGACTTGGCCCTTTATATCATGACGAAACGCCGTGACGACACCTATGCTTTGTTTTGTTCTAGATCTGCCCTGGTTTTTTCTTTTTTTTGTCAACCCTGGCCATTCCGCCTGCCCAAGTCCTCGAGAGTACGAGCTTCGAAGTGGTCATGCTCTTCTCCCTCCAACGAACCAATGGGTATAGCGTCTTTACTTCTTCTGCCCAATGTTTTTCCTTTCTTCGCACATGGTTGCCTGGTTATCAAAAACAAAATGGTGGTCTCGATCGAGGCCTTTTCCCCTTCTCTTCTTGTAAATTACAAAAGCATGGGCGGATCTCGTTTTGGGAATGTTCTGTGACTTCTTTGCGTTTCAGTTTGCTTTTCAGCTTTGATTCCCCTGAGTTTTTCTGTGAGAGCTTTTGTCTACTCTTTTTAGATGCAAGGTGGTATTCTGGAACTTTGGTTGTTTCTCTCCTGTTTTGCTTTCTCAAACTGCAGATAATTTCTAATTGATTGGAATATACTCCGTACGCATATTTGTCCAGGGATAGGAAGATATAGCCCTAAAGCTACGAAGGTTGTACTTCGGCGAAATAATGGATGCATCCTGTCATAGTTCCTACTTCTGGTGCCATGCAGATGATTCGGTCTAGAACCAACCGAAAGAGGGTTGAATGTAAGAAAATAGTGTCAAAATAAGCTGATCATTGACATAGGTACGGAGTATATAATATTCATGTAAGACAAGGTATCCCGTTCGGATTAAGATGTGGCGTGGCGAGCCAAGACTTTTCGGAAATGTTCGAGTTCCAAACAACTCCAACTTCGAATCCAGGAACCAATTGTCCCTCCAACCCGCGCTTTCCCAAATATAATCCATTTTCAAGGGCCTGGTACTTTGTTCAAGATGGTGGCTTTCGCTCGCGCTGCGCTGTCTTCGCAGCTATCCGCCGTCGCCCGTCCAGTCTCGTTATGCCGACGCATCCACTCGTCTCACTTCAGATCAGCTGTTGCACACCCAATCACTGCTCACGGCCCTCCTCCTAAAGCCCCAGAGCTCAAGGAAAAGTCAAAACCGAAGGAGGCGGAGCTCCCAGCCCCCGAGGGTGAAGGATCGCGATACAACCTCACCGCTGCGTTGAGGAAGCGGTTTTGGAAAGATGTCCATGTGCATGGAAAGTCAGGTATGAACGATAAAGGCATTGGCTGTCTTTCTCATTGATTGACCCCGTCCTTCGGTGAATACTCATCAGCTAACCCATATCTAGACGAATATCAAGTCCTGCTGGACAAGCGACCCGTCCGAACCCCGACGAAAGAAGTCCTGACTATTCCCTCCACAAAGCCCCACCTCGCCCACGCTATTGCACTGGAGTGGGATGTGATGGCCTCCGCCCAGGAGGCTCTTAAAAGCCACCTCATCCCTATGACCTCCCTCGCAGCCCGCGCCACCGATATCGCCCGTGAAGATGCCGAGGGCAAAAACACCACCAGAAAACAGATTCTCACAACCGCCATGCGTTACCTAGATACGGATACCCTACTCTGCTGGGAGCCCGAGCGAGAAATGCACGTGCTGGAGCGGACGGCGGCCGATGGAACGCCCATCGAGAGTCTTCGCCAGATTCAAACGAGAATTGCCGGCAACGTCATGAGCTTTTTGTCCACTAAGGTCTGGCCTGGCCTTGAAATCATCCCTATCCTCGACGCCAATAGCATTCTTCCTCTCGCCCAGCCGAAGGGTACGAAAGACAGTATCGGCACTTGGGTTTCGGGACTGTCTGCGTATGATCTGGCCGGTCTGGAGCGCGCAATCATTGCTTCCAAGAGTCTTCTCATTGCGGTGCGCCTGGTGGTGGAATGGAGTGAGAACTTCCGCCATCTTCAGCGACCTGAGACGAAGAGGTTCGGTATCGAGGAGGCGGCTGAGGCGTCGAGTCTGGAGGTGACCTGGCAGACTAACCAATGGGGCGAGGTAGAGGATACCCACGATGTTGGCAAGGAAGACTTGAAGCGACAGTTGGGTAGTGTTGTGATCTTGGTTAGTGGAGAGACTCGGTAAGCTACGAGTGTATATTAGGTATACTGTATGATAGATATAGATGGCATGACCATGCTTTGTATAAATGCGTGTATTACAATGAAGACTACCATGAGTTTCACCATATTCTGTACAAAAATTGGTAACATACTGGGACAATGTAGAGATCGGGTAGGGCTTAGTATGGTAGGTACGACAGGTTTGGGTTTTTCGCCAGAAGGTTAACCAGCTGCCATGAATCATCTATACATATATGTATGTAGCCTCTTAAATAAGCCTCGTGATTTCCAAGCTCTCCGCGTGATTGTTCTGTGACAAACCAGCATGGCCTAGGAGTATCCTCCGACATGGTGAGGAGACTAAAGAAAGAACGACCAAGAAGGGCCAAGTTGTTGATCAAAAGGTAAGTCTATCCATACCTAGTAGGTGTAAGTAATATGTCATAAATGTAAAGTCTAGCTCTGTTATAAAAGCCACTTTGTTATCGTTTTTCTGGATGTCTTTTTCGGTGTCTTTTAGAATATAACCGCTAACCATCCCCAATTATTGTTAGCAGGGGACCTTTGATACGAGCTTTTTCTAGACATTTAAGAGGCTACATACATATATGTATAATGTGCAACCGATACGGTATTCCGATATGTAGGCAACGTGAAGTATGTTAACGACGTTTGATTTATATTTCCCCTACTAGTTACTAAAAGATTGTATAGGTTATTTTCCCTCATGACCATACTAAGACCAGCCAACGACTATTTATCAAACGAGGCGATCTCCTTGAGTCGAGGGTGGATCATCCTAATGGGCTACTTGAGTTTGATATTGATCGTCTACGAGAATATGCAACTTGTGCCCTCTGTCGTATGGACCTTACTCCCGCGACTTAAAGGTTCTCATGCTTAGCTGGCTTGTGGCTTCTATCGAGGGCCCGAGGGCGTTCGACGATATTCAATGACTTGATGTTTGCATTCCAACATAATAGTAGAAATCGTAATTAGCTCACTTAACCCTATGCATTCTTGGCTTTGAAGGCAAGAAGCCCTCTTTCTATCCCCTGTTCTGGCGTAGCAATTGATTCAATGCACGGTTCCTACTATCGCTATCATGTAGAGCTTTGCCATCTACAATGCGAATTGGGATTGCAGCCTAGACGATTCTATACGGAGAAAAGCTGGTTGTTCATTGACATATGAGAATGGTGTAAATGCTGCAGCTGTACTACTTGTATCTCCCGTTGGACATCGGATGGTTATTGCTAATTGAGCAAGCCAATCACTTATTCTGTCATCATGAAGCTATTCAGAGATCACTTAACTCTGACTTTCCTCTTACCCTATCCTTTGCATCACTGGTCAACAGAAAATGTCATCCACCGCTAAGGCTCAGTATATGTGGATAGACATGAAATACTGAAGCCATCCCACCGTGTTGGACCAAATCTAGCCTACTCCCTGCTTTTGCGACTATGCCCTCTTAAATGCGAGAGATCATACTAAAAGCATAAAACCACGCAGAGGGTACCCTCAAACAACTTTCACCCGAATTCATCTTTTCGCCCGAGACTCTCAATTATTGCCCGATATCGCTAAACAGATTTTAGTAACTAACTGACTAGTTATTAAACTAATGTTGGATGCCTAATGAATAAGGCACCCAGTGGGGAACGAATATCTTTGTCCACTTCGTGCTCCGTACAGAGTAGATAGATCTCCCATTCTCTCTCTTCCTACCCTGAGAAATCTGAACATGGTCCCTAAAAGCCCTCGTACACGCTATTCTCCTTATTCATATCGTACTCAGACTCTAGAGTTAATCACTCTTCTTTATGAGATCTGCCTAATACCGTCGAGCATGGTAGTACCATTATTAAAAGCATAGTGTAGATCAGGTGATCTCCAAATTCATGGTACGGTCGTAAGGCAGATATCTTAGACCGGAAGAAATGCTGCTGACGCTTAGGCTTGTCTGTCAGTTCTTCTGCTCTACCTTACTTTTCATAGTGGTGTACTATAATATATGGCACTCGTACTGAAATTAATATGCATGGAGACTTCGCCTAATTAGGTTAGACCGCCGTACTCCGTAGTAAAATCGAGACTCGAGGGGACCCCTACACTCATGCCAAGGCGGAGTTCAGCACCATTTGCCCCCCAAAAAAGGGCCCGAGGCCCCCTCGAATTTCATTCCAAGTCCTCAACTTTGAGCAGACAACATTCAATTTAATGTGTTGGACATAGTCCAGTGTGCTCCAAGTATGTCTGATATACCTGAAGAGTAAGTCTTTGTTCCCCTCAGGTTGGCACTAGAAACCCTCGACCCATGGTTCGCATCATGACAGCGGGGATACCTTGGCTTCACTGCCTTGATATATCTGTCCTGAGCCTGCACCCTTTGAAGCAGTAACATACGGTGCCCACAGTGCAAAGTGTACGGATTTTACACACAATTTGTACTGACATGCCACTGTCTCGCAGGCACAAACACAAACGCTCTCGAAGCGCAATAGCACTTTCCCTCCTCCACCGCGACAAGTCCAAAGGCGAAGATAAAGATCCCGATAACAACGTAGACACCAACTCGCCCACCTCCGCCTCACCAAGCCCGGGCCCATTGAAACACACCCACAGCAGCAGCAGTCGCCATAGCCGTCGCAAACCAGGCCAGGACACAAGTTCGCCACCCGCCATTCAAGAATCCGCCGAGGATATGGACACAGTCGAAGACCTGCCTTCCTTGAATCAAATAGAGACTGGCAGCATGTCGCTCGAACAGTCCGTTCGCACCTTTCGTCTCTTCGAGATCTTGCGCAGCGGCGATACCACCGCTATCTCCAAGGCCATCAAGGATACCATCGACCCGCAGGGTGTGAGTTATCTCAACGGCACGACCGTCCTCCATTTGGCTTTGCAATGCGCCGAGCCCCAGGTCGTGGAATATGTGCTGTCCAATGCGGAGGATATCGATATCAACTCGCGAGATCGGGATGGAAACACCCCACTTCACATTGCTGCCCAGCTGGGCCGGGGCCCGCTTGTTCGCGATTTGCTGAATCGTCCATCGATCAATGATTCCATTGTCAACTATCGCGGTCAGACGCCTCTCGATCTGGCCCGTACCCCGGAAATTTTCCAGCAGCTTCAGCTTGCGCGGTCTCTCTTCATCGATAGCAAGAACCAGGAAATTCAGGCTTTGATTAAAAACGCTGATTATAAGGGCTTGGAGGCTTTGCTGGAGGAACCTCGAGTGGAGGGTATTATGGATGTGAACAGCTACGACCTAGTTACCGACCCGACGACAGCCCAATCCGGCGGCACGCTTCTGCATGAGGGTGCTAGAAGTAAAGATGCGCAGCTCATTGAAATCCTTCTGACGCATGGCGCCGATCCTTTCCGCCGTGACAGGAAGGGGAAGCTACCGCAGGATGTTACCAAAGATGATAAAATCCGTGCTCTCTTGAAGAGATCACCCGCTGCTGCTATTGCCCAGCGCGGTATTCAGGAAAGGGCTATTCTTGGAAATAGTAATGCCCAAGGCCTTGCCGGGCGCGTTTCGATTGGTGATGCCCCGCTTGCCGGCAAGGATGCTCGCGAAATGAGAGGCTATCTCAAGAAATGGACCAATTACACAACGGGTTATAAGTTGCGCTGGTTCGTTCTAGAGGATGGAGTTTTGAGTTATTATAAACATCAGGGTAAGCTCACGGCTCATCTTCAGTTTCGCATCACCCCTCGTGCCGTCGACCCCTGCTAAATTTCTCTATAGACGATGCCGGCTCTGCCTGTCGCGGTGCCATTAACATGAAGATTGCTAGACTTAGCATGGATGCGCAGGATAAGACGCGTTTTGAAATCCACGGCAAGTCGTCGGTCAAATACCACCTCAAGGCCAACCATGTTGTGGAGGCAAAACGCTGGTTCTGGTCTCTCAACAATGCCATTCAGTGGGCCAAGGACGAAGCGAAGGAGGAGGAGCGTCAGCGGTCCAAGAACGCAGAAGTGCTTCGCCAGGCTAAGATCGATCACACAGAAGGACGTCCTACAGATACCCCATCAGAGTCTGGTCTTTCTCACAAGCCTAGCACAAAGAATCTCGCTCCTCCGTCTTTGGGCGGTGGTAGCAGCAGTGGCACAAGGCTCAGTACATATGCATCTCGCACCACCCTAGATACTCCAGTTGGAGACGAGGACAGCTCCATTTATGGCGGTTCTTATGACCACGTCCCTGCTCCAAATGACATGAACAGAGTAGTCAGTCATGCCGCATCTACGCCGGAGGGGGAGGGCGATGATGAAGAATATATCGACTATGGTTCAAGTCACGATAACGACATCTCAGCCGCTGATAAAGATGCCCTCAATATCACCGCACAATCTGCGAAGCTTCAGTTGGATCTTCTTGCAAATGTGGCAGCCTCGCTACAAGCCGAGAAATCCAAGAATCCGCAAATGACCATCGCGGATCCAGCCCTCGAAGAGGCACTCGGTGCCTACGAAGCCGCAGTCAGCAGCCTCAAGGGTCTAGTGCAGAACCTGCTGAAGATATCACGGGACCGAGACTCTTATTGGCAGTCTCGTCTTAGTAGAGAGGAGTCCATTCGTCAAATGTGGGAAGAAAGCATGGCCCGCGTGGCCCGCGAGCACGAGGAGCTGCAATCTAAGATGGGCGAGTCCGAGGAGAAGCGGAAGCGGACTAAGCGGGCTCTGAAGGAAGCCCTGGAGAGCGCAACAGGCAGTAGCCGTTCTATCGTCGGTGGGACATCCCGTTTGCCAACAGAGAGACAGAGTCTTGAGGCCAACCAAATTGAAGCTGGGGCTACCGAGACAGATAAAGCAGAGCAGCCCACACAGGAACCATCCGAAGTACCCGAACTGTCTCGCAAACCATCAAACTACTCCGAGCTCAGCAGTCTCTGCGATTCAGAATCGGACGGAGAAGAATTCTTTGATGCTATTGATGCCGGTGAAATCGAGGTAGAGGATGTCAGCAATACCAAGAAAATCAATATGGAACCACCGAAAGACGAAAGTGCTGAGCTTCGGGCTGTGAAGAGTACCCTCATCGCACCATCCTTTAAGGGTTACGAGGATCCCATCAGAGAGCGACTTAAGATGGATGCTGATGATCGGCCAAAGATTTCTTTATGGGTAAGCTGTGAAGTTAGCTTCTGTTTTTTTCTTTGCCAGTGCTAACCACAATTTTAGAGTATCCTGAAATCTATGATTGGAAAGGACATGACGAAGATGACGCTCCCGGTGTCCTTCAACGAACCAACTTCACTACTTCAGCGAGTGGCTGAGGATCTTGAATATACCGACCTCCTTGACATCGCTGCTGGTCGGGCCGATTCAATGGAACGCCTGGTCTACGTCGCCTCCTACGCCGCAAGTGAGTATGCTTCGACCATCGGCCGTGTCGCAAAGCCCTTCAACCCCCTTCTGGGTGAAACCTTCGAGTACGTGCGTCCGGACAAGGGCTATCGGTTCTTTGTGGAGCAAGTTAGCCACCACCCACCGATTGGAGCTGCGTGGGCCGAATCGCCCAAATGGGACTACTGGGTAAGTGCATCCGATTTTGTAGGCGTATATCTGTTACCAGGGCTAACCCAAACTACGTATATAGGGTGAATCCTCCCTCAAGTCCAAGTTCTATGGCAAATCCTTCGACATCAACCTGCTGGGCACATGGTTCCTGAAGCTGCGACCTTCCTCTGGTGGAGAAGAACTTTACACCTGGAAGAAGGTGACCTCGTCGGTCATTGGCATCATTACTGGTAACCCCACGGTGGACAACTACGGTTTGATGGAAATCAAGAATTGGACCACCGGCGAAGTCTGCTACCTCGACTTCAAGCCCCGTGGCTGGAAGGCCTCATCGGCCTACCAGGTGACAGGAAAGGTCGTCGACAGCGAAGGCTCTCCCAGGTGGAGCATCGGTGGCCGCTGGAACGATAAGATCTACGCCCGCCATACCCCCGGCTTCGAGGCACCTGTCTCCGGCCAGGATCCCGAGTCCGCCAAGACATTCTTGGTCTGGCAAGCTCATGAACGTCCTACTGGTCTACCTTTCAACCTGACTCCATTCGTCATCACACTCAATGCTCTCCCGGACGCCTTGAAGGAGTGGCTACCTCCTACCGATACCAGAAGGCGACCGGATCAGCGTGCTATGGAAGATGGTGAATATGATTTGGCTGCTGATGAGAAGCACCGCGTTGAAGAGAAGCAGCGTGCCAGGCGCAGAGAACGCGATACCAACGGCGAGGTCTACGAGCCGCAATGGTTCATCCGTGACAAGTGTCCTGTTACGGGAGAGGAGTTCTGGGCTCACAATGGAAAATACTGGGAGTCCAGAGATGCGCATGATTGGAGTCGATCCGAGGATATTTTCTGAGAGGTACTTGTTAATTTGGCTTGGCTGCTTTGTACAGACTCTCAATTGTCATAAATAAACGAATGAATTCTGAATAACTTTCTCGTGAATATGGACTCAAATGAGTAAAATCGGGTAGTAAATAATATATGTTTCGGTAGAGTCCATCTAATGAATACAATAAGCCTGACGATACAAGTTTCATAGATGGTCGTTATCAGTCACGTGTCGCCGCAAAAACATCCCCAGAGCTATCCGTGGTCTGATCGGTTCCCCTCCACAACCAATTGACATCGCAATGGCAGGATACACTTGTGTCCAGTGCCTACAGACCCTCCGTAACGGAGTCCGGGCCTCAGCTCCTCAGGCTCGCTTGCAGAGCCTCGCCACCGCGCGGAGAAGAAGCCCCATCTCCCCGTCGTTCATCCGCAGCTTTGGCTCGCAACGCAACAGTCGATCGCTGGGCAACTCCCAGGAGCAGCCCCAGCATACCCACAGCCAGTCCTGCTGTGCTTCCAAGTCCTCGCCTTCGCCCGTCGCGCAGCGGGCAGCTCACACGGCAACCTCCGCCGTCAAAACTCGGCTCAACCCTCGGGCCGTCTTGAAACCTGACAACCTGTTCCACTCCTTCTCGAACTCGCCCTCGCCGGCAATTCGCAAACGCGCTCAGTTCATCAAACAGAATGCCTTCTGCCCCCACCCAAGCCACCAGCAGACCCGCGCGCCCGTCTCGCCGCACGACCCCGAAGCCAGAAAAACCACCGATGTTGCAAACCTGCCCCCGGCTCATTCGCACTTCGAGTGCCCCGACTGCGGTATACCAGTCTACTGCTCCGAGGAACACTGGATGGATGACTTCGAGGCTCACCTCGAGATTTGCGACACTCTGCGCCAGATCAACGAGGATGACCATGACCTGAACTCCGGCCGCTCCTTCCCGGAATTCAATTACCCCGGTCCTCAGGATGATAACTTCGTTATCAACATGACTAACTGGGATACTTTCCTCTATACCCGTGAATTCCCGGCTATCAACGACGACCGCTCCATGCGTCAGGTTACCCGCATGCTCACCTACCCCCAGACAATCGGCAGTGTCCTGCACGAGCTTAGCCCGTACAGTGTTCGTTCCGGTGGACGACTCACACCGGAGGGATTGAAGAGTTTGAGTGGTAAGTCCTGACTTCTATACGGCAGTAGAGGACTACTAGCAGCATCTCCCACACAGCAAACTAACCCATCCTCAGCCCTGCGCTACTCCCTCCACCCCCCGAAAGCTGGCGAAGGCATTGACGTCAAGGGTCTCCGCCTGAAGGCGCCTCCAGTGCGAATCTTCATCCTTGGCGCCCGCGCAGAGTCCTCCCTCCCCCGCGACGTCTGGCTGCAGTTGCAGTACATGTACCCGCGCGCCCTGCTGCACCTGATCTTCATCGGACCGGAGAGCATGACGAATCGAGACGGGGAGTATCCGCTTCCCGAGCGCACGCCCGAAAACCCCTTCGGCGGTATCGTCGAGGACAGACTCGGTGGCCAGATGAAGATTACTACTTACGTGGACTACTTCCACACTATGAACAAGGCGCAGTATTTCGGCCCCTTCGATCCTTACCTGGATTGTTTCATGCTCTTCCACCCTGGTCTGGGTCACCCGGCTAGCTCGCATGAGTGGGAGGAGACACTGCCCCAGTTGCTTGAGACTAAGGTTCCCATCATCTGTACAGGGTATACGCAGTGGGATCTGGAGCGTGATATCAACTGGGTGAGTGAGAAGTGTCGTGGGGAGTTTGATGTGCTTCTCGAACCCGGGGAGAATATCTTCCGCAGTCTGCGCTGGGATCTGAATGATCAGGATCCTCATGATGTTTCTTGTGGAAACTGGGGATTGTGGGCCTTCCGAGGCAAGAGGTATGTGGTGTCTTTTACTGAATAGAGGGATGTTGACTAACTTGCTCTGCGACAGATACGAAGCTGCTTTCACCAAGGAGGAGTAAGCTAGTTGTGCCTCTTTCCTTGCTGTACGATATTTTTTGGTGCCCGTTCTTGGGGTCATTTTAGTAGATAAGGTTCAGTTTCAGTCCTCTCCGAAGTTATTCACGATTATCGATGCGCTTGATTTCAGTCAGTTCGTTCTTGTCAAGCATACGTAGATGAAGCCGTAGCTAAGGTCTTAGTGAGAAGCTAGGAATATGTAAAGACTAAACGCTCCGGGCATAGTTAATTGAAGAAATATTACGATTAGGCACAGGTCAGGGGTAGCCGCAATGAATTGTATCAATTGCACAAAAAGTAGAGCTCGTCTTACACTCGTTAAGTAACAGTAGTATGACATCCGAAGGAAAAGATGCAAGCATCAATGCAGGGACAGAATTCAAGGTCAACCAAGACAGAAAGGAAGTAGCATCAAGATAGAAAAAAAATGCTTGGATGAGATCAAAAGGGGAGTATAGAAGGTAAAAGAAAAGGGTATAAACATCGGAAAATCGGAAAACACGTGTCAAAACCACCGTAACCAGAAAGCCCGTAACCAGAAAGCAAGGTTTTAAAGACGGTATGTCAAGAAGAAGGAATATGTAGAAGAGGAAAATATCCCAAAATGAAGACTTGGGAAGGATCAAGTGGGGACCATTATAGATGGGCCCGATGTGACGAAGGTCGACACCAAGATTGAGGGGTTAACTCGAACATTTTTCCTCAAACGAGTCAAGGAATTGAGTTTAGATCAAGAGAAGACCAGCAATGGCGCCTGCACCAGCAGCAATGAAACCAGGGAGGTGGATGGAGGCAGCACCAGCAGTAAGAGGTGAAGGAGTAGCCGAGGCACTCTCACTGGCGGGGGAGCTGCTAGTAGCCTTGATCAGGGGGGTGGAGCTGGCAATGTGGCTCATGGAAGGGATGACGCTGAGGGTGGGAATGCTAGTGATGACAGGCGTCCAGGTCGACGAGGGAGCTTCAGTCGAGGTCTCAATGGGGGTTTCAGTCGGGGTTTCAATCGAAACCGAGCTCGAAGTTGAGGTCGGGGTGGGGGTCGGGGTAGACGACGGGGGAGGAGTGTAGCCAGAGGGCACCAGAGTGATGGTCTTGGTGATGCAGTCGGCTGTGGCAGATTCAGCGGCGAACGCGACGGGCGCGAGGGCCGAGAGGAAGAGGAGAGCCTTGGTGAACTGCATTGTTGATGTTTGTTGTGGTTTAAGGTTATGATATTGAGAGTTGAGAGTTGCGAATTGCGAATGAAGAGTAATCCGAGTCAAAAGAGTGAATGCAGCTTATAAAAGAGTGTAATAGCTGGGAGAACAAAAGAGTGACACTGTTTCAAACAGGAGAGGTTGCAAATTAAGAGAGAAAGACAGGGGAGTAAAGGAGAAGGGGTGTAGGCCAAGGCCAAGGCGCTTGTTCAAGGCGCTTGTTCCTTTAGGAATGGGCCAGGTACCCAGGCAGCAAGGCATCAAAGGAGTAAGCACCAAGGCATCAAGGCATGAAGGGTCCAAGACTAGTCCGAATTAGGTATACATATATACTAAAGTCTTCCCCCTTTTCATAGTTATATCTTCTATAAAGACTGAAGAAGCGGGTGAATTTACACTATTATCAGACAGTAAGGCCGTACCTCCTGTTCTTAGCTTCATTGTCACAATCTAGATTGTATACGGAGCACAGTTTCAGGTAATTCAATATCACCTTGACATTATGAGAAGCAAAGCGCTTATAGATATAAAAAATACTGTTGTACAGGCCAAGGGCAAGTTCCCAAACCGGGGTATCAAAGTAACAGCAAACAACCATCCCAATCATCCTTAATCATAGCATCAAAGCTCATCGTCAACACAGGCCAGATAGGGCCATAATAACCCAGCAGTCAGAAAGCAAAAACACAGCTGTCATTTAGAATCCCCATACGGCGGCCACTACCACAGCAACTGTCACCCAGTACCCGCTAGCATGCAGGACCATTGCGACAGGCCCGGATGCCGAGGAAGTACTAGTCGAGCTTCCGTCAGCGGCAGTGGTACCGTTGGGCAAGGTACCGTTGATGTAGATGGTCTGGGTGCCGTTCACATCGACCACGCGCACAAGACTCGAGTTCTTGGGCACGGTGCCGTTGAAGAGGGACTCGTAGTATGTGCTGTTGTTGTTATTGTCGCAGCCACACTCCGAGTACTGCTCGCACACACAGACAACGGGGAGCGACTCGTTCTTGTGGGCATTGTTATTGTAGTAGTTGTAGTGCTGGCTGTAGGGGTAGGCGTAGGCGCTGTACAGCCAAAGACCCGGGAAGAAACCCAGTGCGGCTCCACCGAGCACGTAGGGGGCGATGCCTCCAGCAGACCGCGAGCCAGACGTGTAGGGAGTGCGCGCACCGCCAGCATAGTAGTTGCCTCCACCGTAGGTTGCTCGAGTGCCAGAGCCGGCGCTGGTTGTACCACCAGCATTGCTTGTTGAACCACCGCGACTGCTGCCACTGCTTCCACTGCTGCCACTGCTGCCACTGCTGCCACTTGAGCCCGAGGAGCCGGAAGAACCAGTGCGGCCTCCACTGCTTCCTCCACTGCTGCTTCCACTGCTGCTGCCACTGCTGCTGCCACTGCTGCTGCCGCCTCGGCCTCCTCCGCCACCGCCACGCCGTTTCTCAAGCGTTATAATATCTGAGCTGTCCTGGGTAGAGTCCAGGGAGTCCACATCTCGTTCAATAAGATCGGTAGACTCGGTTTGAGGGATAGTCAGGGATAAGGCCCTGGTGGAAAGTAGAAGGAGCGTTGTCGCCCAAGTGAACTTCATGATGAATCCGGGACCCAAGTATCGAGTGATAGAATAGAAGAATAGAGAAACAGAAGATCTCGAAGGGCGTGAGAATCAAAGGAAAGTCCGGTAAAAGCGAATTGAAGTAGAGTCACGGTATGACGAAATTCCGAGGAACTCCGACTCCTCAAGGGATTTCGGAGCCTTTTAAATCTTTGAAGTGCTAAGAGTCCTTAGAGTTAAGCAATTACAGCATGAATCTTAAAAAGAAAATTCATCAAAGCCAAACCAACTCAGCCTCGGACCCTGACCCTGACCCGCACCCCTTTAGCGGCCCAAGAGCGGAATACGAAAACGGTGGTGAATATTTGCTTGGCATATACCGGTATTTTGTATGTTGGAGACATTTGTTTCAATATAATTGTGCTGGATGACCTCATGGGGTGGCTATCTTCCAGTATACACTTTGCTTCGCCTCATTCTGTGAGCCCTCGAAGTTGGATATTACTTCATGCAATCTTAAACCAACGGCGCTCATCTGCGCCCCGTAAATGGACCAAGAAATGAGTTTCTAAGCCTCAAAGTTTCGAGAAAACTCTCCACAACATATAAATCCTTTGTTATAGAGTAAGATGAGGCCGTCTGGTCCTATAGATCAAGACAAGTGCGCCTTGTTTCAATATTTGGCATTTCAGTGGTTATCAACTTATTCCCTTTCTAATTTCTATAAAAGATGATTCCAGCTTTACATTTGAGGTTTCATAGCCAATCAATAGGGCATTGTTAGTAGTTAGTTATCAATAGATAGTCAATAGTTAGTTACTACGTCGTCAAATAGTGGGACATCACCGGTCGGCACCCAACAGCTTTCGCCCGAGTCAAAGCTGCCTTTCTCTTTATTTCCCCCAAGAACTTATTTCCCTCTCATGGCACGTCAAAGAGGTCTTTCAAATGCCTCCTCCACTTCATCCCTCCCCGACCAAGTACAAAAATCCCCTATTCGTGACCCGGCCCGCAGACCGCTAATGCAATCCTAGGAATTGGGGAGCATGTATGATTACCTCGCCAAAGTCATTCTCCTAGGACCGAGCGGTGCTGGAAAGTAGGTATCAATTATATCGATATGCAATATGGTATATACAAGCTTAGATCATCTTATTGACACCCGATCCTTGTATCACAGGTCTTGTGTACTACACCGCTTCGTGAAAGACGAATGTACAACCACCCCTCCAACCTCACTCTAGCTCCCCCTCACTGACACATCTTCTCTCCAGGGCGAGTACTCTCCTCTCAGACCATCGGCGTGGAATTCGCCTCGCGCATCGTGAAACTCGGCACGGGCTCGCGCCGGAGACGCATCAAACTCCAACTCTGGGATACAGCAGGCACAGAACGCTTTCGATCCGTTTCAAGATCGTACTATCGCGGCGCAGCAGGCGCAATCCTCATCTACGATGTCGCTTCCTACACTTCCTTCGCTTCCCTGCCGACCTTCCTCATGGACGCCCGCGCCCTAGCTTCCCCGAACTTATCCGTCATCCTGGCCGGGAATAAAGCTGACCTGACCTCCGACGCTCAGTCCGATTTCGAAGATTACTCCCGCCCCCCTCCGACTCCAACCCCGTCCAGTATTTCCAGCAGACAGTCATCTATCCCTTGGGATGCGAATGGGTCAATTCGCTCGACTAGCATGATGGGTACGGGGACTAGGTTGACGGCTACCCGTGCCTCAGAGGGCAGAGAGGTGAGCTCCGAGGAGACATCCCGCTGGGCTGCCAAGTCGAATATACCTGTCGCTGTGGAGATCTCGGCTCTGACGGGGGAGGGCGTGGAGGAAGTCTTCAATCGGCTGGCGCGTATCATCTTGACCAAGATCGAGCTCGGTGAGATCGACCCCGATGACCCGCAGAGTGGCATCCAGTACGGAGATGGAGGTCTGTATGGCGGCAGTGATGCTTCAAGTATCAGAAGTCGGGCGACGTTGGACGATAATTCCGTGCCCCTTCAGCGCAGGAATCCCCGTCGAAAGGGCAAGGCTCCTGGCACACCTAGCTGGAAGAGCGGGATGAGGGAATGGGAGGATGTCTTCCGCTTGGGCTCTGGAAGTCGCCCCAATCAAGGGTGTTGCTAGTATTGTGGATCATTCTACATCACCCTGGGTACATTTGTTTATTTTCTGTTTTGATTTGGTCTTTGGTTTACTACACTGCACGATACCCCCTCGTTGACCTTGATCATTCAAATGTTTCTACATACTTGTTACTTTATTTACCCGACAGCTCAGACCTCCAAGAAGAGGAATTAATTGCATATAAACTTTTGATTCATCTCTCGTTCAAAATCTGCCCCCAAAACAACGCCCCGTCATCCCCAACGTTTCGTCTCTCGATTTATACATCAATGCCAGCAATCAAGGTCTTAATGCCCTTGCCAGCCTTGACCTCAACAAAGGCCTTCTCAGCATCCTCGAACTTCACTGTATCGGTAATCAACTTCTTGACATCGACACTGCCGGACGCAACCAGCCCAACGGCAAGCTTGTAGTCCCCGCTACCATATCGGAAGCTACCCTTGATGGTCAGCTCCTTAGAACAAGCCGCCATGATGGGGAATATGATCTCGCTGCGGCCCATGCCACCCTGTACGTATGTGCCTCCGTTGCGCAGGACATGGATGCCCGTGTGCACGGAAGGCTCAGCGCCCGAAGCGTCAATAGCAACATCGGCACCAAGGCCGAGCCCATTCTCCTGTCTCAGACGCTCAGCGTTCTCAGTGGCCGGGACATTTTTAGGCATGAATGTCGCCGTCGTGGCGTAGTCCTTAGCAAAGTCAAGACGCTTCTGTTGGATATCTACGACGATGACCTTGGAGGCACCGAACGCAGTCGCCACGGCGCAGCACAGCAAGCCAACAGGGCCGGCACCGAATACCACCACCGACTGGCCCGGGCTGACTCTAGCTTGGCGCACAATGTGCACCGCGACACTGAGAGGCTCCATGAGCGCTCCCTCCTGTAGGGAGATGCGCTCGGGGAGCTTGTAGCAGAAGTCCTCGGGGAGGACATAGTACTTGGCCAGGGTGCCGTCGTAGGGCGGGGTCGCGGCGAATCTCATGTGCTCGCACAGGTTGTACTTTCCGGCCTTGCAGGGCTCGCATCGGCGGCAGGGGATGCCGGGCTCCATGGCGACCCGGTCGCCTACCTTGAGGGACTGGACGGCCGAGCCGACTTGGGTGATGACGCCTGCTGACTCGTGTCCGAGGACCATGGGGTCTGTCACAACAAATGGACCAATCGATCCTTCTTCCCAGTAGTGCACCTGTTGCGGGGATTGGTTAGGCTGGTGGGTCATACTGTTTTCGGGGCATACATACATCACTGCCGCAGATACCGGTGTACTTGACGTTGATGAGCACATCGTGAGGTTCTTTCAGCTCGGGAATTGGGCGGTCTTCAAAGGTAACCTTGTGGACGCCCTGGAGGATGAATGAGAGGTTCTACATGGCTGTCAGACTTATCCTGTACGTCATTCTCGACAGTCCTACCTCAGGTGTGGCCATTGTGTATATTTAGAGGAGCAACGGTGGGAATTCCGGGGAAATCAGCAACGGTTGGGGGATGGAGGGAAGAGTATAAGGAGTTAATGGAGATTCTACACGCAAGAGAGGAATATATATCTCGAAAAGATAAAGGGATCGGGAGAATCCAGTCGAATTGAATTGAACCGAACAACGCAGAGCTCCCCGCAGGTCCAGACAAGTTCCACTATGTGGATCAGCCTCTCTTTCTCTTTTAGCCGCGATATTAACCGGCTCTCGGGGCTTTTGGCGGGATTTTCTTTCCTCGATGAAGTCACAAGAGGCAATAAACATCAGGCCATGTGACCCGCCAGTGGCCGCCACTTTTGGTCAAGTGACGTACTTGATTTGGATAACTATATCTTCAATACTTCGTATAGGATACAAATATATATGTATGGTACTTGATATAAGAAGAGGTGATTTAGTTCCTAATTAAAACAACACATATAAATTCAGATAAGATACTACTCTACTACTACGGTGCACCTTATGTAGTATTACTATAGGTAGATACTATGTATTCCAGGGCTTGTAGACCTTTCTCAGCCGAAAGCTATCGGCCGAAACGCCAAGACCCGGGGATTTTGTCCGTCCTCAAGCTCTCTCTCTTCCTTCCTCTCTCCTCTCTCTGGTAGCTTAGAGCTTCACTTCTTCTACACATTGCAATGGTATTCAATGCCCTCGCCCTCGGGGCGCGTAGTCTTCGGACTCGACCATCACCCCGCCTGGTGCGCCATTTCGCAGCTTCCGCCAAGCAAGCAAAGGAAAACCAATCATTCAAGAGTCAACTATATGAAAGCACCCAGCAGCGCTTGAAGCGCGAGCGTGCCGAACAGGAAAAATTCGCCCAATATCAGACTCAATCTCCCGCGGGTCGCTCTGCCGCTCTGATCTTCGGTATGCAAAGCTGAGATAACTTACATTGTCCTCTGGATCGGTCAGCTAACTAGACCTGCAATTGCGCTGTAGCTTTGGTTTTCTTCTCAACTGGTGCTTACTACCTCGGATCCCTCAAGCCCGCAGCTCTGCCAACGACATCTACGACTCCCCTCTCTGATATCGGGCCCGCAAAACACAACGTCTCTATCTCCAACCTCCAGGCAGCGTGGGCCGATTTCGTCGAGATCTTGGGCAAGGAAAATGTTTCGACTTCAGTTGGCGACGTGGAAATGCATTCCGGATCCGATTGGTCCTCCTACACACCGAAAGAGGGCGAGAAGCCCTTCTTGATCCTCTACCCGTCAACCACCGAGGAAGTCTCGCGCATCATGAAGATCTGCCACCAGCGCATTATCCCCGTCACCCCGTACTCCGGCGGCACGAGCTTGGAGGGCCATTTTGCGTCTACTAGAGGTGGCGTGTGCGTGGATTTCCGTCGCATGGACCGTATCTTGGCGCTCCACAAGCCTGACATGGATGTTGTTGTCCAGCCTGCTGTTGGATGGGAGGAGTTAAACGCGGAGATCGCCAAGGATGGACTTTTCTTCCCGCCGGACCCTGGTCCCGGTGCGATGATTGGTGGTATGGTCGGAACAGGGTGCTCAGGAACGAATGCCTACCGGTACGGGACAATGCGTGAGTGGGTACTGTCGCTTACTGTTGTCCTCGCCGATGGCACCATTATCCACACCCGGCAGCGCCCAAGGAAGTCTAGTGCTGGTTATGACCTGACCAAGCTCTTCATTGGCGGCGAAGGCACTCTTGGTCTGGTAACGGAGGCGACCTTGAAGCTGACGGTCAAGCCCCAGAGTGAGAATGTTGCTGTCGCAAGCTTTGGCACCATCCACAGGGCTGCTGAGTGTGTGACCAAGGTGGTGGAGGCTGGTATCCCTGTCGCTGGTGTTGAGATTCTGGATGATGTCCAAATGAAGTGTATCAATGCAAGCGGTACTACTAGCCGTCAGTGGAAGGAGTCACCCACCCTGTTCTTCAAGTTCACTGGTACCCCGAATGCGGTTAAGGAGCAGATTGGTTTGGTGAAGAAGATTGTGTCCACAACTTCGGGAAATAGCTTCGAGTTTGCTCGTGATCAAGACGAAATGGCAGAACTTTGGAGTGCCCGCAAAGAGGCGCTGTGGAGTGTCCTGGCGATGAAGAAAAACCCGGATGACCACGTCTGGACAACTGATGTCGCGGTCCCGATTAGCAGGTTGCCCGATATCATCGAGGCGACCAAGGAAGATCTGACCAAGCATGGCTTGTTGGCCGGAATCTGTGGCCATGTTGGAGATGGCAACTTCCACTGTAAGTTATTGCCTTTATACTACAAAGTCGTTGGACATGTATTAACAGCCGACAGCGATCATCCTCTTCAGCGAGACTGAGAGGAGCATAGCCGAGGGAGTCGTGCACCGCATGGTGAAACGCGCCGTGGAGATGGAGGGCACTGTTACCGGAGAGCACGGTGTCGGTCTCGTCAAGCGAGACTACCTCGAGCACGAGGTTGGTGTAACTACAGTGGACACAATGCGCCGGGTAAGTCTTGACATACATTCTCATTCAACCCCAGACTCCAAATACACCTTTGTCTACACCCATGGAGCATACCACTAATACTCATATCTGCACTAGCTAAAATTGGCTCTTGATCCACTCCGCCTGCTCAATTGCGACAAGGTTATTCGCACCGAACAACCGGCCCCCGGAGAGATCAAGGAATGGTAGATGCCTCGCCCTTGACAGGATTTATATATCCGAGACACTGCTGAGGCTACCTACTCCGAATCCGAACCGGAATGGTGATGATGGTGGTGTCGGCGGTGTCGATGACGTTCCTCATCATCGCTGCCAGAGCCCGAACCGTGTCTGGGGCGCTCCTCGCCTTCATATTGTCGTTCGGGGCGGTAACCATCACCGCCCTCTCGCTCACCATATCCTTCCTGTGGCCGATAGCCGGAATTCTCAAATTCATTGTAGCCAGGCTGCGGTCTACCATATCCGGAGGACTCCCTGTACATCGTGGTTAATATATGGGACTAGCCAATAACAACTGATGAAGTCAACTTACTGTCCATATTCCTCACGGGGAGGTGGGCCTCCATATCCATATTGTGGCTCTGTACGCTGGTATGGGCCACCTTGGTAGATTTCCCGTGGCTGCTCCTGATAGTAACTCTGACTCTCCGACTGGTATTGGTGGTGCTGCTGGCGGAAATTCTCCGCTGGAGGTGCGTAGCCGGAGTACTCATCGCGAGGCGGGGGTGGTTGTTGATAGACAGTTTCACTTTGATATTCGTATCCGTCGGGACGAGGACGGTATTCTTCGTGGTGAGCCACGGGCTGACCGTAGCCTCCGTAGCTTGGTTGTCCATATCCGCTCTGGGGTTGACTATATCCGCTCTGGGGTTGACTATATCCACTCTGGGGTTGACTGTAGGAGTCCCCTCCATATTGCTGCTGGCTCTCATGTTGGGGTCGACTCTGGTAAGAATTCCCGCTGTCATAGTTTTGAGGCTCTGGGCTCTCACGATCAGGCTTTGAGCCGCCGTTGTTGAGAAGCATAGAGCCCATGCCTCCTACGAGTCCACCGAGAATACCGCCAAATGCGCTTCCTCCCATAACCTCGGAGGCAAGATTCTCAATGCCAACGGAGTCACCGGACGCTTGGCCTCCACCAGAGCTGCCTTGAGCCTTGGGAAGAGCGAGCGGCTTGCCACATCCGTGTCCGCAATCTTGCACACCATCTTTATGATTCCTGCCTTCGAGGACACCATCGCGGCTCAGCTGGTCGCGGAGGACGTCACGCTCCTCGTCATTCTTTTCGTTCCACCACTTTTCGACCGTGGAGAACATGATTTGATGCATATCGGCAGCCCCATCATTTCCAGACTCACGAAGAGCGGGGTGGTGGAAAACACCAGAAATGATTCTGTCAAGAGTTCGGTCGACATCGACATTCTCGTCGTCCCAGCATGACATGAGCTGAGGAACTGCCCATTTGACAACCGCTGACGCAATACGACCAGCGGGCTCATTCAGGATGTTTGAGAAGTGGTCTTTTGAGAGCATTGAGTGAGTCGGGTTTGAGCAGCTGTCGTCGTTAAACACCACGTGCTGTTGCTCCCGGCTGCTCTGGATCACCTCGGATGAACCGGTTTCAAGCTCGGCCTTGACCTGCTTGATGATGGGAAGGATGTAAGGAGCCAGAATAGAGAAGACAAAAATGGTGATTTGATCCTGAATTTGCTCGATCAGGTCGGGCAAGATTGGAATCTTTTCGATGGCCTTGTTGATTTGTTTCAGCAGGTTGTCGTGCCACTCGAGGACTGGGTAGATCTGCTTCTGGGCGTTTTCCAGGTAAAGAGTCCACTCTTCAGGATCCCGAGGAGTGACCTTCTCGCCGTCATGTTTGGCTTCATCTGCCTTGGACTTGAAGTCATCCATCTTGCTGGTCTGGTCGGTATCACCAAGCAAACCGTCGGGAATCTTGCTCAGCAGAGTCTGCAGGAAACTCTCGGAGGAATCCTCATTCTCCGATTGGGCGACGACAGTCTCCAAGGACTCAATTTCAGACTGCATTGTCTTATCGGACAACTCTCCCAGCACCGAATGGAAGAAATCCACTCCACCAAAGGTACCAGTCACGATTGGATAGACTTCCTCATCGACCCCGTCAACCTGCAGTTTAGTGTCGCGTCCGACATGAGGGAAGACCTCGGTCTCTCCTAGTTCAATCAGGCTGAGCTCTGTGTAGTTGGAGTGCGCAGCATAATCTTCTAGGCAGTGCAATCCAGTGCCCAACAGTCGCAGAGCTTCATATAAGTCGTCCTTGTTCCTGGATTGGCCATAGCGCCGGCCCATCTGAATCGAGCGGCCGAGAACACGGCGAATCAGCGCGGCCGAGTTGTCGATATCGGCATCCTCAGTTGCGATGTAGCGTTTCAAGCCTGTGTTTCGAATTGGTTAGTCCAATATCGACCACCGTGTGATCAAATTCCATACCGGTCCGGGAATCGACTGCAAGTTCCTGCTCTTCGTCAACGGGACCACGTAGTCGCGGATCGTAGTCACGCGCATCCTCTCCGGTAGCGTATCCCAAGGGATTATCGATATGCTCCGTAGGTTGGTAACATCCCAGGCGTTCAGTCGTAACCTCAAACTCTCTGGTTCCGTATCTTTTATAGGTCTTAGCGAAAAGTCGACAGTCTCGATATATACTTTCACAACTCACCCAAAGCTCATGAATCCCAGCACCCACAGCAGGATACGGATGGCTTCGGCACTAACGTATTTGACGGTGCCCACATCGACTGCTTGGCTGTAATCACGCAGCCAATTACCGAAGTAGACCCGCTTTACATCCAGCTTGCCGAATTTCTTACCACCGGCGACCCTCGCCATAAGCAGAGTCAGAAGGGTATCCTCAATGTCTCCATGACGCCAGTTTTGACCTTCGAGGCGGGAAAGCGAGGCGATGTTTCCAGCGCCAAATGCATATGCCTGGCCGGAGAAAGCGACGAGTATCAAGAGGGTCAACCCCAGGTTCTGCAAAGACAGACCCATGGTTGGAGAAATGGTACAATGTCGGGGATATTTTTTATGCAAAAGCAAGGGAAGAAAAGGATGAGAAGAAAAGAAGCGAGAGAAAGAGAAAGAAACAAAAAAGAGTCAACCCCACCATGTACAACACACAATGTCAAACACTTGGTGGGATGAAGATCATGGTGGGCTTGGCTGCAGCTTGGCGGCTGTACGTATACGGAGTACATGAAGGTACATGCGGTACATGTGGTATATGGAGAATACATGAAAGATTCAAGTGGAGATTGTATTGCCAGGTATATCGTGTAAATGAGGTATTAGGGAGAACAGGGGCGATAAAGGAATAGATTAAAATAAGATGAGCCTAGGCAAAACCGCACTAGCGCGACGAACTATTTCAAACTAATCAAACGATCAAAACGAATCAAACGAACTAGAAGAACTAGAAGAACTAGAAGAATTAGAAGGAATCATCCAATAGGAGGCCGAGTGGGTAATATAGGGGAAGAATAGGAGAAGTCAAAGCCGCATGCGGTCTCGATCCCGTCTGTCTCCGGCTTCACCGCCGTCTCCTTTTTCTCTTCGACTGGGAATATATCTACTCTCGGTTTTTTATTACTTCATTACTTCCTTTTTTTCCTCTCTCTGGCTTCGAACTCTTCTACTCATCGGACCCTGTCTCAAATGCCAGATCCTGTATCTTCCCCGCTATAGAGCGCTTATCTCAAATCTTCACTTCCCCCGCTGATGTGCTGATGCGCTGATGCGCCCCTCTTGATCAATCTTGATTTATCTTACGATTACTCCTCTTTTCTCGCTTCCCCACTCATCCTTGGCCTGGAATCGAGCTGTCATACTCTGATTCCCCTTTAGCTCCTGTGGACAATCATGCATCACGCGATTCATTACTAAAAGCCGTGACTTAAGAGCGTTCTGACCATGGCACGCGCCGACGATTCATACTCCCGCGAGTCGGCCTTCCCTGTCATGAAAAACCGACTGGCGGGTGAATCTGGATCCCTCCAGCGCCCTGTAAAGGCGAGACCAGGCATTGAAACCGGACGGGCTACCTCCTATAGGTTTCCGCCTCGAGATCTCAACAACTCCCAAGATCAATTCCCATTCGAGGTTGCCGACAACTCGCACTCCCCTATCAGTCTCAAGAAGCGCAACTCCATGGCTTCAGGCATGGCTATGCATGGTACCACACCGGGCGAACAACCGTGGAATTCGGAACAGAACATGAATATATCCTCCGACGCCCTCGACTCTCGCCCTCACAAAAGCAAATCAATAAAACCCAAGGTCCACATCAAGCCCATTCTGCGGAAACTCTCCCGAGATGATGCGCCGTCGACCTCGATTGATTTGTCCCGATCGTCCACTGAACAAGAGGGGCTGGGCATTTACATGAACCTCGAGCGAGAGTGCCCACGCAGCGAGCCCCTCGCAGGTGTGAATTTTAAGAGAACATCCTCCGGCCTTCACCATCGATCGGCCAGTGGAACATCTCAGTTCTCAAATGGCTCAGGCTCCAGTGCGACCAAGCCCGGATCCCAGTACGTGCATCCCATGCGACAGACGCCTCGAGCGTACACTCCACCATTGGGCCGGTCCTACGAGGACTCAAACCGGGATAGCGAAGAACTTTATGAAAGCCCCGAGTCGGAACCTTCGTCTACACAAGAATCCCGTACTTCTTCAGGCCCGGCCCTTCCCCGGCTGTCATTGCAGATTCAAGAAGATTCTTTCACTCGGCTCCCCGGGGTTTCACAGACCAACGTGACCAGTCGACCGTCCTTTGGGTACTCGCGGGAGGCGGATGGAACTACATCCCCGTTGTCTAGAACGTCTCTCGACTTCGTTTTCCGATCTCGAACCCGTACTAGCACCGATCCTATTTCGCGTGCAGCCACAGTTCAGGCTGCCCGCCAGGCATTTGAGGAAAAAGAAGCCGCCAAAAATCGACGGCTTGAAAAACAACAGATCAAAGCTGAAGAGAGAGGCCCCCGGCGTCTCTTGAAGCGGCACACGTCGGAAGATAATGAGTCTCCTGTGCAGTCTAAAGAGGAGATTTCTGAAAAGCCCCAAAGACCCGTTTTGCATGGGACCGAAGAGCCATCTGCCTCATGGAAATCCCAATCCAAAAGCGCATGGGTTCTCTTTATGACCTGGCTTCGAACTAGAGTGTTCAAACTGCGACGGAAGATTAAGAAACTTCGTTGATTCTGACTCCTTCCGTCCAGGTTTTCTTTTTTCTTTTTTTCCTTTGTCTTTTCCTTTGTTCCGCCCCTTTCCTTTTTGTTCCAAGTTCATACTTCAATGAGCGAGCGATTTGATTGTTCCCCTGGTGTTGATCTGCGAGTCTTTTTTGCACCTTTATGGGAATATCGCTCAATATGAGCAGATACACGGCGTCTGGATTGCTGTCTTTGCAACGTATGCGTTTGCCATCTCTAGGCAATCGCAGGTCGAGTTGTCCTAGAGATATTGACCTAGCATTTCCGAGGGCATTTTATTTTATGCATGGGAAATGAGAAATGTGGGATCTGCTTCCCCAATGGTACCAAACCGAATTATGAAATGAAATTCATACCATTAGTTATTCAATTGTGCTTTGTAAATGTAAACGTCAGATGTTGTCAATGTTGTGTGAAGGAATATAATTGTAGTCACGTGCCAAACTGCGCTGTCCGCGTCTTCCCCAAATTCCCCCGAAGACTACGGCGCACAGCAGCGACAACAACCGCCTGATAAGCTCCACACCTTCCAGCTCTATCTATTTCTTTTACAGACGCACCTCCACGGAGGGGAGCGTCTCCTTCATCATGGTGTACGATTGGTCTGGCAAGCGGGAAATCTGCTTCCAGATGTACATTCAGGAAAAGAAGGCGTTAGAGGAGATCATGGACTACATGCGAACTTCTTGTCAGTTTGCGCCAAGGTAAGTGTATATGTCCTTGCTTTCATTTGTAGGATACTAATTGATTTTCATCACTTCTCTAGCAAGCGTGCCTTTCAGACTCAATTTAAACGATGGGGCTTTCCGTCGAAACAAAATCCAGCACACAAGAATATTGAACTCGTCGCTCGAGTCAAAGAGCTTTGGGAACGGAACACAAGCCAGCGGGATATGCTTCGCATCTTGAATGATGAAGGCTTTGAGATTAAAGAGAGGGAATTAATGCGAGTACGCGCAAAGAATCGATGGCTGCTGCGAGTCCCCAATGGAATGAAGTCACAGTCGAATGTCGAGGAAGAAGAAGCCGTCCAACCGGAAGATGAGGGCCTACTCGCCTTGCAGCAGGAGGTATACAAGGTCGAAAGCGTACTCGATAACCCGCATCATCTCCCTACACAGCCAGATGAACGCCCAACCAACGAGTCCCCCGCTCTCTCACCAGAGGTCATCGCAAAACGCCAAGAGCGACTGGAACGCCTGAAGACCGAAAGTGCAGAACGTTGGGCAAACAGAAAACGTCGTCGTCGAACTCGAGGATGGGCCGGGCTGCCAGCTGACCCTCCGGGGCCTCCACGCTTTCCGTCGGAGACAACCATCGACGAGAGCAAGCAGTATCTCAACCTAGACAACACCATGTACCGCCAGACCAGGGACCATTTCCAGCGAATCTGCGAAGAAGCAGGCTTTATCAAGAAAACCGCAGCCGGTCCTGAGAGATGGCAAGCTGCGAAAGACAAATTGATCCAAGAATCCCCACACCTTCAACAGGTGTTTAATACAGATCCTAATCAACGCGATGCAAAGGCCCTTGCACTCGATGTTGTGTGTACCGATGTCACCAAACGAATGCGGACTCTGGAGAGACGCATGACAATCGCGGAGGCGAAGAATGCCCTAGGGATCAACCCGGAGGAAAGTCGACAGATTAGAAATGCGTTCTATGACACCTTGAAGGTGGATCATTTCACAAGCAAGTTAGAGGCCGGCGATGAACACTGGAGAGAGCTCAAAGAGCAATGGATTGCAAACTCAGAGCTGCTCCAGCAAATCCTCGCCCCTGGGCCAGCCGACCCAGATCACGGCAACAAACTAAAGGCTCTGGAAGTACTCTGTCGCGATGTCATGAAGAGACTCCGAGACGACCAGACGAAGCGAGATCCGGCACGTAGGAGATCATCGGCCCGTGCCGGGTCTCGAAATCAAACCCCGACAACCTCCTCGATGGGCAGCATGCTAGGCAACGACATCAGCAATGGAATTAGTACTTTGGCCTCTCAGGCATTGGCCAGTGCACCCATTACGGCTACTGATATTGGCGATATGCAAATTGACCCTTCACTACTCCAGGCTGCGAACGACCCATCTTTCTCGGCTAATCCACACCACGACGCAGGCAATGGCTTTGAATATGTGGATCCTATGCTCAGTTCCGCACTATTACATACCCCCGTCTGGTGTCGGATTAGCTTGAAGGACCAGTCGCAAGAAATAATCCGAAAACCCTGGCTCGAAAAGCTAGCCACACGAACAGTGGAAGAACTCCGGCAATTGATCGGCGCCAGGTATCCATACTCAATCATCGCCCGAATCGAGGGCATTGACAGGGATGAGGAAGGGAATGAGCTTCTCTTCTCAATCGACGATGATCATCAATTGGATGCATACTTGACTCATGTTCACGGAAGGAAGGCGTTGCTCGATTTCACCTTTGGACAGATTTGAACTCTCGGCCCTGGTGGCAAGGCGTAGATTCGGTTGAGCTAAACAGCGTTATTACCCCCAATGTTAGGATAACAAATGAAATTTACTGTAGGGAATAAGATAAATAGGACATTCTTCCTTAGATATTAAGTCTCCAGACTCAAAGGCGCATTACTAGATCCTTAACACCACCATGACTTGGGCTTGTGTAGTAAAAGATAAATCATGAAGTTTTTGGGGGGTACCTAAGTGACCATATACATATACAACATTGTTCGCTGTTCACAATTCCAATGTTCAAAAACAGAAAAAAATCCCTATCAACCGCTACACCCGTGCACCGAATAAGAAACCGCCGTGGACCAAAACCATCAGCTCAGTTGGCGCCGAGTGTTTGGACCACGTTCCTGAAGAGGACCCCAATAGCAGGCAAGGAGAATGATGGAGTCTCACCAAAGACACTAGCCAGTCCCTTGGTTTGAGCAGAAAAGTCCTCCACGTCGTCGGATTGAGCGAGGAGCCTCTCCGGTCCTCGGTGGAAGAGAGTTGCCAATCCATTGTCGATTTGGCCGGTCACATCACGGGACTGGTTGTTCTGACTCTTCTGGGAAGCCTTGTCCAGACAGCCAAGTCGTTGTACAGTTGCCGTGGAATCAACGACGATGTAATCACCGGAATAGGCATCTGAGAGCAGCGCAACCGGGGAGCTCTGCAGGGTTTCCTGGAAGACCACCTCGAAGGATGGGACGTCGTAGATCTTGATTTGGAATCGGACCTTGCGGCGTTTCTTGTGTGACGAACTAGTAACAATTGCCAATGTCTTCGTTCTGGCATTCACGGCAATGAGCTGTGAGTTGCCGCCGGGGGAATCCACAGACTCTGACGACTGAATGGTCTTGACGACATCGTCGACTGTGTCCCAGACAGCGACCGAGTGAGTAGAAGCAACGATCAAATGGCTTCCTAGGAAACTCGTCGAGCAGGGGTTTCCAAGGAAAACACCCGTGCGTCGGTAGTGCACAGAGCAGTTTCGCGCATCGATCAGGACAACAAGACCATCATTTGCAGCCGGTGTCGACGGCAAACACACGGCCAATACTGAGCCATCCTCGGAGAAACCCATACAAGCCGCCTCCAGAGGGGAATCTTCGGTGGAATTGAGACATCCCCGCAGGTCAACGGTACCACGACACTTCCACGTGTTCAGAGGCTGGTCTGCTTGGTCTTTCACCTTCAGTCCGTTTCGGTATTTCGCAGTTGGGCACCAGAAGCGCAGAACAGAGTCGGCACCTAGGGTTGCGAACTCGTGGGCACCAGGCCGGGACACCAGACCAAGTACAGCTGAGTGATGGTTTTTGGAGAAATGAGGACCGTCGACACGGGTGACCAGTTCCCATGTATCAGAGGAAGCGTCCCACTTCCAGAACTTCAAGAAGACCTCCGGACGGAGGGTGGCGGTGGATTTAGCATTAGAAGAGCGATCTAGGGCTTCCACATCCCGAGGATGAGGGGCCCAGGTATCAACCGTAGCCAACCACTTCGCATCATGCACTATATCTAAGTGGTTGATATCGGGTGCGACAATTTGAGACCCTTCAGGGCTGACGCTCAAAGTGGTCGCATTGGTTCGCGCAAGGGCTTGGCGGGAAATATTGGAGTTGGCACGGATATCGTATGTCTGAAGCACAGCCGCGTTTGCAGGCTGAGAGCCATGCTGGTTTTGAGTAAGCTGATGGGAAGCTGGGACGGCCACAATCAATCGCTCTGGTTGCTGCGGGTGCAATTTCGCCACAACAGATCCCCTTGAGGATTCCAGAGAGCCAGACATGTCTGGGCACAACTGCAATCCTGTGATGGTAGTAAGAGGTTGCAATTCTCTCGTCGACAGGATCATGACTGAATTGTCGGCCAATTTAACCACATACGAGCTGCCACTGGCGGATACGACAATGTTGCAGATAGGGGAGGAAAGATGGGGAAGGAATTGCTTCCGGCCAGTGTCCAATTGCCAGAGAACCATGACGGACTCCTGACCACCCGAAATAATGTAGTTTCCTGATGAATGTGAGCAATCTCTCTCTGATAAACATGTGTATAAGAGTGGACATACCGTCTTTAGACCAACGCACGGTGTTGACAGAGCCGCGGTGCCAATGCAGCTTTCTAGGCGAAGACTTCTTATCGCCGAGATCCTTGCCGAAGAGGACATTCAAGACATTCTGGTACATCAGGATAGAACCGCCGCTCTCTCCTACTGCTAGATCGATGGATTCCGAGCCTTGGGCCTGGATGTCAAAGCAAGTGACATTGACAGGAAGGGTCGCCTCGCGCCAGGCGTATTGGACAGTCTCAAGGTTCTCGAGCTCCGCGCTGGTTGTAGTACCCATAAAGAGATGCTTACCATCACTAGCGATGATCACTCGGCCGTCGTGGGTGACCTTGATGCTATTGATTTTCTGGCTGGTCTCGAGGACGGTGGTGCCTTGGATCTTATTGTCCTCCAGTTTGTTGATCAAAATCTGCCTTTTTCCGTCCCTTTGCGATATGACCGAGAAGGAAGTAG